TTATTTCTGCTTTGAATGTTTCAGAACAAGTTTCATTAGCATAGCTTTTAAATGTAAATTTCAGGCTTCTCCTGCTTGCCTGTTACGTTCCAGGTAGTCAGTGGAAATCTGCTTTGTTCCTTGTGCAATAGTGCACGTTAACTTTGCTTGCATTGAATCCTTAATTTGAATCAGTTCTCTGTTCTGTCGTCCAGAAGCGTGCAGTCCAGGGTCTCTAGGCTGATGAAACCAAGTAGTTGATGTTAATTTGTCAAGCCAAGCTCATGTCCAGTCAGTAAAACAGTGGGCTAGCCTTTTTTTCCCCCTTCTTTGTTCCTTTCCCGTTTATCCTTCCCTTGCTGTTGGTCACTGCTTTCCCACATTTACTTCCTCACCCTTTCGCTGTGTGCTGAAGTATGTGTATCTCTTTCATTAAGAGTAGTGAAGGCTATACTGGTCAGGCTACAGTTGTCAAGTCCTTGTAATATTGTACATAATCCTAGGAAGTGCTGTATGCAACAGCAAAGTTGCCCTTGTAACACTGGAAGAATACATAGAAAAGCATAAGATCTTTCTATTTACCGTGACTGGTTTCTGGTGCCTTTACATTGACAAGACTTCCCCCAGGGAGTCTGGGGATCACCTAATTTTCTTCCAAGGGATGGCAGCCAGCATGCAGGAGGTAACTGGGCAAAAGAGAAGAGCTCCTGGAAATTGCAGGCAAGGCAGAAGATTCAGCAGTAATTAATATCTTCCACTTCCTGTGTGGTTTGGTTTCCATTCCTGTGCCAGATGGTGCTAACGCAGCATGCCTGATTGGGTGGTAGCTAGAAAGTAGGGGAGGGAAACGACACAGGGTGAAAATCCAGTACGAAAAGGTATCTCTAGCCTAGCCAAATTCAGGCCTAGGTGTTGAAATTTAGATTAGAAAGTTTGAAATACTCTCTTTAGCAGCTATAAAATGCATGCTGTCATTACTGTGCTGCTTAATAGAAGCAATTTTAGTTTTAATCTCAGGCAGCTCCTAGCCAAAATTTGGGCCTGGAGATCACTGTTAAGACAGACTTTTCCTCTGTATGCTCAGAGCACTCCAGGTGATGTAGGAGCTACAGGCCAAAGCCTATTACTGTGTTTTCTATCTTTGGCATCGCATGTTTGCTAATCCAGTGCTGTGAGCTTTAGTTTCCAGGGTATTACGTGAAGTGGCTTTGTGGAATGGTAAATGGAGTATCTGTGGATGAAACAGAGTAAGCTTCCTTGTAGAAACGACGTGATCCAGTGTGAAAGAGTAATTATTGGAAGTGGGTCAGCTTTCCCTTTCCATTAGTCATTTGGGTGTTTATCTAAGTGGCTTGTGTGGTTGCAGTGGAAAGGAGGTAATCAACATAAATTTCAAGTCTGCTTTTTAAAATTCTGACAACTGTGGATTTTAGTGTTTTAGGATTGGGCACAAAGAAACCAGAGCTGCAGCGTGCCAACTGTTTTCTGGCAACTGACCTTATAGGGAAGGGCAGCATAAGGAGTGGAGAAATATGTACAGAACACATTTTTGTTTGTTAGCATGGGAATAATAAAATCTTGGACATGCAAGTTTGAAAGGGATCATCTTTAACTTTTGTATATGCTTAGTAGAAGATGGCATGTTTCTCACCTGTCTAAAATTACTTTTGTTTTCCACTTTCCTGTTACAAAGCAGGAAGAAAAAGAGAAGGTGCTTTTTTTTTTAATTTTAAGAAAAAGGCACATATTTCAGATATCTGTGCCTTTAAAAACTTGGAAATGAATTTAAGTTGGTATTTGTATGACAGTGTTTCTTCAAATTGCTGATAAAAAAGTCTAATTCAGTCAGTCTGTGTTCTTAGCACTGAAATAGATAAATAATTAAATCTTCTTTGAGCTAAGCTAGTAAGCTCTTCGAGGCATGAACAGTGTTTGTATCATGTATAGAAGGTCTGTTTTTTGCTTCAGATTCCTGTGATAGAGGCTGCCAGAAGTATGCAGAAAGAGAGAATCAGGACTAAACTTCCCATTTGTGCATCTAGAAGTATGTGATGGCATTATAAAAATACTCACTATAGGAAATGATAGACAATGCCTTTCAACAAATAGTCATGCGTGCCTCCATACTTCTCCCCGGTGCGTTCTTGTTAAAATACCTGTAAGCAAGCTGGTTTAAAGGCCTGGAGCTGCCGCTGTAGTGGGTGGTCGTGGTTATGGGTATGTCTCTCTGGTGTGTTTTGGACAGAGGTGTGCTTGCTTCCCCTGTGCTTCGGCTATGCTGATGTGCCACTAAGCTGGTGCTGACAGATCCCACTTGTTAGCATGGATGTGGCACAGCAGGAGCACAGTCACGTGGCTCTTCGCCATTTCAGAGCGCAGGCAGAGCGAGCAGGGGTCATCTTGGACGGCGGCATGTAGAAATGCTGGGGTGTCTCAATGCATTGCTTCTGTGTCGGAAGAAGCATCCTGAACAAAAACACACTGATGACAGTTTTGGTCTTGTTCCCACTTAGTGCCGCAGTTGACAAAAGCATTAATCAGGTCAGCTGAGGAGGGGTTCCCGCTAATATAAACACAAAATAAGGACAATTAAACTGAGAGTTAAAAATGGGTTTGCTGACACTAAGATAGCTCTAGAGAAGTATTCCTACCTCTAAAGCGTGAGGTAACTAGAAAGTATATCAGGAGTGTCTTAGCAGAGCGAAGAACTTCTTTTCATGGCAAATTAGATAGCATCATCTCCATCTGTAGAATGTGTTCCGGGCTTGTGTCTGCTTTTAGAAAGCTTCCATTATAAATCATCAGAGTTTGTACCTCTGAGATTGCACGAATGTGGTGGTAACCATGTCCATTCTGTCACTTGTAAAACATGACTTTCACAGCACACCAAGAATGAGGTCTTAGGCAAGTTGAATCATAATATAAATCAATATCTAGCTACTCCAAAAGATAGGGACTTTTTACAGCTGCATTTCTTCTTGAGGTTCTTGGGGAGCTAAAGCGGAATAGTAACACTATTTTTCCTGATTAGTTTCCTCAGAAGACGAGAGTTGAATAGCTGTGTGCTTGTGCATATAGTACTGTGATAAACAGGATCACAGCACTGAAATAACTGAAAAGTACTCCACTCTTCTTTCTTTTTTTTTTTTTTTTTAGTTCTCTGTTGCTTCCACAACACAGCCTCAAAAGTAGCAGTAGAGGAAGAACAGGAGTGTTGAAACAGGAAAGAACCGCTTTGGTTCACATTGATACTGAGAAAAACACCTGTGAACATGACATAAATGCTTCTGCTTGTAAATAGGGGCTCTGAATAGAAGAAGTGATAGTAGTTTGTTAATCTAGAAGGAAAAGCTGTGAGTGGTTAAAGTTTGGGCAAGCCAGCTTCCTCCATAATATTTAAATAGTCTCATCCAGTGCTTCCCATGTAAAAAGGACTTTTTTTGTTTTATTTTCTGTAGAGTGATAAGGTTAAAACAAAATACTTGGTTTGTTTTTCAGATCTGGTAATCATGTAGTGGGATTTGCCTTGCCAAGTGAGAAAACAAATTCATACAGGCTTGTTTTTATTTATTACTGATACATATAGTTTGGATCATGGAATGAGGTTACTTTGACAAAGTCGGATTCAAAGGATTTGAATGTCTGTCCCGAAGTGGTACATTGTCTTTAAAAAGGAAGTTCCGTGATTCTATACAAATATAATGGCAAATTCAAATGCAATAAAATAAACAGATATGAAGCCTCAGACATATTGAAACTACGGAAGTCTTGGCAGTGGAACGTGAAACCATTTTAAACCCACTTAGTTTGGGTTTTCTGCACAAACTGCAAATAATACAGGCTTGTTGAAATGTTCGTCCTGACTTGTGTTCCTTCTAAGTGAATCTATGTTAACAGCTGTTTTCTTGCTTTTATTTTGAAAAAAAAACCTGCTGAATTTTAGATAGGTTGTCTTACCGAGAGATCTGTCAGCACCGTTCGTTTCCCTGTTTTTCTCCAGAGTTTCAAGAAAACCTCCTTCTTCCTGAATGCTTAGAGATCACGGCTCTCTGCATTTTGTTAAACTCACCGGATTCAAGTCGGCATGCTATACTGAAGTGCTGTTGTATTACCAAGAACACAGTGGCACCATTGTGAAAGATAAGACGATAAAATGCACAGCTCAGTTCATACACTTGCAATGATGTTTAAACTCCTCATTTCTCCTCAGCTATCCATCTCCATCAAACATACTCTGTCAGTACAAATTTCTGAGCAATTGCGGACACACTGTTGGAAAAAAAACCCCAACTCCCAGGAAGCAACAAAAAGAAATAAACAAAACGATTTCAGAATTTTGTCCCCTCAGTGTAGAATTTCCTGCCTGGAAACACACGCTGGTGAAAACCCTGCTGTCATCCAGATCTGAGTCTCAATTCCAGTAGGCGTTAATAGTGGAGGCTGTGGTGTGAGAGCCCTGGAAGCCTGTGTAGCATGAAGACCTTGTGACTTCGGTGACTTTTCTTTTTAAAAAGTGACTTTAAAAAATGTGCTATGGCTCATGCACCTCCAGTAGTCAGCATAGAGTTTGAAAACTGATCCCTCAGGGAATGTTTTTTATGAATCACTGAAAAGGAAAACAATGAAACTGTGTAAAGTATCAGTGACAGCTATGATTCATAGCTTCTGATTAAGGCAATGCAGGACATGTTGTGCAACACTATGCAGACAGCAGCTTTGATATGGAAATGCAAAAATATTACAAAGTATATTCCTAAAAGCAATTTTCAGGCAGCTTTGAGCTATAAAGTGACTCAGAATATGGTCACCTCTGAGGTTATTTTAATTATCCAAGGAGATACGGTTTTTGTGGATTGTTATTTTGCGGGGCTGTTTCTTGTTTTCAGAAGGCAAGCTTTTTTCTTCTTTAGAGCTTAGTGCTTCTATAAATATGATCCTTTTCTCTTTCTCTTATTTTTCAGGGAAATTCTGTATTTGCTGCCTCTTACCGTTAGTGGAATAGAAGCTGAGAAGGAGAAAACATGTTGGAAACAATTGGTAATCTTTTTATTTGTATTACTATATTTTTGTGGCTGAATAAAGTGTGCATGATAGATCTAGGATGTTAGTATATACTGCCGAGAGAGGTTTTGTATAAAATATCTGCTGTGCTTAGAAACACAGGAAGTATTTGCGTTTTTGTATTTTGAATTAGAAAACAAAAGGCGTACCATAATTTGTTCAGTGTATTTAATTTTTAGCCTTTTGTCTTGATTTCGTTGTTTTAATCTTTACTTGAATTAAAAAAGTCTGTATGAAAAAGACATTTTCTATTATGACTGTTGTTGTAACTACGTATTTACGGTGGTCTGTAGTCACAGTTCCTATAACTGAATTTTAATGAAGACCATGTCACTTTTGTAACCCAGTTCTTGATGGACAATATTGTAATTTTCGTTGACTTCTGTTTTGTGCTCTGCGTCTGACTTCCTCATTCATTAGGCACGTTTGGGCTGGGATTTTTGTTCAGAAATAAACCATTTGAGCAGTAGGGAGGAATACATTTAAACCTGTTACTTGCTTGTACATGGCTGTTGCTAAACTGCTAGTGACTAGGAATGATTATCGCTGCAGATACACATCGGGCTCTACAGGCCATGGAACGCTTACAGGCAAAACTTCGCGATCGAGGTGACATTGCAAATGAGGAGAAACTGAGCTTGTTAAAGTCAGTGCTGCAGAGTCCTCTCTTTAACCAAATTCTCAACCTCCAGACTTCTGTTCAACAACTGAGAGATCAGGTAGGAAAAGCAGCTTCCCAGATGCAAGAGAAAAACTGCTAAGAAGGTGCAAAAATGTGTGTGTCTCTGCATGTTGAATAGTGAAATCAAATGGCCTAAATTAAGCGTTTGATCCACAGCTTCAGGGAAGTAAGGGGGACATAACCATTGACTTCTCTGGGCTTTGTTGAGGCCTGTAGTTTGTGTGTGTGTGTGTTTTATGTATATGCTTTTTACTTATTGTGTGCCCGGTAGGGAAATGGTGATACTGGGTGGGGACTTAACATAAGGCTTTCTGTCTTTGTCCTTAAAAGGGAATATGTTTTGTATGAGGCCTTAGGATTTTTTTCCTAGGAGTCTTTTATTGCTCTCTTGTATCTTACACTGCTAAAATGAGAATAAGTAAGGGAAGCTGTGGAATGTTGACTTCAGAAGGACATGAAGATTTTCTTCTTTTTTTTTTGTAAAGAAATGGAAGATCAAAGAAAAGCAAGAGCTCCTAACTCCTTTTTCCTTGCTCAGGGTTTTAAGTAAAAGTTTACTTTTCTACATGTCTTCAGTGAGGATGAGAAAAGGGGCAACAACTCAGCTATATTAAGTTGATTATTTATTACTGTAATTTAATTTCCTTATCAACAGAGTAAGAACTTGAAAAATAAAAAAAGTAGTTCAGTAACTGAATTAGGACTAAACTATGTATCTGGATTTGCAACTAGTTGTTGACTCCTGGAAGATGGACAGTTTTGTGGCTGGTATGCAGAAATGACGAAGTGGGAGGATACAGCCCCTGCATGCTGGCCTTATCATCAGCGTGGAGCCGCATTTGGTCTCTGACCAGACGGTGGCTGGTGGGCAGTCCTCATAATCTTGATGCTACTTCAACTGTGCGGCAGAAGAGCACAGTCTGGCCCTTCATTGCATCTTGTGGACCGTCTTGATGCTATTTTGCACACACAAAAAATAAGTTAGAATGGTGTCTGCAGTGTTTTTCAGGTTTTGCATGTTTGGTACATAGAGACATCATGACACTGGAGTGATTTTAAAAAATCTAGGAAAAAAGCTGTTCTGGGTGTTTGTTTGCTCTGCTATTTGAAAAGGAGTATTTAATAGTGACATCCAGAAATTATGTGAGTTCTGTGGTCATGATTCTCAGAACATGTAGTGAGAAATAGAAGTGTGCCTGCAGCATTTATGGGAATTTGGTGAAAAGGTGAATTGAATTTTCACTTCCAATCATTATCGTGAAGTTAAAGAATGCTTCTCTTTTTGAATAGTCACCTAATTTAATAAAATTAAGCAACTGATACTAGATGTGTAATTTCAGATATGTATTTTTTAAAAAGCAAGTAGTAATTTTACCTCCTGCCCTAACACTGCAGGTTTATCTGTGCAGTAACTTTAGTGCCATGTGCATGTTGCATGGTACATACCCAGTCTAGTTGATGGAAACTGCTTGGATGTGAATTCCCTTCTTGATATGTGCTTATATGAACATTTGCACAGGCAGGTGTAAGTTTCTGGCTGTTCTTAAGATTTGGGTCAGCTCTTCAGGAGGTATCCTGTATTTTCTCTATAGAGTCATTTCTTCACTACAATATAACATGAGATTGCCTGTCCCTTCTTTGCTTTATTTAAATGTTTATAAAGCATGTTGAAACAGGACAGTGAATAAAATAATGAAATAGGTAGTCGTGTTAAAAAAAATTGTATTTTGTGGCATTTTCAAAGGCTCAGTTTTGTTTAAGGACACCCTTAAGTTTTCTGTTTATGGCTGGGAAACCACTGTGCTCTTGAACCTCTGAAACTACAAGTTAGTGAAAACTGCAAGGCGTGTGAGTAGTGATGAGGCTTTTCAGTCAAGCTGTGCCAGACTGAGGAAGGAGACAAGTCATTCCAAAGCACTTGCAGTCAGAGATGTATTTGAGTGAGGATGACAAATAGTGCTGCGCTGTGCAGTGGCCAGGTGTTGCAGTCTCTACCCGTTTGAGGCTAAGATGGCTAAATTTTTTTGATGTTTCACAGTGTGGTGCACTGAAAGTTGAATGGGGGTCTGTTTCTTCTCACGGTGAAGTGTGACAGTGACAGTCTGTTAAACTGCTCTTGTGTTTTTCATTAGTTTATGAGGTTTTAAAGAGCTGCAAGACTACTGCAAAATTCTCAGAAGGCTATCTTTTAGGAAAGTATAGATTGAAAGAGAGGATGGGAGCAGAGAAGCAATAATGGCAGTTTACTTCTGAGGTCAAACTGATTCCTTGCAGGCATCCCAGCAGAAGTAGGCCACTAAGTGAGACCTCGTTGTGGGCCTGTGGTGGCCTTAATAAATTTGAGGTAGGACGTATTCTTGTCCTGAAGCACTGTGTCTGGAAAGCATAGTGAGAGCTCTGTCTTGTGTTTGTGCAGTGAGTGTGGAGAATAAGCTGGCAAATCTAGTAAACATCTGTCATATTTTCCTAGCGAAAAATAGGATGCAATTACACAGTTTCAGCTGACAATTATTCATTGCATTCCAGTGAGAGTTACTACCATTTTTTATGGTCTAAAATAGTAGACTTCCTTTCCTTCTTTTTTTCTTCAACTAAGTGATCCATTAAGCACTAAAAGAACGTCTGAAAAAGCCTGTGTTTCTGCATGCATGGAGGTGTTTCAGATTTGCTGTCCTGTTTCCTTAAAGCGTCTGTGTGTTAACTGGAAATTGGTCCTCTTCATTGCTGGTGTGTGCTTAACAAGAGCCTCTTGAGTCTGAATTTCTGTTACATGGGATGGTGTGAGCTGAGTGGCATGTTGCTTCACCTGGATGTGGGTGAGGCGTGATGCTGAAGTCAGCAAATCTGATGCTTTGGTGCTTATTAGTGGGTGCTTCGAATTTTTTTTTTTTCATAAATGAGCAAGCAGGATTTGTTTGCACTGCAAATCTGTCATTACATGGTTAAGAACTGAAGTGGGAAAAGTCTAGGAACAGCAAAGGGAAGTTTTTTTGAGCGTTACTGTCTTGACTTCACTAGTCACTTGAGTTGAGGAGCATTGAAGGAACCAGGTTTTTTTTCTGCCTCTTCATATCCTCCTTCTTCAGTGAATGCTTGTTCTCTCAGGCTGAAGAGCAGTCTGCGTGTTTGAAGATAAGGGAGCAACAGGAAATAAAATAGAGATTGTGATGTTTTGAATGTTCCAATAATATTTTCTTTTATTTATGAAATATTTTAAAGAAAATACTCAGACCGCGCTGGCAGTCTTCTCCTGCTTCTCTTCCTTGTCTGCCTCCTCCTCCCCTCCTGCTCCCGCCTGCACTCCACTCGGGGCTCTGCCAGAACAAAATACCCTTCCCTAGGCTGGGCTGCATTCCTTGGATTTTATTTGCTTGTGAGTGTGACCGTCGTTTTTCTGTACACAGTGCAGTAGTGGGGAGGAGTGCCCCCGCAGCGCAGCTCATGCTGGTTTGTGTGGGATAGCTGGGTGTCAGCCCTAGAGCGGGTTTCGGGAATAAGTGGAGAAACTGTGTGTTTTCGTATTGCCTGTGAACACTTTCTTAACTCTGAGGTTTGTATGACTAGAGGGGACCTTCAGTTCCTATCCTGAACCACTTTCAGCAACAACACCATTTGCTCTGTTTTTTAAAATGAAAAGCTTGTACGACACTCTGATTTGGGATCTGCTTCACCCACCCCAAGGATGGAGCCACAAGGGGCAACCATCAGGGTGGTGCTGGAGCCGGGTGCGCTCCCGGGCAGCCTGGGGCTGGCCCGTGTGTCCTTGCTCCTGGTGCAGTTGCCCTTGCAGCCGTCCGTTTTGCTACCTGGGATGCTTGCAGTCAGCTGTAGTTCTGCCCTGTGCTTACTGGGGTCTCCAAGAACCGGGGCTCAATGGCTGGAGTGTGGAAACACTATGAGTTTGTTGTTGTCCAAGTTGAGACCTAGCAATGCCAATTACATTGCTCTAAATCTTGGCATGCTGCAGACATGGCTTGGATAGCTCTTTTTTTGTTAAAAAAACATTTTGAGCAACTGCATGTAAGCACTATTTGATTGCATTTAGTGTTTGTGCGACTGTATGTGACTTTTATCATTCTCTGTGGTAATTAAGAATTCTTCTTTTTGTCTTACGCCAAATTGTGTCCACATTGCAGATGTTACATACAGTAAGGAGAAAGCCAATCGAGGAAGATTAACGTCAGCCAAATTATGAAACAAAGCAATGTTCTTTCATACGGTACTTACACAATCACAGTGCTATAACACTACTTCTTGATGGAATTACGGTGATTTTATTACTGCAAAATAGCGCAGTTTATGTGTTACGAAAAATATTTCATGCAACCACAAGAGTCTTTCTAAGATTTCTGCTTGTGGTTTATTGCTCTCCCTGGAATGACCTGTGCTTCTGTGGTTAGCAAGAACATCCACCAGTTATTCTCAACTCTTACATCCTATAAGACCCTGTTTAGGGGGGGGACAGGGAAGAGAGTGATTCTCACATTTCTGCTTGTAATTTGTCTGGGGATTCTGAACTTCTACCTTTAGTGTCATTATAAATGTCATTATGAAACAGAAATGTTTTTCAAGTGTCTGCGTGTGTGTGTTTCAGGACAGGAGACATTCTGAAATCTTAAGCTTTTTGCACGCACACATACAGAAAACTTTTTGCTGTTAACAGTTGTTTTTTCTTAGAGCTTTATTGGTTTATTGGTGTTTCACAAGTCAGAAGCCACTTTATGTGAGGTAGGCTTCCCATGTTAAGCACATCCTCCGTCAAACGTGTAGCTGTGTTTGTTTAAAAATGCTGTGATGAAAATGAGGTGTTGCTGTCCATTGCTGTTGAAGAGGTAGTGTTTGATACTGTGTTGTAGCTGTGCTGTAATCACAGTTGTACTGAGGTTTTAAGGTGAAGCTTTATAAAGTGCTAGTTAAACTGGTGTGTTTTGAAGGATTATTTTTGCCTTTTCCTGCTATGTACAGCATGCAGCGCTTATTTTCAATGGTATTTCAACCATCATGCAAATAAAACCGATTCAGTGTCTTCAGAATAATGGAGTTAGTAATTATTTATGGAAAATGTCTTAGAAAAAAATGAACAGCTTCCATCTTCTGGTTTGGAAGGCAGAAAGAATGGGGGAGGACAGTCAATTCATACAGTGATGTCCCGGTTCATACAAGTCTGCAGAAGGGATGAAACATCCCATCCAGCAGGTCGAGAGAGGTGATTCTGCCCCTCTACTCTGCTCTGGTGAGACCTCACCTGGAGTACTGCGTTCAGCTCTGGAGCCCTCAGCACAAGAAGGACATGGAACTGTTGGAGCGGGTCCAAAGGAGGGCTACGAAAATGATCCGAGGGCTGGAGCACCTCTCCTATGAGGACAGGCTGAGAGAGCTGGGCTTGTTCAGCCTGGAGAAGAGAAGGCTGCGGGGAGACCTGATTGCAGCCTTTAAGTACTTAAAGGGAGCCTACAGGAAAGATGGGGACAATCTTTTTAGTAGAGACAGCAGTGACAGGACGAGGGGTAATGGTTTTAAACTAAAACAGGGTAGGTTTAGGCTGGATATAAGGAAGAAATTCTTTACAATGAGGGTGGTGAAACACTGGACCGGGTTGCCCAGAGAGGTAGTGGAGGCCCCAGGCCCCATCCCTGGAAACATTCAAGACCAGGTTGGACAGTGCTCTGAGCAACCTGATCTAGTTAGTGGTGTCCGTGCTCGCTGCGGTGGGGGTTGGACTAGATGACCTCTAGGGGTCCCTTCCAACCGAAAACTTTCTATGATTCTATGATCTGACTGAGAAGGTGGGTGCTATATTGCCCGTTTGAACAGGATTTGGTCTATGGTAACATACTATGTAAAACTAAAATATGAATTGGCTATTGGTGCTACTTCTGTCTTAACGTGGAGATCTGTGAGTTTTCCACCAGAGAGAACAACAACATAAATCCCCAAGGAGACTGTCATATCTTAATGGAAGAACTCATTCAGAGTTGGCTAGAGAAGAAAACGGTGGTACTGGGCAGGTGTTCAGGTGGAGGTTAGTGTGCCGGTCATGGCTAGCCTGCTGTTTGAACATTATGGACAGTGAAATGAGCTGCCTAAAGCAATCCTCTGTTAAGCAGTACTAGCAGAACATATACAGAACATAGTACAGGATGGGCACAAAGCTCCTCTGCATGCAGAAGGTTGTGCTGTGTGGGGTGTTGAGTGGTATAAGAAGTAGTTTAGATTCAGAGAAGGCATATAATATAATTCGTAATGAGGGCAGTGTATCGTACTCAATAATGTTTTATTTTTGATGTGTAGCTCCATTTTTTTTCTTTGCTGTTTATGCGTACAAGGAAGTGTTTTATTATAAATTAGACAAGAACAATGTCATGATGTAAACACCTTTTATCTCATTCATACTGTTCTAAAAACGTCATCTCTTAGGATTGCTGTGGCTTGCTTGGTCTACTTTTTTGCGTTGCATGATTTTTCCAGTGCTGCGACTTGCTCCCTACACACTTCTGTGTAAAGGAGTGCTCCAGGTGCAGTAAAGACATGGACTTTTTATCAAGAGAGGGATTTCACAGGCTGGGATTGTCTCTGTGTTAGCAGTTTGCACACCATGTGGTAACATGGAAACAAAGCAAAATTTATGAAGGAATATTGAAGGAAAGAGACAGTGGGGTAGGCACAGCAGTGGTTCCTCAGCTACAGTCAGTTTCTGTGCCTTAAAATTCTGTTTCTTTCTTTTTTTTTGCCTGCATGGCTCTTTCTTTGTAAAGCAGAGGGTGTTCTAGCTTTCTGTATATAGTCTCAAATTTTGCTTGTAGCGTTGTTGTAGGATTTTCCTTCTGTTCCCTTTTTTGTCTTAGAACATGACTGCACACTCCACTCAAAATAGGGAATTCATGCACAGTTGGATTTTATAGAACTATCAGCAGCGGGGGCTAAATGACAGTTGGGGGGGGGGGGTGAAATCCTCTTTTTCTAGGAGTTAAATCCTGTTTTTCTGGGAGTTCAAACTTTTCTGTGAGTTCGGGGGTTTTTTTGAGTTCTACAAAAGCCGTGAGTTCCATGAGTTCTGCAATCACTGTCTGGGGACTGGTTGCAAATCAGTCATTGGGCAGAGAGCAGATTGTATTGTGTATCTCGTTCTTCATATTCATTATTAGTAGTATTATTAGTAGTATTATTCATAGTATTATTAGTATTTACTTTGTTGTCCTGTGAATCTGTCTTTGCCTCAGCCCATGAGTTTTACCTTTTGTCCACTCTCCTCCCCATCACAGCAGGGGCGAAGGGGAGAGGTGAGTGAGCGGCTGCCTGGTGCTTAGTAGCAGGCTGCTGGGTTAAACCACGACAGTGACCGATGACAGTTTTTTGTGGGAAGGAACATGACAGCGGGATGTGTAAGATTTAAAGGTGGAGGAGAACAAGAAATGAAGCACATAAATTGACTAAGTTCAGTAGTAATACTTTTATACATTGAAATAGATGACATTGGGAAGGTGAAAGTGAATTATATGGACTCACACAGATAAGAAACACAGTATGACGTAGACTTTATTAGTTTCAAAGTCATGCATGTAATGTAAGGGGAAATCTTGCATTCTTGGAAGCGCAGAATTTGTTGATGTCTCAGAGTGTTGTTACATGTAATGGACTTTGAAACAAGGCTTATCCACCTGTGCCTGCCAGGCTTGCTGAAATGACTATATGTGATTAAGAAAGTGCATGTGTGCACATTTTAGGCATTACGATTTTTGTGAAACATAACCCAAGCGATTCCTCACAATTACAGACAACAGAATGTAATGACTGTGTGATGGAAATCACTGAGTTGCAAACACCCTAGTGTCCTTTTCCTCTTTCCATTTTTCTGTGGCAGAGCAGGCTAAGTGCTGCTGAGGACTTTTCTTTCCAGTGCTGTCTGGTGGCATTTTTTCTGTAACTTGAGGGTCTTTCCAGGCACATAAGGTGTTCAACAAAGGATGTTTGTTCTGCACCCAGATGAGAATGAATTGTGTGGTGGAAAACAATGCTGACCTTTTAATGACCGGACTGTTGGGAGAATGGTGTGATAAACATGATGGAAGTAGCATGCTTAAACAGTTGAGACTGATGCAGTAGATGTTTTAGAGTACCTTGACAGTTTTGAAAATTTTTGTTGATACTTGAAGTTTAAAAATGAGGCTTCAAGGAAGGGGAATCCCAGTCTTTTGTATTGTAGTCCAGAATGCTAGAAAATTTGCACTGTGAAGTTACGAAAGGTATTTGAGGCTGCAGTATTGGGGTCCTAAATTGTGGTTAATGTGCCGGGCAAGTATGAATTAGATCGATGTGGAGTAGAACAGCACCAGTTGACAGTCAACTGGCAAGTGGGATAACAGCCAAATGAGGGCTCCTGCTTCACCTGAGCTTTATACCACCACCAGCCATTCATTAGGTTGATTGGCAGAGACCTACTTGAAAACCTACTGTGGCTGGGCAAAGTGGAGAATTTTCTTATTTTCTTTTCTCCTCTGAGAAGTGTATTGTCAAGTTTCTCTGTGTAAAAGTACAGCTATGGTTTTCAGATCAGCCTGGTGAGTTTCTACTTGTTCAGTAATTTTGTATTTAATTCTAGCTCACGTAGAGGGTCACGTTGGCAGCCATAGTGCATAGTGTTGTAGAAACCCTGACCAGTGAGATTTGTTCCCTATATAGCTGGTGAGGTTTCTTTCTTTTTTTGTCAAAATAAAAATGCTTTTTTAATTTTCTTGTAAAATAATTGATTTTTTTTTTTAAAAAAATACTGGTATTGTAGAAAAAGCTTCTTCATACTTATTTACCTCTACTGTTTTGTTGAAGTACTTGAAGTTGCTATGCTGATAGGAACAAAAGAATTTTAGGCAGAGTATGGAAAGCGGTTTTAGATTACTTTTATCAATTTCTTTCATGTTTTATGCTGATAAGTGACAACTTTACAAAAATTATAAATACTTAAGATATTTTTTCCTTTTAAAATGTCTTTTTAAAATTGCAAATTGGGATGCCAGGTATTATTAACAAGCAATTGGCCTATCATGGTGCTCTTGGGTAAGGAGGAGGTTTCTGCTCTGTCTGTAAATTTGTGTTGTCATCAATTTTTTACAGGTAAATATTACACCTCCAGTACATTCTACTGATGAATTCCCCCAGCTCCTCCATCATGGTGTGAATGTGGGGTCTTTGCCGCATAATGAGTCATATTTGTTGGCTCAGCAGAATGGCAGCCCAGCTAATGTTCTAGAAGCATCTATGAGATCCATTACTCCTCAGATTAATGGGAAGACCTCTAGTAATGACTTTGAGCAGCTGATCAGAAATATGTCTCAGGTAAGCATGTTGTCTAGTAATCATGAAATGCGGATCACTGATTATCTGGAAGATTACAATACATGTATGTTTATTTAAAAGCAATTGAGTTACTAAGCAAACCAGAGGTGAGCTGCTATGTAAAACAAAAATAACCTTTTAATTTGAGGAAAACTGGTAAATGGGAAAACAGTTGGGAAAGTAGCCTTGACATTGTCACTGCTCAGTTATTGTCCTTAGCTGGGCAGTGTGCCTCTTGCAACTAATCATGCCATTATCTTTCTGTGCTCATTGTGGGACTGCTGTTTTGCGCGTGAGGGAGATGCTTTGTCAGGGCGTGCTCTTGTATGCAGAACTAATGAAAGCTAATTCTGTGACTTGCTTGGAAATAAGATGGAAAATTTATTTTTGGCCTTGCTACGCATTGTTCTGTAATCTTACTGCTTACCTGTGGTAGGCAGAAATGGTGTACAGGTCCCTTCAATGGCTGGAGCTGAGAATGGCCAGGCACATATTCTAGCATTTTTCTAATTAACCTGTAATAAAGCCAGATAGGGGAAGTCTTCTGCTGCTCTCTTGGAGAGCCTTGGTCACAGTCCTACTTTCTTCCTCTTTCTGAAATTTGTCCTATTTTTCTAGTGCTGCTTGGGAGTTGGCCTGTATCCTCTAAAATTTTCATGGAATCACAGAATGGTAGTGGTTGGAAGGGACCTGTGGGGGTCAGCTAGTCCAACCCCTCTGCCAAAGCAGGGTCACCTACAGCAGCAGGCTGCACAGGACTGCGTCCAGGCGAGTTTTGAGTATCTCCAGCAAAGAAGACTGCACAACCCCTCTGGGCAGCCTGTTTCAGTGCTCTGTCGCCCTCAAAGTAAAGAATCATAAAATCATAGGTTGGAAAAGACCTCTAAGATCATCAAGTCCAACCGTCCACCCAATACCACCATGCCTACTAAACCATATCCCGAAGTGCCACATCTACATGGTTTTTGAGCACATCCAGGGATGGTGACTTGACCACTTCCCTGGGCAGCCTCTACTGTTAAGCAATTTATTGCTTAAATAATGTCTGACCACTCTTTCAGTAGAGACATTTTCCCTAATACCCTATCTAAAACACCCCTGATGCAACTTGAGGCAATTGCCTCTTGACCTATTGCTAGTTACCTGGGAGAGGAGACCAACATCTGCCTCATTACAACCTCCTTTCAGGTAGTTGTAGAGAGCGATAATGTCCCCCCTCAGGCTTCTCTTCTCCAGACTAAACAGCCCCAGTTTCTTCAGTCACTCCTTGTAAGACTTGTTCTCTGGACCCCTCACCAGCCTTGTTGCCCTTCTCTGGACACACTCCAGCACCTCAATGTCTTTCTTGTAGTGAGGGGCCCAAAACTGAACACAGTACTCCAGGTGCAGCCTCACCAGTGCCAAGTACAGGGGCACGATCACCTTCCTGCTCCTGCTGGCTCTTCCTCATGTTCAAATGGAACTTCCTATGCTTCAGTTTGTGCCCGTTGCCCCTTGTCCTGTTGCTGGGCACCACTGAAAAGAGTCTGGCCCCATCCTCCTGACCTCCACCCTTAAGGTATTTATAAGCATTTATAAGATCCATTCTCAGTCTTCTGTTCTTTAGGCTAAATAAGCCCAGCTCCCTCAGCCTTTCCTCGTAGGAGAGATGCTCAAGTCCCGTAATCATGTTTGTATCCCTCCATTGGACTCTCTCCAGTCGTTCCTTCGCTTTCTTGAACTGGGGAGCCCAGAAATGGACACCTTACTCAAGATGGGGCCTCACTAGGGCATGGTAGAGAGGGAGGAGAACCTCCCTTGACCTGCTGGCCACACTGTTCTTAATGCAGCCCAGGATACTATTTGCCTTTTTGGCAACCAGTGCGCACTGTTAGCTCAGTGTATAATTTTACAGACACATATGTCTTAGTTTAATCGCTGCTAAGCCTAAAGTCTGTATATTTACCTCTTGTTTCCTGATTTCCTGTTCTAGGCTGTAGTCATCCTTATTTCTCAGTGTTTCATAGTTGTCACTTTTCTGTACGATAGCAAGAAATCGGAACTGAACAATTGTGTTTCAGTAATTAGCTAGTGTAGCCTTGTCCAGCTGTAGCTGTCAAATTAGAAACAAATTTCCAAGTTGTTTACCACATTTGCTAATGCTGGTTTTCAGCATTTTTAACATTTCTGCCCTTTTTTTTCTTGTACTGAACAGGGTCGTCTTGTTGAGACCATTGAGCTTACTAAACCTTTAAGTGGTGGTCTGGGCTTCAGTGTTGTGGGACTAAAGAGTGAAAACAGGGGAGAACTAGGTATATTTGTGCAAGAAATCCAGGAGGGAAGTGTGGCACATAGGTAAGATTACTACTGGAATATTTTTACTGTACCAAGTGTTAACATGGCACTGTAATTATGTTATTGCTGTTGTTTTTGTGGTACAAGAGTACATTTCTCTTGTATTCAAAGCCATACTTTGTAGCAGATTTAAAACTACTCGCCACTACAATTTATGTGATGTTGGAACAGGGCCGCAAATGATCTGTTCTGAATTTCTAGAAACTACAGATGTAGTTTCTCTGTGGTTTGTTCATAATATCTGCTTTCCAACAGGGAAAACAGGGAGGTTACTGTTCGGTGTCATGGGTTTTAAAGCTGAAGTACAGATTTTGCCATCCTTGAATACACTGAAAAACAATTTTGTGGAAAAAAAAAAATCGGTTGTAACCAGCAGGGCTGTTTGTTTAGGTAGCGCTGAGCAGGTGTGAAAAACCAGCTTTTAAGCCAAGCAAAGCTTGACCTAAATTTGTTTCATTCTTAAGAAGAGATATTCAGCTGATGTTACCAGAAACTCAGCAATAATAACAGCTTGCCTAAAATATGCTTCAGACTTTAATCCTGATTCCACGAGTAGAGTTGAGAGAAATGGATTTCTGCTGTAAGAACAGCCCAACGGGAGCAGACAACTCAGTGGGGAGTGACAGCGGCACTGGTTCACTGCAGACTGGTGGAGTGTACCACTATTTGTGGATTTGCTGATCAGGATGCTGGCCAGAGCTGCTTCGTGGTGTACGGTGTATGGAACGGCTGAGTTGTCTCAGTGCTGTTTCTCAATGTGCCATAGGGAGAAATTTTCTGATTTCAATCTGCCTAAATTCCACTTTTCTTTCTTTTTTTTTTTTTTTTCATGTTTTGGTCTCCGTCAAGAGGTCTTTGCTTTCACTTCTCTTATTCCATGGAGTTGAGACCTGTCTTTACTGAATCAGACCCTGCCTGATACACTGGCAAGAAGAGCAGCATTCAGCAACTATTACAGGGCACATAAATCAGAAAGGCCCTGGCAGTAATAAATCTTTGAGAGCACTCTGAAAAACAGTTCAAATTCACAAGTGAAATGTTACGAGTTGAAACTAAATAGTATTTTTCCTGAACGCTGTTTCTTACCTTGGCTTCTACACTGTAGGTGCTCACAAAAACTGGGGTAACAGGGATCCTTGTTTTCGTGTCTGCACTTTGTTTTCAAAGCGTTGCCATGTTGGCATATTGATGACAAGATGGCAGAGTTTTTGCTGGTTTACTGCAGAAGCAATGGAAGCAGCGGAGGACATATCTGTGTAGGCTTCGTAAACTTACTTTGAAGTAGGTCAAGGGGTGGGATCAGTATGTAATTTTGCAGTAGTCCTTACTTTGTCAGAAAGTGAAACGTTATTTTTTTAATTTGTTGATGGCTTTTTCACTTCCCCCATCATTTAAAAGGAATATGTTTTATCGTTTTCTTTCTGTTTTTCTCTCTGCCTCCCCTTCTTTTTATTTGTTTTTTTTTTTTTCCTTGATTTTGTGCAAAACAAAATTTGTTTCCGTAACATCTTGATGAAAGTGTGTTCCACTCCGTGATTTGATGAATATTCAGAACAGGCATGCTGAACGAAGTGGAGCGCTTGGTCCGTTAAGCAAGAGGCTCAAAGTCAAGAATAAACAGAAGTTTGCAGGCTATGGTTGGGAGCGACTGAGATCTAATGTGCTTAGTCTCGCATGGGGGTACAGGGAGAAGAAAGCTAGCTAGGGGGTAGTAGCCAGGAGAGAATGGCAGTGGGATTAGCTTCAAAGGAAGCGATCACCAGGGTGCCGCATCAGCTGCTTTCAGCAAAACTGCAGGGAGAGATTAAAAAGTGGTGGGAATAGAGAACAGGTTATTAAAAATACTGGAAAACTGTCAAAATACTGTAATTTCGGTGGCAACACTTCTTTGGTTTTTCTTGTTTGTTTATTTTGTCATCCCCCTTCCCTGTTTTCACATACATGACAGAGACGGAAAGCTGAAGGAAGCAGATCAAATCCTTGCTATTAACGGACAAGCCCTCGATCAGACAATTACACATCAACAGGCTATCAGCATCCTACAGAAAGCAAAAGATAATGTCCAGCTAGTTGTGGCCAGGGGCACTTTCCCTCAGCTCATCAGTCCTGTAGTTTCCCGATCTCCATCTGCTGCTAGCACAGTTTCAGCCCATTCCAACCCGGTGAGTATACCCCAAATGTTTCTGTATTCATGGGCATGCTTACTTGCATCTAGTATTTTGAGACTTTTTTTTTAATGCCTCGAATGTACATTTCCTTCACAGTTCTTGAATTATTGTTCTATTTATCTTTGTTCTACCTATTCCCGTGCAAAGAGTACAAAATACTCAGGCTTGCCGGCAAGATCTTGATCTTGGACATATTCCTTCTTCCCATCTGCCAGATTCTCTGTATCCATCGATGCAAATACAGCATGTTTACCTTAATTTACAAAGCTTCGTTTTGAGGTAGCAGTAAACAGGATCTTTTTTTCTCGTTGCCTTTTGCTTGGCCAAACAGAAATTTTTGAGGCATTGCGATCTGATCTGTGCCACCAGCCGGATGGGTGCTTCTGTGTTTGTTTCGCAGTTGTCTGTTGGCAGCAGGGCTCAAGTAAAGCAACAGGAGAGACCCATCAAAATGCCATGTGTAGAGACACACTTTGGGAGCCCTAGAAAACAGCACTGCTACATTTCCTTTCTTTCTTTTGAAGGCTTTTCAACCTTCCTGGTATCTTACTCATATAATAACTTGCCCTGGGCTGAAACGACCTGTCTTTGGTTTCTGTAGATTTTGCTGTTCGATCGTCTGTGGCCCTTCCTTAAGGGAGTTGATAGTCAGGGCTACACAGAGCAATCAGTCTGGAAGAAGCAGCTATTTTAGAGATTATTTTAGCTAGTAGCATAAAAACTTTAGTGAAGAATTTTCTGAACTATTCTTTTCTTCCGCATGCAGGAAAATTTGATTGGTCTAACTTTTCATGTCAGCACAGAGGAGAGGCCTGCTGTCTTCTAGTATTCCTGTGACAGATTTCTTTATCTGTGTGGTTACCTCCATATTCTTCAAACAGTTTCCCTTGCTTTAAAAAATACTCCTTTCAAACCTGCCACAGCTCCTTCTGTTTTCCTTATGCATGCCTTTCCCAGTCCGTGTGTTCCCTTCGCTTTCAAATGCTGGGGGAAAGCAGCTTATCTGGAGACGTTCTTTTTGCTTCAGGCTTTGCTTGGTCATCCTTGGTTTGTGTTAAGACCACGGATTCCCAAACAGGTACTGCAGGGCTGTGAATGTGCAGTACCTTGATTATTCCAAAATAACTGCTGATTTTCAAGAACCTACCTGGTGGAGCACCAGCTGCAGTTTTAATTTCAGATGAGTTTACGGTGGGGTTTGTTCTTCAGGAGAAACAATACCAGGAGCTTCCAGTCGTCCCTTCAGTTTGTCCTTTCAGCACTGCCCCACGTGAGCAAGCTAGTGTTTGTCTTGTCTTTTCAGAGCAGTTTCGCTCCTGTCAGAACATGAAGCCTGCCATCAGAGCCACTTCATTCCAGTGCTGTTGACATCAGACAAGCCAGAAATCTTTGTTCCTTACACAGGGGGCAATTCTGCTAGTGCCTGCCTTGCAATGTCTGGTCCTGCTTTCAGCCTTAACCTCTAAATTGGGTTTATGCTTTCTCCTTTGCTTTGTTGTAATGGATGTTTTTTGTTGTAATGGCTGTTGTGAACATGCACTTATCTGAAAATTTTAATTTCTAGTCCTGCGAGATTTCGTAGCACCTGTATTTTTCTCACATGCACTGTCTTAGGTTGCTGATTAAATTCATTCAGCAAGTTCTGCAAAGGCCTGACCCACTACCCCGCTCTTGTTTGTAGCAGTAAAGTTCCAGATGTTATGTAATGAGCAATTTATTGCTTAAACATTATGTAATCTTATAAGAGAAAATATTTTGCAAGTTTTAATGTATAGATGTCCTTATTTTAATCATTTGCAAGATTATATTTATTCCTCTTAGGTTCACTGGCAGCACGTGGAGACCATAGAGTTGGTGAACGATGGCTCAGGTCTGGGATTTGGGATAGTTGGAGGAAAGTCAACTGGAGTGATTGTTAAAACCATCCTCCCAGGAGGGGTGGCTGATCAGGTGAATTCAACCTACACTTATGTTTACCATTCAGTAGGGTGTGAAGTTGCTTCTGTAATCATGGAAGTAGGGGTAGCTTTTTTCCTCAGAACTGTGAAAAAAGAGAGAGCAAGTAGTGAATTTTATCCTCAGTAAAGGTGTGTTTAGTCCTGGGGATGTGTTCATTTGAATGTAAAAGCTGGATTAGGCTCTAAATAACACTTTCAAACCTGTTACTTTATAGATGTTTGGTGTGGATGTGTTTAGACTCCTAATTCTTTAATGAATGTACTAGTTGTAATCCAGCAATGGGGGGACACACCAAACGCTTTCTTGCTCTGCCCCGACAGCCAAGAGGAGCATCTGTTTCTCTCTGCTGGGCTTACTGAAGCTTGGAGCAGGCATGTGGCTTCATACGTCTACTTCAGGACACGGGCTCTGCTCCTGCCTGAAGACCTCATGTGAATTGAATTTGGTGACCAAAGCTCATTTCAAGCTTGTCCGTTGGACAGGTATCTAGGGCTGCATTAATGATGGTCAAGGAGTGAATAGGCACAGAGACTGATCAGTATTCTGACCACAGAAGTGGTGGCCTGATAACAGGGCCTAGAGATGCATTGACAGGATTTACTGCCGCACTCTTTCTCTGAACAGGTAGATGGGTCCTTTTACAGACCTGACTCTTTAATACTTTTCATATGGGCTAAATTCATGTGAATTTTTTTTATTGATTAAAGGTAATCATTAGGATGATAAAGCAGTATAAATAACTCGATCACAGTAACGGAGAAATGTATTTTATTTTGAAGTTAGTTAATCCTGAGCACCAGTTTTTAAATAGAAGTGCAAAACTGAATATATGTTTGTATGCTGTCTTTTGGAAGTGTGTTTGGAAATGAATCATGAAGTTCTCTAATCAACATGCAGTTGTTAAATACCAGTAGATAGTAACCATAACGATACGCATTTTTTTCTGTGCTCGGGTGACTGGCTGCTTGAAAAGCGATGTCCTGGATATTTCTGGGGAAATTTCTAGTAAAGTTAGTGTGTCATTAGGCAACCTACGTTTCTTCTCCGTGTTATCAGGATATTGACTTGGCACCTGAAAAAAGTCTCCTGGTTCATGTGTCTTAAAAGTGACTAAAGCTGTGTGGTCTTTTTCTAATAGTATGCTACGTGGGAGAAATCACAGGATGTTAATAGATTTTTTTTGATCGTCATTCTTCCTCCAGCATGGGAGATTGTGTAGCGGTGACCACATCTTGAAAATTGGTGATACGGACCTAGCTGGAATGAGCAGTGAGCAGGTGGCACAAGTTCTGAGGCAGTGTGGAAATCGAGTGAAACTGATAATTGCAAGAGGTCCTATTGAGGAGCCACCTCCACCAGCGGTCCCTCCAGGTACACCCGTACCCATCTCCACACCAGAGAAACAGGTAAGCAACAGTCAATGTGTTTAACTCATGGCAAACTTCTACTTCAGCCTGCCTTTTCTTTTAGCTACTCTTAGAATGTCTTTCATGGTTATGTTCTCAAAAGCCAGGATTTTCTTTCCCATTAGTGGTGTTCTCAGCTGACAGTCCACAAGAATTTAAATGTCATGAGTCCACAGTGCATTGAGCTATATGCTTGAAGCCTTTTGGGATCAAGGCTTAGGACTTCCATAAGTAGGTTCTGAATAACGTCTGGTTCTGGGTTGCTTGTGATTGTGCAGTAATACATTGGGAACAACCAAAGCCATGCAGTCTTCTCTTCAGAAGGAACAAGCTGGCGCTGTAGCATTTCTGTGTCCGCCTGTCCTTTTCCTCTCCAGGAACACTTCTTACTTCCATATCATTGCAGCCATCCATCAGACAGTTCCTCCCTGTGCCAACCAGCACACAGATGCTGCTTCTTTCCTACATCACCTGGCACTACTCGTTTGCTAGACATCTTCCAAAAAAAGTCAGCCAGCTGCTAGCCTTATTCCCCTGCTGATGAATTTACTCTCTGTGCTGTTACTCCTCTAAACTGTCAGCCACTTAAAAAAGTGCTGTAAATATTATTAGGTCCTGTCAGCTCGAAATCTCTACAAAATAGGTCATTTGCATGTTTGCAGCAAAGCCTGGTTTCATGGGAGCCAGGAACAGTTGCGTTTTCTCACATATAGTTATGACCAGATACATTGAAATGTGAATGTGTGGAGTAGGTGAATGAGAGAAGAAAAAGGTGGTTTGTTTTGAGCCTACAACTAGGTAGAATTTATACCTTACAAAGAATTTTGTATTTTACATTTTCCTATTGTTTTTCTAGAAATTTTCTTCCCAGTTACAAATTACATTTCAGATAGGTCACTTTGGAAGAAAAAGAGCCCTAGCAATTTTTGCATGATTACTGTCATTTTTGCCTCTGTCCATTGTAGTGGTATCTGTGGAAAACAAACGTATTGTTCCCCTCTGTTGTGGCTAGGAAGTTAAGATTAACATAGAGTCTTCTGAGCATCTAAGTTGATAGACTGGTACTTTTGTGTCTCTGCAGCGCTCAGAGGCATGAAAATCTGGCTGTATTTTAGATAAAAGGATCAATATTTAGCCTGAATATTACTTATCTGAAAAGCAGCAAAAGAGAAACTGAATTTGATAATTTCATCTGTGTAAATTTCTTCAGTATTTGCTTTTCTGAGGTTTGTGTGATGCAGTGTTGAAGTCTGTTTCTGCACCTGCAGGATTTACAGGATTTCTTAGTACCAACAAAATAGCTCAAAGCCACCAAGTGGCAAGATTTGACTTTTTTTGCCACCTTTCTTTCCATTTCCATCCTTTTCAATACCTTATTCCTGGTACATCTCTCCTGGCAGGAGGCAGGCTGTTTTTAAATCGCCTCTGCCTGCACAAAGTGTTGTTCTTGGAGGGAGCACCCAGTTAATGGTGCTACAAACCTGATTAATTTTGGTCTAGAGTGAAGATGATGATGGAGACAGCTTGTTTTTTTCTGTTTCTTCCTGGCAAATACAGGGTGGGTGAAGACTTCATGATGCTCTTGAAGCTATTAGTGAGAGCAGAATGGCTTTCCAAAATGGGCAGTTCACATCATATCTGTCCTCTGTAGGTGTCTATCCTGTAAGAATTCATGAGGTTGTAGAAATTGGAGCATTTTTTTAGTGGCATGACCTGTGGTCAAAATAATCCTGTATTATCAAGCAGAGAGGTAGTTCAAGCAGTAGAAATTTATTTTTATTGTGCTTGACTGTGGTTTTGGGTGGAGTTGTTCAGATAAGAGCTGAAGTCAGATTCTCTTTTGGCAAGTAGCGTCATAGCTCTCCTGAAATCTTTTTTTGGCACGTGCATATTCATCCAGTCAAACTGGGTTTAGTTAGTATCTGCCTGGTTGCTGTAGTGGCACTTGAAAAAACATTAGCTTCTATTTGTTGTGAAAAAGAGACAGAATAAAATAGGAGTACAGCAGGTTCTTGATGGTTTTGTACTATATTTTTGAATTCTCATTTTAAATATGTGCATACATATTGATGTCCATATAAATACAATGAAATTGAAGCCTTCTATATGTAATAGTGTACTGATACATATCGGCTATGGAAGTGGGTAGTAACTATCTGGTTTAGACATCTGCAAGATGATAAATTTTTTAAAAAACTTCTTTTAAAATGTTGAAATTGAGCTTTATAAGTTGATTTTCTTCTTTTAATATAAAAGCAATATTGTTGAATTGGGATTTTAATATATATTGTACTTTCGTGAACAATAAATACATGAATTCATTACACCAAAAATCCTTTGTTACTGAAATTCAGAGGGTTGTAGTAGAGATTAGCAGGGATTGTCATTATTTAACTAGCTGGAAGTATAATTGCTACTTTCTAAACCAGAATTTTTAAGTTTTTCAAAAACAAGAAACATAATTGCCTCACTAGTAATAGCTTTTATTATGTTTTAAACATGCATAGGAAACAAAATAGCTGTAGCGGCTGAACAGGAATTTAAACAAATAGAATACAATGTATAATTTTGATCTTTATTTTCTTCTTTTTAATAACACTGCAGTCTAAAGGTGGTTCTGACTGGGTCCCAGAAGAGCAGCAAGCTACATATTTTAACATTTAAGCATACTTGGTGTAACTTATTGTACAAGAGGTTCATTGTTCAATTTGAACAAGTTTCACCAGTGATTTTAGTCATCAAATAATGATTGTGCAAGTTAGAGAGTGTCCTGGTTTCGGCTGGGATAGAGTTAATTTTCTTCCCAGTACCTCCTGTGTTTTGGATTTAGTATGAGAAGAATGCTGATAATACACTGATGGTTTTAGCTGTTGCTGAGAAATCGAGGCCTTTTTGCAGTTTCCCAGGTTCGGCTGATGTGCAGAAGCTGGGAGGGAGCACAGCCAGGCAGCTAACCCAAGCTGGCCAACGGAAATACTCGATACCATAGATGCCATGCTCAATATATAAATGGGGACTGGCAGGGGGCCAGGAACTCTGTTTTCTATGAGTTCAGTCTTTTTGCATAAGCTCAGCGAAATCTGCAAGTTCTGTGATCCCTGCTTGGGGACTGGCTGCATAATCGGTCATTGGGCAGTGAGAAAAATTGTGCTGTGTATTGCTTGTATTGCATATTATTTATTATGCCTCTTCCTTCCTGTGTTGTCTTATTAAACTGTCTTTATCTCAACCCACGAGTTTTTACTTTTTGTCCATTCTCCTCCCCATTCCGCTGGAGGTGAGGGAAGAAGTAAGTGAGGGAATGTTAGCCAAGTCTAGTTTCTCTGCTGAACACCAAACAAGAGCGGAAGCAAGTTGGTACTTTCTTTATTTACATTTGTTCTAATTTTACATGTTAATGGCATCAAAGAATGTGGCAAATCTTTAAAGAAAAAAAAAGCTTCCTTTCTAATCACACTTCTCTTATTAGGCAGATGCTTCTGTTGATAGCTGTGAAGATGGGGAGAAATTTAATGTTGAACTCACTAAAAACAACCAGGGATTAGGGATAACTATTGCTGGTTACATTGGAGACAAAACATCAGGTAATGGTCTATTCCTGCAGTTTACTATACTGTCTGTTGCGTACTATGGTGTATGTACATCAGAGACCTTATTTTAGTTTTGGTATATCATCTCTCAATAAAATCTTGACCATCTAAAATCTTTTTAAAGTTTGTAAAGAAAAAGGAATCGTTTTCCTTTTGTGAGGAGGATGTTCAGATTAGAAGCAATCAGTTTTATTATAAAATCCAACCACAGCTTTTCTTAATCAGTTTTTGCATTCACTCTTGGGTAAAGCTTGTGTTTTTAGGATTTTGATTTAACTTTTCCCCGTGCATGTATTGTTAGAAAAATGTACGTATAGATATATCCCATATTATTGGCAGTTTATAGTCACAATTTGTTGGCTTTGCTTATCTGGACTAAATTTTATCAGTCTGTTCATAGGACAGGGTGGTCACAGTTTGTCTTAGTCCGCTCTTCAGCAGCCTGCAGTTGAATCTTTAAAAGGCAAATTAAATTGTAGAACATGTGATAAATATGGTAGCATGTTATTTTAACTGATTTAGTGTTGGGGTATCACCAGTCTTTGATTTTAAATTACTATGCTGCACGTAACTGCATTAGCAAATATTCTTGCCTTAGGAACTAAATGGGCATCTCACTCAATTTTCTGACTTGGCTAAAGAACAACTTTGTTGTCAGAGAAGCAGCAATAAAGCTACTGGACAACAAACTCTGTGGGTGAATCTTTAATGAATGACAAATAGCAACTGCCATGTTACCATACAGCCGTTGCAGGATATAAAAATGCTTCAAAGTTAGTAAGACCAGCCATTTAATTATTCACAAAATCTGGGAAAACAACAAATTAAGAAAAGACAGAAAAGAATTGTCAATGTTCAGACTTAAGTATATTTGTAGTCTCGTACTTCCTAAGCTGAATATAGTCATTAGAGCAAAGCATAGATTTAGCCCTCCTTCCAGCTAACATTTGCTATGTTGAGGCCCAGTAAAAGATGAGTTTCAGGTCTGCAGAGGCACTGGAGTGTCTTGACAGCTATTAAAACCCAGTTTGTAGTGGATTATATTCCTATCATCAAATGTATTCATTTAAGTAAGTTGGAACATTTTTTGGGAGAAAGTAGATTCCGTTAAGAGATACGATACCAGTGTTATGGGCCTGTGACCCTCAGACCTGATTTCATGTCAGTTCATGATAGTATTTTTCTTTATTTGATTTATGCTATGCAAAATGCGCATTTAGGAACTACATAGATATTCACTTTACTGAGCTGTTAAAGTTGTTTCAATTTCCAGTGTGTTTTTCCTGAAAACGGTTTCTTTTTGTAAAATGTCCCTTCTGTAGTTGTTTTATATATATTACTTTTCTTTCTGATTCACAATCCGTAACTGTACAAAACAGTTGTTTTGGGGTTTGGATTTTTTTTTCTTTTGTCTTTTTTTTTTTTTTTTTTGAATTGGATAAAATACTGACTTACAGCTCTAATTAAAAGCTTGTTCAAACTGAAGTTGTAGTCCTGCTCGCCTATAATTTTCTGCAGTTTGTTGTACAGACATGCATTTTCTCACATGATTATTAAGTACATAGAAAGTACAGAATTAGCCAGGTTAGTATACTCAAACTGATTTTTCTGTCCTGCAGTTTTAAATCTGGCCAAGAGTCAGAGATGAATTTTTGATGATGTTTTTTTCAACATTTGGATTAAAATAAGTGAGAGTATTTCTTCTTTTGCAACAAGAATCGGGAATTTGGCCTTGAAAGATTTTTGAATGAAATCTGGTCCCATGCAAGCTGACATTAATGAGGCTTATGCTTTAGGAAAGTAGTAGTATGTATGTTTTACTTAAAGCATATACTTTCTTGATGATTCTTTCCAAATCTGACTGGGAGGTTGTGTTTTCTCTCTTTTTCTCCCTTTGGCTGGTGACATTAGTTGGAGATTGTTGCTTTATTTAAATGTTTTTTAATAAATAAGTTCATTTCATTTTCTCTTTGTTTTCATCCCAGAGCCTTCTGGTATCTTTGTTAAAAGCATTACAAAAGGCAGCGCTGTTGAACATGATGGCAGAATCCATGTGGGAGATCAAATCATAGTTGTAAGTAATCATAGAAAGAGATGAGATAATTTGTCAGAGAACTCTTACTTCTTTTAAGTTGTAAAGAAATGCTCATACAGTACTTGTTTAAAACATTTAGGATTGGTGTTGAAAGGGTGAGTCGTTTTTTTGACTGTTTGATCACATTGTCTTTCTGATTACGCTACCTGTGTGTAACTTGTGTTTCTAAAGAAAATCTGTGATGTATGTGTGTGTCTTGTCAGTAGGAGCTTTGAGACTGCTTAGTAAGAGCAGAGTTTCAAAGCTTGGTTCAAATTAAGCAACTGTTTTCAAAATTATTTTTATAAGTTTGTTATTAAAGTTGTAGATGCTCAGAGAAAGAAGAAAATTATTTCTATGCAAAAAACATTAGTTGTGTGGTAAAAATCAGGTCATGAATGCAGGAACTGCCTTTTTTGTGGCTGTCAAAGATCTGTCCTTGCGTTTGTGAGAAGGCAACACGAAGAACAAGTTATGGTCTCTCTCCAAGTACAAACATGCCTGTATGTTTGTAAGTGGAAGTATATATGATTTTTATAATTATTTAAACGCTGAGTACAAATAGAACTGATTATTCCAAAGTCTTATGTCGTCTTCTACTGCAGATGCAGAAGGAGAAAAGATTTGAGTGACCGCAGACAAAAGAATACTAAACATCTTTTAAATATGGTTTGCTTAAGTATGCAGGAAAAAGTAAATAACCCCATCTCATTTTTAATTACTTTATATTTAGCAGAGCATCAGAGTGGGAAGAAGTTCAGAGAAGGGCAACAGAATGATTAAGGGTATGGGGCAGTCATTCTTCATTCAGGAGGAATCAAAGTAATGGAATATGTGTGTTGTATAGGTAGACTGAAACAACTACAGGAATCAAGGAATATGGTATTGTTAGAAGTATTTTAGAAATTAGAGGCACTAAGGAGTGAGATGAAGAAAGAGTGGATAATATGGAGTTTACAGGGAGAAGGAGAACAAAAAGTGGCATTTACTAGGGATAAAGGGATGAAATTGAGCAATGTGAAAGTCTGGAGTTTCAGAAAAACCCCTGAGTTAATGAGATAATGGAATAGCTTCAAACAGACGAGGCCAAAATCTTGTTCTTTAAAATATTGAAATGATGGAGCGGAGATGACATCTGGCTGGCTGGGACAGTGCTTTATTGGGAAATTGGCCTTCCGCTGTGTCTGAGGGTACTTGACCTCAGAACAGCTGCAGTCTGTCCTACCACAGGGGATGGATGTCTCTGCTCACCCTCCCCAGCTCTCCTGGCCATGGCTGTGTTGGTTTATTCACACAGTATTTTCTCCTCGGAGATGCAGATGGTTGAAGCAATCGAGCAGCCGGCTGCACAGCGTGCTCTGCACAGCACATGCTGCGTCCTCTCCCACCTCACAGAGCAGATCTGCCTGGCCCCACGGTGGCAGGCACCCAAAGCACTTCCACCTGCTTCGCTGTGGTACTGGTTGTTACCTACCTGTGGGGTACCCCTGTGAAAGTGCTTAATGTATCCAGTGTCGTTAAGTTGTCCAGCTTTTTGTTCTTGTCTCTCTGCTTGCCTTGTGCTCAGACTAACAGATGCTGAGCTCATTGTATTATTTTGCCCTGGACATTTTTTTTTTTCTCTGGGTGATGTTTTGTGGGCTGAAAAGCTGCTTAATCCTGCAGGTGGATGGAACCAATCTTCAGGGTTTTACTAACCAACAAGCAGTTGATGTTTTGCGGCACACGGGACAAACGGTTCGGCTCACTTTGATCAGAAGAGGGCTTAAGCAGGAAAATCATATTCAGCCCCAGGAGGACTTCAGTGCTGCTGTTGAAAAGGACTTACTGTTCCAAACAATGGATAGTAGCAAAGGTAATTAAAATTGACTTTGCTTTAAAGTTGGGTTGAAACATTTTTCTTCTGAATTGCAAACTGGAAACAAAATGGACCAGATTCATTTTGGGCAGCTATTACTGATGGCAGAGCTGTCGTACATGAGCGGAGAATTTGGTCTACCGTGGTTTGGTTAATCTTTTAGACACAGTGGTATTATTTGCTACATTTTCAAAGTGAGTGTTGAAAGCTCTGCACTGCATTGAACTTGTGGCTGAATTGCTTCAAGACTTGATTAATCCTGCAAATCTTCAAATGGTAAGAAGGCAGCGAATGTTTTCTTTGTGCTCAAGGATGAGAGCTGCATTCAAGAACAAGCAAAGAGATACCCTCCACAATGAGCAAAAGCAAGTCTCAGTTCCTTTCACTACTGCGTGTCAGTGTCTCAAACTTGAGGTATGAGAGGAGTGGCCTATATCTAAGTTATTAATAATCTGATAGTGCATTAACTGTATATGTGTACAAAGTTCAGAAGCCAATGACCGAGATTAATTTTGCTGTTGATGGGATTAGCGAGGCTTAATTTTACACTCTGCACATCTTAAAGTGTATGTGCCAGATCTTGAAAGTCAAGATTCTGTTTGAACAGAATATCTGCACAGAGGCTGGATGCACAAACCAGTTTTTTTCAGCTACTTGTGTTACAGGTTGATGTTGGCAGAAGTATACCACAAGTAATGGGGTGAGGCATAACCTTCACCTTGCACAAGATCTTGTAAGACCAAATAGTCTGTTATCTATATAGCATGCTCTCATTCGCAGCAAGAATTACAGAGGAAATGCTCAGAAAGTGCTGTTTCTCCAGCCTGGAGGTGTTCAAGACAGCTGACAACAAGCAACATACCTGATAGAACTCTATGGTAGGAGAGGCTTTCTACAAGTGAAAATTCTGTTCGGTGTGCAGGTCTCCAAGTGTGTAGCATTTTTATATTTTGGTGTCAGCTTCCTGAGTTGCAACACAGAAAGCGGAGGAAGGAAAATAAAAAAAGGTAATATGAAAGTGCTGAAGAATGTTGTATTGTATGTTTTCCAGTAACTTTTCGTTCAGTCACAGACATGCACCTACTGATAGTTGTGCTTTTTTTTTTCTTGTTTGGTCAAAGAATTCACTGGAGAAGGCAAAGCATTAACGGAAGACAACATGTCTTTAAAATATAGGATTTCTTCTGGGGCCCTCATGCCAGATTCCATTTGCCAAATATGGATTGTCTGAAGTCCAGCGTTAGAGAGAGTCATTCCCTGAGGCATACCTGTGAGCTTGATGCATATTACAACACATAAAATAGCTGAAAAGTTGTCTTCTTTTTCCAGATAACAGTGAAACAGAACAAGGATCCCCGTCAGTGCCATGCAGTGCCAATGTGGTAAATATTGCAGAGGACATGAAGCAACAGGAACCAGGTTCTCAACATTTAATATTTTACTCTGTGAAGATACATTTGGGTGTGCTTACACAAAGATTAGGTGTTTTGTGTGTTTTTCCATCTCCTGTGTGCTGTGTAGCTGAGGTACAGCTAGAAAGTGAAAGTAATCATATATGTGAGCATGTACTCTTAAGTGCTGTAAGATCACTGACTACTGTATGTGTCTCAAAATAATTATGTGTCAAAGATGTCACCTGAAGCAGTCTGCTTTTCCTACATACTCAGCCCTCTTTTTAGTCTAGTTTTATATTGCTACTGTTTTTAGTCTAGCTGTGTATTAAACTTTTTCCCTCTTCCTTCCCCAACATGCCTTATCTTTCCAACTGCCTGCAGCTGCCCAGCTGCAGTTCCAGGACTTCTGCCTCTTCTGATAAACTTCACAGATTCCTCAGCTTGCATTAATTTCAGTCTCTGGTAGTGTTTGAAATTCAGTCAGTTCTGGCACAATGATGTGCTCTGGCTTTTCCTATACTCTTTCTGGAAATTCTTTTTTTCTGATGGGTGTTTTCCTCTCCCTTTTGAGCTGTTAGGGCACTGTGCTGCATTTCAGAAGTCCTGTGTGATGATAGGTTTACCATATCTGAGGCAGCATGTGATGTGCTTTGTAACATTCTCCTGCTTCCAGAGCTAGAGGGGGACTGAAACGCACCACTCGTATGAGTTCTGTAGTATGTATCTTTTCATAACTTATGCTTCCTATTATCTTGGATAGCTGAAGAATTTCTTATTTATACCTTTTCTTCAAGTACTGCCAGGTCTCTGCTTTGGGGAAAGTATTGTCATATTTGAATGCCACACAACACCTGGCTTTATTTTTAGTAATGTTTCTGACCAATGACTAGACTTAGAACACCATCTGAGGCTGTCAGTTTAAACTCATACTAAAAAGCCATTGGGGTTGGGAACTTAAATCATATCATGAAGATTCTAGTCTTCAGCTGCGTGAGCATTCAGAGCAGAAGAGTTTATTTTCATACTTACTGAAGGCATAGTGCAGACCATAGACCTTGAATATGTAGGGTCCTGTTAAATCTGTTGTATTTGCTGGCTGTTGTATCTAACTACTGCTTTTTGTTGTTTCTTGCCCTACAATCTGAACAGAGTGAGCGAGGGAAAAATGGGCAGGAGGATAACTTTTCTCTGTTTTTTGAGCCTGCAAATAAACTCAATCAAGTTAAGAGTTGCTGCAGTTTGCTGCCTAGCCTGTCATAGTGTTTTTCACACCATCGTTACTTTTCTCCCTTCCTTCCCTTCCAATTTCATTGCTGCTCTTTAGCTATTAGAATTATTTCTCATTGTATGTGTGCAAGTATGTGAATCTAACCAAAAAAAGAAAAAAAAACCCCAAAACAAGACAGGAAGAGATAGGACTTGTGTTCTCTCACTGCCCTCTAGGGCGTACGGTTTCAAAAAAATTTTACAGTTGTCTAATAGTTTTGAAAGTACAAAACCTCCAGATATTGTCTGAAGACTTTCCTTGGACTCCGTAAAATTGAGGGTCTGTCCAAAAGGATCAGTATGCAGTATTGCATATATAGGTATTGCGCCCATCCCCCTGAATCAGTTTGATGAGCTCACATGCAGTCTGATTTAACAAAAATGCTCGGGGCACGCATGTAACCTTTTCATTTGCTTTGTGCCCATTATGTTGTGAAGTTGCATTAAATTCACTCAATGCTGAGACGAGTTTAAATAGGTGTCCTTGCTTCCCAGCGGTGCACGCTGAACTTTTTGACTGAACTTCATGTCTTTCAAAACACGCAGTTAGTTTTGCAAGGGTGGGTTCTAATACTATTTTGCAAGTTTTTGCTCTGGTATGCCTAGGCCTGGTGAGACAAAACATCCAAGTTTTTAGTCATATTTAGGAGAGTTCTGACATAGTGGGAATGATTGTCTAGTCTTGCGTGGTCCATATACTTTTCTTAGTTATAGGACTAGACAAGACATTTTACTGTTTGTCACAGTAATCTCAGACATAACTTTTAGATTTCCAGCTAACTACTACAGAAGAAGCAGCTACGAAAGCAAAGTGGCAGAGGATTATGGGTTCGAATTATGAAATAGTGGTAGGTAAACTTTGTTTACTGTTATAAATGCCCTGCGATCTATCCACTTATTATGTTGCTAACATACAGATAGAAATATGTTTGTATTGTATTTGTTCCTTTCTAAAGAAAAATCGTGTGTATCCTCCTGAATCCCTTGAGATTATTTTATTTTATTATAAATTTTAAATATATATTTCTCTGTATTGATTTTAGCAAAATAATCACAGGCTTCTTAGGTTACTGTGCCTATGAGTATTGTTTCACAGATTTCCTAGCTTCAGGAGGATAGATGTGTATTAGAGAAAAAGTAATATTTAGGGTGAACTTCAGAGGTCCCTTCATGATCCAGAATTTGAAGCTGATGCTTGAAACGTCCTGCCCATTCTGCATACTTAATGAATTGTTTGATGTAATGGTCTAAATAATGCATAGCACATTTACTGTAAATGTAGTTGAAAAGCAGTATCTGAGTTTAGGACTTTACTTCAGAATTATATGCCAGAGCTGTAGTCTTTACAGAAGTATGTCTGTTCTTGTCACATACAGTCTCTGCTTGTTTATGCTGAAGTGGTATGTGATAAAAATTTCAGTTTTTATGTAACTGCCCCCATTACACATGACAATATTTCTGGTTTCTCACTTGTGGAACATTCATGTCATTTTATGTAAGCTGAAATGGAAGGTAACAGGTATGGCTGTAAAGAAGTCCAACATAACCATTTCTTAATCTTATTTTAGGTGGCTGTAGTTAACAAATTCAGTGAAAGCAGTGGGTTAGGGATAAGCCTAGAAGCTACAGTGGGACATCACTTCATTAGATCTATCTTACCGGAGGGACCAGTTGGACGAAGTGGCAAGCTGTTCAGTGGAGATGAGCTGCTCGAAGTAAGAGAAAATACTGCTTTCTCTTAGTCTGCATTCAGTAATGTTTTTGAGCAGTGACTTGCTTCTCACAGGTTATGACTTTGGGAATGTAGATACCTAACTGCATACCAGATGTAACCAGAAGTGATTGAGCAGTCACTTCATATGTACTTAATGCATATTTATGTGAATGCATATGCTTACATGCATTTCTCAGCTGATAGTTGTTTTTTCACATACGGTTTGAGGTCACCAAGAAAGAATAACTATCAAAAGCATTAAGATTTAATAGGAATATCCCTACACAGTGAAGGGACTAAACGCCTGTTTACTTTTCTAAGTAATTTTCATAGGATTAAAATGTGAATTTGGTTCACATGAATGCAAGAAACATGAAGTGACAGAGTATGTGGTGTTTGTAGGGTGGTGTCATGCAATTTGTGAGACTATCCATTCAGTTCAGAACTTACCTTGGTGCTGATGCTGAGCACAAAATTGAGTAGAAGTTAAGGGTTGACAATGTCCATTAGTGTGTTCTTTGGGTTGTTTTTTTTTTTTTAAATGAGATGATTAGCGACTTGGGGTTTTTTTTTTAGCCATTTTTGCTGATTGTACTTCTGAACACTGTGTACTTCTAAACACTGTGTATTCTTTTTTTATTGAGGTGAATGAGACCTCTTTGCTTGGAGAAAACCACAAGGATGTAGTCAATATCTTGAAAGAACTGCCTATTAAGGTGACAATGGTGTGCTGTCGTCCGGTAGCTCCCCCCATCACTCACACAGAAGTGCTGGAGAGTTTAAGTCTGTCTGAGGTTCAGCTCACAGAAAAGGTATTTTGTGTTAAAACAGTCACCGAGAAAATGACCGTTTCCTTGATAAAAAATGTGTAAAGTTCATGTACAAGATTTAGAAGTAAAATTAATATTTTAGGACTTGGAACCAGATAAATAGAAAAAGGCAGATCATGTTCCTCAACCATACTTTAGGCAACCAGAAGATGTCAATCCTGGTAGGTCATGGGCAGAAATATTCTGGGACACAGACCTGTCTACCCAAGTACTTCAGTTCTGCAGGTGGGCTGAGGGTGTATGGTAAACTGAGCTGTGTCTTGTTTAGAATCAGAATATTTTTAATTAGATTTTGAACTTTGCTTTCTGGATTTGTTTTGTGCAGAACAGCATGTGCATTCACTGTCATACACACTTCTGTCACTCATAAGTGCAAAGCTCTGGGCAGCCTGATGGACTGAACGTGCAGGAATGGCGTGCAGTATAGTGTACGAAGGAACAGGATTTGTATTAAAAGGGACACAGTTACTGCTGAGTTCTGGTCAAGGCACCAAATTCAGCTTATAGTTGCTAAGCTTTTCTGTGATACCAAGGGAAGTGAAGAACACATGTGTGTGTATGTATGTGTGTGGTTTTTTTTTAAATGTTCTGACTCCTGTCAGTGCTGCTGTGTTTGAATGAAGGCATACTATTACATATACCGTTTAATAACAGATATTTCCTGTATATTTGAATACAATTAGTAACAAAATTTTCTGAATTGTTTAGACGGAAATTCCATTTTGTAATTGTTCCAGTGAGTAGTTTCGTACACTCGCAGCATAGCTATTTGTCACAAGGGTATGTGGATTCTGTGCTAGGTTTATCAGACTTACTTGTTTACTCATGAGTGCTTGCACTTTCTCTGTGTGTAGAGACACATCACTTAGTTTTTGGTTTGTTTCTTGTGAACAGAGTTTTGTGTCTGCGGATTCATAAACATTTGCTCTTTACTGGTGAACATTCACTGTTTTCCTCAGGTTCACGTAGAACTTGGATTCATTGGCTCCTCAGACACAGAGGGAACAACTTTGGAAGTAGCTGATGAGGGTCAGAGTATGGAAGAGGTGCAAAGCTCGTCTTTGGCGATGTGGGAAACAGAAGTACAGCACATTGAGCTGGAGAAAGGGAGTATGGGACTTGGATTTAGCATATTGGACTACCAGGTAACTTCTATGCTTCTTTCTTTGAGTAAAGGACGAAATACTTCATATTGTTTGAATCTCGCAATATGATCTAAGTATGTATTTTACGGGTAAATGTTAATGGAAACCAAGCAATACAGTAAAGCTAGGTGGATGTCACTGCTGGTAGCCATCCCACTAGCCACATGACTTACTCATCTTACTGTATTAAGACTACATGGTAATACTGATCCAGACAAATAGATAATCTGTAATACACTAGGGTCTTCAGAAAGCCCATGTTCTAGCGCCCCAGGGGCAATGAATGATGTAGTCAGAATATTCAGGCATTTAGCCACGTATTTTGCACCTGCAGTGAGGTGCTTAGGGAAGATTCAATAAAGGACTTAAGTGCTTAAAGCAGGATTTACTAAAATCCAGAACTGCAATTCTGAAATCCCTTCCTTAGCTGCTGTCTGTCCAGGACATGCCTAAACACCCCCGTTCCTTTTGTGTTTGACTTCAAAATTCCTGGATATCTCAGGCTGCGATTCTTCATGTGTCCCGAGGAACAGCCCAGTGCCTGTCTCCTGCCTGCACTTTGTCAGGATCCTAGAACACGTGTTCCTCCTATTCCCAGTTGTCACGGTGGATGATTTTTAATCTGACTTGAAGTATTTTCTCCCTGCGGTCAGCATAGGCTTTTGCCCAGCTGCTTGGTTGTGCTGCAGGACGCAGTCTCCTCCCAGGTCTCCACTGGATCTCTGCACTAAGGGTGTATGCATTTGCCTCTGGAGGTCACTTCCAGGTGGAAATAATGCCCGCAGGGCACTGCTTAGAATTAGTCTGTGCCTTAGTGTTTTGCATTTGCACACTGGTAAAAGTGAAGAGCAGCGTAGTTTAATAGTCTGAAGGCTAACGGCAAAGTCAAGTATATGTGTTATGAAACAGTGATTACTCTTTAATGTGCTACTCATGATGCTCTGCAGTGAGACACCATAGTGGAGCCTGAGTATTTGGAGTTGACGTCAGCACAAAGTAAAGCATGTTTTTGCTTCAGCCTCTTCTGAAGCATTGACGTGAATGGTGGTCGCCCGTGTGGGTAGTTACTGAATTTATTTTATGGATGGTAATACTGAAGGGTTGTGGGAATTACCTTAAAATGTTTTATGTATTTTGCAAATGTGAGTTTGGTTATACCCTACAGTTCTAGTCAGCTTTCTGAAACTTAGCTTTGTTTTGATGTTATAATATTTGTGATTTGTCCTACATTCTCTCCTTTGGCATGTGGTTAAAACATTTAAATTTTTCACTGAAGTTTCTGCTTTCATGTGGGACTGTGAACAGTAAGTTTACAGTGGTTTTATCTTTGTATTTTGCTGTTCACATCAAATTTTCACAATCACAGAATCATGGAATGTTAGGGATTGGAAGGGACCTCTGTGGGTCATCTAGTCCAACCCCCCTGCCGAAGCAGGGTCACCTACAGCAGGCTGCACAGGACCGCATCCAGGCGGGTCTTGAATATCTCCAGAGAAGGAGAATCCACAACCTCTGGGGAGCCTGTTCCAGTGCTCCGTCACCCTCAGAGGGAAGAAGTTCTTCCTCATGTTCAGACGGAACTTCCTGTGCTTCAGTTTGTGCCCTCTGCCCCTTGTCCTGTCGCTGGGCACCACTGAAAACAGTCTGGCCCCATCCTCCTGATACCCACCCTTCAGATATTTATAAGGTCCCCTCTCAGCCTTCTCTTCCTTAGGCTAAATAAGCCCAGCTCCCTCAGCCTTTCCTCGTAGGAGAGATGCTCCAGTCCCCTCACCATCCTTGTAGCCCTCCGCTGGACTCTCTCCAGTAGCTCTTCATCTTTCTTGAAGTGGGGAGCCCAGACCTGGATGCAGTACTCCAGATGGGCCCTCACTAGGGCAGAGTAGAAGGGAAGGAGAACCTCCCTCGACCTGCTGGCCACTCTCCTCTTAATGCATACCAGGATGCCATTGGCCTTCTTGGCAGTCAGGGCACACTGCTGGCTCATGGTTAACCTGTCGTCCACCAGCACACCCAGGTCCCTCTCCACAGAGCTGCTCTGCAGCAGGTCCACCCCAAGCCTGTACTGGTGCATGGGGTTGTTCCTCCCCATGTGCAGGACCCTGCACTTGTTGTTGAACCTCATGAGGTTCCTCTCTGCCCAACTGTCCAGCCTGTCCAGGTCATGCTGAATGGCAGCACAGCCTTTTGGTGTATCCACCGCTCCTCCCAGTTTTATGTCATCAGCAAACTTGCTGTCCCTTCAACCAGGTCACTGATGAAAAAGTTAAACAAGACTGGGCCAAGTACTGACCCCTGAGGGTACACCACTAGTTACAGGCCACAGATGTACTTTCAGTGAACTTTGACTGAAGTTAAGGAATGTTATGTTTATGCTAATACATTCCTCATGTTTTACACAATGGTAGGAAAGTCTACCTGATTTCTTACCCCGTGGAAGACTATCACATACACTACAGAGGTGATTCTTTTTTTAAAAAAGTGTGTCATGCAGTGTCATCTAAAGTGACATTGTAAATACTTGTTGTTAAAATAGTGAGGAATATGTCAGTGTTCAGGCTTAAGCACTATCTCCAGCAATGCTAGATGTATTTCCACTTGTGAAGTGTTTTATGGCTTCATGGCATTCTTTTTATTGAACTGACTGCTGTGAAGTGTTAAGAATCTTCCTGGTGTCCTTCCCTCTCTCCCTCCATCAATGCTTGTCTCTCGCCCCAGCTTTCAGCAGTCTCCAGTTCCTGTGGTTTTGAGTGCTGCCTTGGTGATATGCATCCTTTTAGATGGACATCTTAGCGTGGAAACTTTTACAGTTGCGTGCCAGCTTGCAGGTGTTTGCTTTTCTCTTCCATTTGCAGTCAGTAAAGCTGGTACATTACTACATTTCTCATTTTTTTTTCTGTGCATGCACTCAAGTGAATTGCCATATATTGGAAGTATTATCATGTAATGATGTTCCTTGTGAATGTAATTCTGTAAGAATCATGCAAATGAGTGCACCTGTGGTAGCTGTAACAGAATCATACGTTCCTGTTGTTAGTGTTTGATGCTAGTATTTTTATAAAAATCAGTGTGTTCGAGGATGGGGACTTCAAAGCAGTTTTGTTTTCTAAAAGCAAACACCACTTTGTTGTGTCTTGTTGATTAGAGCGCTGTACTGGTATGTTCCTGTCTCCCGTAAAATGTTTAATCAGGTGTACGCAAGGACATGCCTCTTAAATCTGGTGGTGTGAGATACAAGAGAGTTACTAAAAATAAGCACTTTGTTCTGCCACAGGGCATGTGTTAACTCTGCCGCAGTCTGTGCTGCCCAGCTGTATTCCCAGACCGCTGAGTGTAAGGGAGGATGAAGTCTGCAACGCTGTCATTGCAGTAGGAAGTATTTGAATTTCTGATATGTGATTACTCAGTACAGTACAGACAGCACTCTGCAACTTAGCAGTATTTTATGCTGGAGATATATCATGGGACATCACCTGGAAAGAAGTATAATTTTCACATCTAGGAATTATAAATGGGTGGAAGTCTATAAACATACTGGCAGTATGGACAGGAGAGTACGTTCCAGCGGAGAGTTCATCTGCAGCAGAGCTCCAGCTTTTTTAATAACCCAGCTCTGTTGGGTTAGAAGAAGCTCATGCATAATAATTAGCCTCTCAAGACATGAAAGAGTAAATAAAATGAATGTTTTTCTTCGTTTTATTTAATTAGGATCCTGTTGATCCAGCAAACACCGTAATTGTGATTCGCTCATTAGTTCCTGGGGGTGTGGCTGAGCAAGATGGCAGACTTCTTCCCGGAGATCGACTTATGTTTGTCAACGATATCAACTTGGAAAATGGCAGCCTGGAGGAAGCGGTACAAGCACTGAAAGGAGCCCCTACAGGAACAGTTAAAATAGGAGTTGCCAAACCACTGCCTGTAAGGATTTGGGAATTTTATGGGTACTTTTCATGTCATTTAAGTTGGTATACGATGATCCTGACTTCTGCATACTGTGTGCTCTGGGTACAACTGGGTGGCTCAAAACATCTGTCTTTAACAGATTCCTGTATCTCCCTGTATATAGGAGTGGCCTGTGCAGTGTGTGACTGGTGTGGTGATTGCAGGACCTAGCACACTTGTCTTGCAGCTGAGAAAACAGTGAAACTTCTTGCAACAAGCACAGTCTTTCACGGCTGCAAGTTGCCAGTCATAATTTTGTACACTTTACAAGATTCTCTGAATGTGTGAAGTGGTGACATAAAGTCAATTCTATGTGGTTTGCCTGGAATTTGTCTATTCCTTTGCTTTGCAAGGTATAGTACATACGCAGTCTTTGTATTTAGACTGCACACTACATGTTTAAACAATGGTGAGTAGTCTTTAGTTCGTATACCTCGAACTCGCTATTTTAATACAGCTATAAATGATGTCAGGCTTGATTTTAGAAGGTAGTCTGTAACAATTAGAACAATGAGGTTGAAGGACACCTGGGGTTACCAAGATAAGGTATCAGTAAGGATGGTAGTGGACTAGTGTCCCTGACGTGTTAAATTCAAATCAGTAGAATGACGTACAAGATCAGTTCATATGTACAAAGAAGATACCTTTCACTGTATTTGTAATTCCAAGTGCAGTCTTTGGGGTTCATTTTTGCTATTCGTGAAATGATAATACTGTAATCCATGTGGATGCAGGTAACAAATTTTCATTCTTGGTAGGTCTTTGATGAGAGGGTGGGAGGGAATGGCTGACGTTTAAGTTACTAGAAACTTTGCTTTTTGTAGTAGAAGGGTACTTCTGTAACTTGCTTTGTTAAATTCGTTTTTTGTAGTGGAGACATTGTGTTACATACTAAAATGTCTTGCAAATCAACATTTTCGTAGTTCAGAACATACTAATCTAAAAGAGAAAATACATGGGGGTTTTGTTTCTGTTCCCAGCAGTTTGTAAACATTGAGTATTTGCACTTTAATATTTCACGTATTGTGCTTGCCAATTAATTAAGCATTGTGAATGATCACTGGTTTCTTTGCAGTACTGGACGAATGCACCTAGCATCATATTATGTATGAACAGCGAGTGGTTTGTAGTCACAATTCTATTTTGTAGTCTTGAGGCTGTTCCACATGGCAGATACAATCTTTAAAACAGAGACAGTGGATGCAGTCTTCCTGCCTGCTAACAAGATTGCTCTGTGGCAGGCAATGTTGTAAAGGCCTCTGCTGTTAGGCTCCTTCCATGTAGGCAGCATTGATGGCAGTTCTAGTACATGTTTAATAAGAGCAGAAATTGAAAATTAGTTTAGACTAGGCTGTGAGCTCTGTGGTACAGCTGGATAGGCCTGTTTCATTACTTGGGGATGTAAAAGGGGATGTGAAGCTGAATCAATTCAGGTGATTTTGAAAAAAATAGTTGTCTCTCTACCTACCCAAACCCAACACTGTGGCTGTGATGGAAATGAACTCTTTGCTGCATTTGGAATTCATTTGTTTCTCTAAACCCCCACACATAATGCACTCTGCACACCCTGTGTCCTGGCCATTCATCCAACTCAGAGCTTCATTCTTTCTGCAGCTTTCGCCAGAGGAGGGCTATGTCTCTGCTAAGGAAGATTGCTTTTTCTACACTGCCCAGTCACTTGAGGAGGAGGGGCCAGCTGATGCAGCCCTCTTCCATGCTGAGCTGGCTCTGGTTAGTGGCCCAACTTACCGAAGATTTCTGAAGTCTTTGCATTTTGTAATCACAGGGGTTGCTTTGTCACTGTTCGTGTTTATTTTTTAGTGTTTACTGTCACTCGTACACCATAGTTGGGATGGATCCCCACATGGTAGAAACTGGCATCTGTAGATTTTGGCTGTTTGCATGAGCTGTGAACCTGCCCTATCATATGTTAGTTTCTGGAAAAAAAGGAAGTATTTTGCTGAGATTTTCATAAGTGCATGGCTACCCACTTCTCCTTGCATGTACTGAGTATCCCTTTGAAAATCTTGCCTTGTGTGGAGCAATGCTCATGTACTTATGTGTAAATAAATCTCTTCACCTGTGTATCAAAATACATCACTTCTGTATCTTTAAAAGTTTTTGGAACTCTCTTTTTGCATGTAAGCCAGCCTTACAAGGAATGCTGTCTGTCTTCAAAAGCTGCCCACGCTTCCTCCTAGTAATATTCTTTAGACTTCAGCATCAATCAGTGATTATGAGATTTGCAAGGTCAAAAGGTGTTAATTTGTACAGTGTGGCTTACGTGGGCATGCATTGCTTTACATAGCTCAGAAGTTATGAGTAAGAACTCAGATAAAAAAGACAAAGGCAATAGGACTCTACAAAAAATATAAATGTTTTAGGTGTGTCTTCTCATGGTTGTTTGTACTGGTCTTGGTCTGATATTGACGTTATTTGGCTCTCATTTTCTGGGGACATGAGTAGGGAAGCAGTTCCTACTAAACACCAGAACTTAATTCATTAGAAAAAAAACAAAACCAAACAAAAACCTGAAATAGATCCTTCCAAGGCAAATATCTCTGAATTACTGATTCCAGTATGTTTACTATTTTTTCACATTTGCAAATGACAAGCTGGTTTTAATAACTTGCATTTAAACAAGACTGCCTGTTTTTTTTCTGCAGTTTGCTACGTTGGTACAGTAGTTAGATAATAGTGTTTGCATTGAGAAGTATGAAGAAGACTGTTTATGTATTATAAATATCCTTTAATTAAAGATGTGTTGACAAGACCAGATTGAAACTTAAGCATTTAAAAATTTTGTTTTGATCTGTGACTCATATAAAAAATAAAAATTGTGAAAGAACAATGAAAATGTATGGCAGATAATAATGTAGTTAAATTGTCAACTCTCTCAGCTAATTAAATGTGCAAAATATGAAATTAAGTGTGCAGTGATCCAGTTGAAGATGTGTTTGCAGGGTGCACTCACGAGGTGACTCTTTTTCGTAGGTAAATCTACAGGTCTGTCGCCATTCTTTATGATCCTTTTGTTAGGGCATAGCTTCGATAACATTAGTCTGCATGTTCCAGAAGATGGGCAGAGAGTAAGTTACACTGAAGGAGCAGTTTGAATTAGCTGTTAAGTCTTTAGGGTTGAGATGATAAAAAAAATGGATCATTTCTACCCTAAAAAGGAATCAATATGTTGAATCCCTACAGATTGTTGCTATTGCGAATATGACATAATGAATTCATAGTATGATTAACCACAGAGGCTGAAAAACAACAGTTAGGTACCATCTCTGCAGATGGGTGCACTTGGCTGATTTGTGGAAATTTATGCTATGGTCATGGCTCTGAACTCATTGATATTTTTTTTTTTTTGTTAGCATAGACTGCTTTCTTGAGCTCTGTCAGCTGACATAAAAGTATAATCAGAGTGTAGTATCTGAAGCACCATAAGTCTTTTAAGACTTAATTTTATTCTAGTATTTCAAAGTATGGGAGTCTTGAAAAAAATTGTATTTCATTTAAGAAAAAGAAGCAAAAAATACTGCCCATGTCTGTGTCTGGAACTCTTTTTAAATTTTATTTCTCATGTAACAGGAGAATTGTCTGTATTAATCTTGCTGTCAAATGTGAAATATTTTGAAGACCACAAAAAATCTTGTAATAATTTTTTCTTGTTTTGGAAAGCATTGCAGTTTCCAGAAGGTTATTTTTTTGTACCCTCTTAACCTATGGAGTTGACTGGAGGAAACATTCCTGACAGGTGGCACTAAGTGAAGCTTGTTATTTTTTCAGTGCTAATTCTTGTACAAGAAAATTGAAAAAAAAAAAAAAAAAAAACCCTAAAGAAATAAAAATATTGATGCCAGGGAGCACAGCAGACTTCTCCCAACACCTTGTACTTCTGTTACCAGGCTTTAGCCTGCCTCAGCCCTGCAACTCATTCCAGTTGAGACTCCCACTTTACTTCAGATGTTCTTTGCAGCCCCTGAAGATGTGGTAGTATGAATTGCTATTGGAAGCAGAAACGTCTCATACTGTGCTGTGCAAATATAACTTCAATGTAAAACACAGAGGGGGGGGGGGAAAAAGGGGGAAAGGGTGTCAGTCAGTACGTAGCAGCTGAGGTGCATGTGTTCGGGGCTTATGTGATGTGAAGGTAACAGATAGCCTGGCTGATTGAATTGCTTTTGTTGTTAGGTGGACTCCGGCGAGGCAGATCTAGCGGATGAGTCCACCTTTGAGTTGCAGTATTCTCTAGAGAGTGACGTCTTCCAGGCTTCAATGATAGCTCTGCATGGCAGTGCCTGTAGCGGTGAGCTGAACTACAGCTTCTCTCTTCCACTATCAACTCCCAAGGTAAAAAGGAGAATGGTTTTACTGATGACAAACTTTGATTGTAAGTGTGAAAAGGCTGTATTATTAGATAGAAACGTTTTATGTCATCCTAGTTCAAGCTGCGCTATTTGTTACCAGATTAAAGTGCAGTTTTGTGTAAGATAGTGGTGGTGTCTTTCAGATGTCTCTGTTGAAGAGAGAGGCAGCTAGATGGCTGAAAGCTTGGATTTGTGCTTTGCACAGCCAGATAAATTATGGTGAGGTGTTTGTAGTGTTAAAGCCATGGTGAGCAGTCTGCTACAAAAACTTAGTTGTTATAATGTCAGAGCATAGTAAAGAGTGGTAACACACAATAACTGCATTATTCTACAATATTTTACGTGTGAAAAGCAAGAGGAAGTTTTCATCCTAAGCTTGGCTTTTATTCTTCAGAGTTAGTTTGTTTGCTAATTTGTTTACTATGTTCTTGAATGAAATGTTCATAATGATGCTGTAATTAAAAGTAAATCTGTATATATCAGACCTCTGATTGCTAATAATTTCTGTTTAAAGTCATTAAATGAAAATAAGTTCTTTAAGAGTATGACAAAGATTAGTATGTTTTTTTTCTTGCTGGTCACATACCCATAATGACTTGATTGTATCAGAGTTGGTGTTTTGTTTCTCTCCGTGGTTTTTTCATGGTCTTTTTTTCTTGGCAATCTATAGATTTATTTTGGTATTCCAGAGTCTCCTAGCAGTCATCTTTGAAAGCGACGTTGCAGGGATTTCTTCCAGGGTTTGCAGTCTGTGGTCTTGAATAGAGTAGCTGCTGCTTTTTCCTCCACACCTGAGCTGCAGTAACTCCCCTGATCCCTTCTGGAATATGTTCAGCCCTTATGAGGCAGTGGTTGGAAGGCTAAATTCATCTTCTAATGTTTTCTCTTAATCCACAGAAGAGCACATCTCTGCTGTGCCAGTGGGACAGATTGCATTGTTTAACTCTGTAATTGTTACTTAAACGGATTATGTATCTTGCATGCTGAGAAGCATTTTAGGAGATAGAGGCTGGATTTACATTATGTGTCGCATTGAGGCTTTAGAAAGTCTTAAGTTATTTTCAGCATTGACTTAAAGATGGCTTCGATTTATGTCTTTTTTTAAAAATGATGGTCCCGACTTTTCCATGTTCTCTGCGCACCAGTATGAAGGTGAGTATCAAGTTCTCATCAAGTAACATTTTATACTCTGCAGTTAGGAGTGACTTCACAAAGTAAAGAAAAACTGTTCATAGAATAAGACTTTTGAAGCAAGGGAAATGCAGTAAAAATGAAAAAATTGCTATTTGATGCTATGAGGAATGCAGAGGTATTTCAACTATTTCGGACTGCAGGGCAGTTGACAGGTTCTGAATGTCTTTTGGTGTCACTTTCAAAATAGGCAATGAAAAAAATACTTTGTCACAGCAGTGCAAATGCTCTGCTGAGGCCACATGTTGGTGTAGTTACAAATTCCTGAAATTACATTTGTCTTCAATAATTACAGCATTGGCTTTTCTTTAAGTGAAACAAAAATAAAAATGGGTATATGCTGCAACTCTTATTTTGTATATATGGCATATAGAATAAATATTGAGAACTAGCTGGGTTTTGTTTTCACTGATTTGGAAATAGGTGCAAAACAGACCTAAAAGTAGATGTGTGAGCTGTCTTTGAAACCTTATGAAATAATTTAAATAGTTGTCGTACTGATGGTGTGTTCTCCAAAAGGTAGGTAGGAAATTATTTCATTAGTTGCATAATACAGATTAGTTGTATTTAGGCTTTGCTCAGTTATCTTCTCAGATGTTACTTGAACCACTTACTTACAGGTGAACCTATTTTGATGATTGTCTGGGGAGAGAGCAAGCATGTGTGCGCTTCATGAAAGATGAGGAAAACTAATTCTGAGGCCCTTGATACAAAATGTTGCAAAATATCCCCAAATCTGGGACATATGTTTTCCCCACTTTTTGGAAAAGCAATAAAAGTATTGATAGGATCAGTGGATGACAACTAAGGCAGATAGTGGTAGACATTCTTGTGACTACATTTACTACATTTCAGAGGAAAATCCCTAATACTAATACAGAGCCTCTAAGTCCAGCCTCCGAGTTCTTGACATATCTTTCTACTATCTAATGGCCTCCATATTTTTAAACTTACTTATTCTGAAAGCTCAGGTAGAGAATATTGGAAGATTTTTTTCGGAAAGTTGTGTTTATTGAAATACCTTGAATTATTTGAAATGCAGGACCTTGAACTCTTGAAAGTCTAAACAAATTTTGTGTAGAGAGCTTAATCTTAGTACTGCAGCCATAATCGATACACTTGCAATAAGTACTAACTGCTAAGCTTCTGTAATTGCATCATTGCATTTTGTTGTTGTCACAATTCAAAACCTGTGTGTTGATTTTTTGCTGAGATGTGACCGAATTTTTACTTTTCCCTCTTTGTGTGGAAGGAATATCTAAGTATGTTTCTGCTCAGTTAAATGGATGATTAGATTGCATGCTTATTACCTGAGCTGCTTGAAATTGCTCTTTGCTTGCTAGGAGTCTTGAAAATAAATCCCTTGGTCTTCCAAGGTTCTTCCACCTGAGAAAGATAATTGGATGCTTTAATTTTAGTAACCTGCTGGAGTTACGGCTCGTTTGAGGACATGTATGTGGACGTGACTTTGCTGAAGTTAATGGAGGGTTATTGATGAGTACCAAATTAGGATTAGACCTTAAGCAGTAACTTGCTTTCATTGATTTCTGGTATTTTAGAACAGAAGAAATTATCTGAGGAATCACGTAAATTTTACAGTGAAATGCCTGTAGGGGTCTACTGAAGACACTGATGTTACACAAATATGTTTAAATTCTGTAAGATTAGTTTCTGTTTAAGTTTTTAGCATGAAATGTATTTTTTAATCATGCTGCGAAAGAATGTTGATTTTTCATTTTCTTCTGTGTTTAACAGTCTGTTGGAGAGGAATGTTCTAATACTGCAGCTGATTTCCTTGTATCTGACAAAAATCTGTACAATGTGGATCCGAATCAGAGAGTGAGAGAGCAAAAGTCCATAGTGTGCAATAGCCTGGAAACTGCAACTGGTTTTGCTAACAAGGATCTACTGCCTCTGGATCTTTCGGATATCAACCAAAATGAAAGTGAAAACACAGAAACATGGACTGTATCTCAGACAACAGCAGAAATTGCACTAAGTACAAGCCTTGCTACTACCATGCCGCTTGAGCCCACTGGAAAAGTAAAGATGTTCATTCATTTTTTTAAATAATAATAATAAAAAAAAAAACCTATGAAAACAGTGTATTACACCATAGAATCTCCTGCAGAAATTGACACTAGCCACCAGCCATATATAGGTCTTTGATTATAAATGTCCGTCAGTTGTCGTAGCTCACATCGAAACTTACAGATTTAGACCTACCCAAACCAGGAGATGATTTATGATGTCAAGATAGTAATCTTCCAGAGGCTGGTGATGCAAGAGTATATAGAATTCTGCTCATACCTCACAGCAGTAGGCACTGCTGGACCACAGTGTATGCGTTGGCCAGGCCAGAGGGCTTTTCTTGTCCCCCTCCTCAGAGGTGTGGGCGCCGGGAGGAGGGGTGCAGCTGGAAACCAGGCCTAAGAAGACAAGAGGGAGTATTGTGACAGCCTTGCACTCTGGTGTTGGCACAAGCCTGCGCGGTTCAGAGTCACTGTGACAGGTGTTGCTTTTTTCTTCAGTGATAATTATTAAGAATTTCTTAAAAGAGCTGCAGTTTCTTACAAGATTTGTTACTTTAGCACTGGCAGATTGTCAGACATCTGTAGTGAATGAGTCTGAGAGCCCTTGAGTTCATCCCACAAATTATGAGAGTGTAACTGATGTCCCCAAATTAAAAACTTACTTTGTGGTAGATTTGCTATATTACCTGAGTGAAAACAGAAACCTCATGTATGTCGTTTTGATCTTTGGTGGGCTGACTTTTCCAGTGTCTGTATAAGGAATCTGTATTAATTGTGCACCTAGCATTTGCATAAGATAAGGTGAGTCGAGGTCACTATGTCTCATTGTAATTTTGTCTTGGTATTCTGAACTGATGTTATTTTCCTTTGTTGTAGGATCAAGTGCTTTTAATGGAGAAGAGATGCCCAGTACCCTTGGAGGGAAGTTCCACAACCCCAAATACGGTCAAAGACATGTATGAGAAGACTATCACTATTGCAAAAGGCAATTCAAGTCTAGGTAAGGTAGCTGACATTTTTTGTAACGTGTCAGGAATATGGCGTTCTGTTTTCCTCATAGGTTTCCTGTTTTATTAGTAAAGACTAAACATTCTCCTTCTGATGGGGAAGAGCATAAGAGGATATTCATTCTTTGCTGCTCTTGCTCTGTTTGGCTATGGTGGCAGTGGATCCATTGCTGTGAACACAAAAGTAAAGTGTCCAGTCTCACGGAGAATTTCTTTTTACTGTAAAGGAGTTTAGTCATTCATAAATGTTAACAGAACAATTTTAATACGTTGTTTTTTAATGTCTATACATTTATATAATACAGTGGAAAAATTACATATAGGCAAGGAATGCTTTAGAAGAACACTTTGGTCAAAGAGCTGCAGACTGGACTTTCAAATGTATGTAAACACAAAATGATCTTGCTTTCTGAGTATGGTCAAAAGGGTCTAAACAAGCTTTTCACTTTCGTGCTGTGTATTTGTGTTTGTGTCTTCAGTACCTCAGTATTTCTGAAAATCAGATCATTGATACATTTAATGGGTAGCATATTTAGCTCAATGATATTATCATTTTACAGAGAATTTTTGAATTTTAAATATCTGCAACTTCCTGAGCATGGTAGACTTAGAGGCATGTTTTAGAGCAAAGAGGCACAACAGATGGAAATGTTTCGTGGTGCCCTCTCCCGGACCCTGGTGTGGCTGTGGGCAGCGTGAGGGGGAGCATGGGGATAGCATCCTCCCAGGCCAGTTCCCAGAGCCAGGGTGGGGGAGGCTGTGTGGTGAGAGGCAGTGGTGCTCTCCTCCAGTCCGTGGCTGGTGTGTTCATTTGCTTTGTTGTAGGTTCCTGGTGCCACTTCTTCAGCCAGCTGCACGTCCTTGAAGCCTCTGACATTGGTAGGGCAGGCGTTTGTGTGGGTGCTGGCTGTTTGCAGTGACTCCACAAGTGCTGTAAGGGGGGCTGTCCACAGGAGGCACCCTGAACGAAGGCGATGGGGCTCTTGTTCATGAACAGCTGCCACTCAGGACTCCCTTGCTGTGCAGAGGTCGGTGGGCTGCTGTGATGCTGTAGCTGAGTGGGCGCTTCTGCCTGGAATAAAGGACCCTCTGACAGCTGGATGCTTGGTCCCGTCCATACCACCTTCTCCTTCCTGAGACAGCCAGCCTCCGTGCTGGATTGGGAACTGATCTGGTTTGAAATAAAGCCTCTCCAAAATACAAAGCTGTAGGCCAGGCTGATGTGTGGGTGTAAGTTCTGACTTTCATTGGTGTGAGGTGCTTGGGTAGCTACTGCCTTTACTGGCCTCACTGCCAGACTGTGTGTAGTGCAGGTCACTGTGCTGTTCCAGTCACACGGATTTTGTTAAAAACATTTTGTTTGCAATAACCTCTTAACTCAGTGGAGCAGTGTTTTTAGTGTATGTCTATGAGCATTTTAAGTCCAGTGAACATACAAAGCAAATTTCACGTCGAGCGTAATGCAGCATAAAAATACAAACTGGGGACAGAATGCACATTGGCAAATATGACATGCATGAAAAGTAAGACTGGCATCTCATGTGTATATAGCATGAATGTGAATAATACTTTCTTCTGGCTTTTGACTGTAGTCTTTTTCTTCCAGTCTCTGTGTGCTCTGGCCTGGGAAGCTGCCTGGCCACGGTAACAAATTTACACACATGGCTGCACTGCTTTTAACTTCCAGTTTTGACAAAAGGAGCTACATCAAGAGCTGTGAATGATGTTGAAAGCTGCAGCTGCATCAATTATTTCAGTTGAGAACTGGCACTTTTGTTTTCCTTTTAAAAGGTGTCGCCCGTAGCTTGCAACATCTCTTCAAATCCAGCCACAGCTGGAGCTCTAACCTTTTGATTGTGATTTTTAAAAGGTAAGAGGATGGAGCACCCACATGCAAGAAGAGCTGAAATGCCGTTGTCCTGTGTGGTTCAGTTGGCAATTTAACCTCAGACTGTAACTATCCGAAGTGTGACATAAACCTTGCAGATTGGTTGTGGTGAGAATGTCAGCACAGAAACCAGGGGTGATGTTTTTCTAGAGTGCAGTTACACTAGCCTCTGTCATACTGTTGTTTGTTACTGGCTTAACCAAGCAGCAAAGTTAGGTTCAGAATTTCAAACCACAATTCAGCTGTTTCCTTAGTAGTTTTCTGTGCACGCTGCCTGTATTCTGGTGGAGACCATTCCGTTGCTGAGCTGTGTTTACATTCAGATCTGACAGTGATCTGTGTGAGCAGATCGGTCAGGATGTGGTTGTTGCAAGGAGTACGTGAGTGTAAACACTGGGGCATCCACCCCAGAATGGCATCTGTAATGTGCTCAACGTTGTAATATTACTCATCTGAGGGGTAGGTGACAGGCAGTTTACCTCTACTTCTGCTAATAGGTAGGCAATAGATCATTGCCATTGTGTATGTCTACCACAAGTCTAATACCAGGGTTTAAATTACACCTCATCACAGCTGACATCATTACGTGGCAAATCATAAATATAAATCTCCAGTCAAAGGTAACACCATACTGTTTCATCAGTTTAATAAAAAGTGCCACGATGAAGATGGGTTTGCATTTTTTCCAAAAGATAAACCTTGACTTCTGCATACCAAAGTAGAGAGGTACATGTATTCGTGTGTCTAAGAAGCATATTGGGTAGTTCCGTGCTAGTCAGGGCCACCTTCTCATACGTTAGGCAGCTAAAGTTGATCTCAGCTACAAGTGGGTGTGAGAAGCCAACGCTATTAAGAGACTTTTATCTACTGGAAGGAGTCCTAAGAGGCACAAATGTGTATCTGGATGAGTGTTGTTCTTTAAATGGTTACAGTATGTTATTTTTCTATCTGAGACAAATGTATAGGCAGATGTTTGTATGGGTGGCTGAGTCTGGGTAGGCTGAGGCTTACAGCTGCCTTCTGAACTCTCTTCAGCCAGTCTGTCTCTCAGGGTCTAAGGTCACAGAGGAAAGTGTTTGGTCTCTGTTCTCTGTAGCCATGCTTGTACATAAACTGTTAGAATTTTTTCATAGTCAGTGTCCTTGGAGATTTTGCTCTGGTTGGCTTTCATCATCTTTTCTGCTCCCAGTCCGGACAGTAAGCTAAGGACTTGCAGACACACAACTGCACTGCCAGTGCTTGCTAGCCTGATGCTTACATACAAAACCAGGAGAACACATAGCAGGCTCTTAGTTCAGTGGCTTTATCTTGTTAGTAAAGGTAAGCTTCCACATTTTTAGTGCACAAAAAAAGAATAAAAATTAGTTTGGCAGTATTAAGATAGTGGAAGTCTACTGGGTAGAATTCCAGAGTGCTGGCCCTTCATCTACCTTAACACTGCCTTAGTGAAGAACAGTTTTTCCTGGAACTGTCATCAGGGTTCATCTCGTGAGCACCAACGGCACTGAAAATAACAGTGACAACTCATGCATGTAAGAACAGTCAGAAAGGCACGTAAACCCCAGCACCACAATTAAGTCCCCACGGGCTCCCCATAGAATAGGAGGGGGAAGAGCATCACTGTCTCATTTCCCATTAATGAAATGAAAGTGGGGTTAAATGGTGTGTCTAGACGTGGAGAAGCAGTGTCCTGCTGTGCCACAAGGTGGCATCGTAGTAGTGTAACTCAAGTAGTGGACTGCATCCATCAGGAGTGTGCAGGCTGTGACAGAAGTCAGGATGCTTTTCTGGGCTGAAGTGGTGGCCCAGCTAGGAGAGCAGGAAGGCAGCCACTATCTCTGGGATCCGATTCAGGCTTTCTCTTGAAAATAAGCATGTGGTTGTATTGGCCCTATACTCCTCATTAACTGTTTAATCATTTCATCTCCTTTCCAAAAAGAACCGCCATAAACTGAACTGAAATGTGGTGTGTAAACTCAGTGAACCATCCAGAAGAGAGATAGATTTGATGTTTTAGAAGCAATTTCATTACCTTTTTTGTTTATATTCTGCTTAAATTTTCCACACTTAGTTTTTTTTGTATCGTACCTGGTATGTGAAAGGACACAAGGTAAAGTAAAGATACTGTGATTGTGATTTGTAACTGCTGTCTCCTGTTGGAAAGAAGGAAATGCAGGGGAGAGTAAGAGCAATGTTTATATGCTTGCTGACATTGGCAGGTTGGCTCGCTGGCTTTTACCTTCCCTGCCTCCAGGTTACAATTTCTTGGCACTCAGAGTTGGGGCTCAAAGACGTTATTAACTGTTTCATGCGTTTTTCACTATAGGGATGACGGTAAGTTCCAATAAAGATGGCTCAGGAATGATAGTCCGCAGCGTCATCCATGGAGGCTCAATAAGTCGTGATGGACGGATTGGTGTGGGGGACTGCATCCTGTCCATTAATGAAGAGTCAACCACGAACTTAACCAATGCACAAGCCCGGGCTATGCTGAGGAGGCATTCGCTCATTGGACCAGATATAAAGTAGGTAAAGCTAGGTGATTAATTGTGGTAGGATGAGGCTAATAATCAAGATTTGGTTATTTATGCAAGTATTCTAAATGAAAATTGTGTTCATTTTTACAACATGAAGTTGCCTTTAAGTTGCAGCCTCAGATGGTTAATTCACCTTCAGGTTACAGCTTCATGGGTTTAGAAAATGAAATCACTTGTGTGAGAGGCTTTGATGTTCTTAGAAAAGTTATTACTGTCGTTAGTAATCATCATCATTACTGCCCTGCCTGGTTTTATTGAAGGAATGGGATTAGTCAGAGTTTTGCATTCATAGTAGGACTCTGCTAAAGAAAGTAAAGATTTTCTCACGGTTGTGCTGCTTAAAGGTAGACTGTCCTGGCCACTACACAAATGATTTCCTTTGATGGCAATCTTTGCAATGGATTTTGGTTTTGACTGCTGAACAGAAAGTATGACACATGATGTTAATACAGTAAAGTAATACTTAAAACATTTGCAGTACATCAGTGACAAACAGCAGAAACAGTTTGTTTTGTGAAGTCACTTCCAAGTTTTTTAGTACATATTAAGGAGCTGTTGCTCTAGTGCACAAATATCTGCTCTTAGGGAGTACTGCTTTAAACTTGCAGTAATTAATACAAGTTTTGAAAAATCCAATTGCTTAAGAAGAAATTTTGTTCCTCGCAAGTTCACTCAAATTACAGAATTTCAACTTTCGCTCCAAGTACATTTCTTTCTAGCCACCATGGTTGTGGAGTTAACTTTGCCCACATGCACCGTCTAGAAATGAGGTTGTTCCCAAGGTTGTGGACAGTGCTCTAGACACACCAATACTGGGTTTACAACTCCAAAAATCTGGTTGCTGTTTTTCTCAAACCCATGTAACATGGATTGGGTCACATCTGCAAATGGCATTAATGGAGCTGTTGGTAATGGAAGCTTCTGCTTTTTTAAGAGGGTGGCCTTGAAAGGGATCAGTTCAGTCCCAGTATGATTGCAGGTAACTGTGTGATTTCTGTCAATTCAAAATGGACTGCAGGGCATTCTGTTCCTCCCCAGAAGTATTCTAGCTGTAAAGAGACCTGACGTTTTGGAAACAGGCAAAGTGTCTTCACTGTGGTTGGTAGATTTAATTGACTGCCCCATAGCTGTCATGTGTTCAGATTATAATTTAATGCAAACTTGTTTAAATAATGGGATATGCTTATATAATGAATTACATTATTGTCAATGCTGTCATGAATATGAGCAAGTCAGTGTTGATAAAATGTGACATTGATTATTATTGTAGGCTTTCAAACTGTATTAGAATTCTGACTGCTGCAGTTGAAATCAGTTGATATGTGCGCATGTGTGTGTACAGCTGCTTAGGTAGACAAATGCTACAGCACCGTTCTTCTGTGAAGACTTTTTTAGTAATGCCGTAGTTACGTGATCAAACACAGGTGTGTTCATTATTTGTACTTGTCCTTTTATAGGTGCTGCATTTTGCACTATGTAACTAGAAGTTTTGTTTTGTAGTCTTAGTCTTTTGCAGATATGTTGGAAATACCGAGATCTTGTCTTAGAAGTGAGTATTCAGATTTTTCAGAGAAAAGTGCATCCCTTTTTTGAAAGATCTCACAGAAAAGAGGCAGTTGTTATTCATGTTCTTACTTAAGATTTTTGTCTTTCATTTTATATTTGTGGTGTTTGGTGCATTCCCATGATAAGGGTTTAAAGTGAAGCCGGCTTCTGCACTTCGAAGAACTGAAAGACCAGATCCCTCAATGGCTTCTAACAGAGTCTTGCAAGAACAAAGACAATATTTTTTGGCCTATGTAGTTTTGATACAAAACTATTGAGTATAATTAAGCTTTTCTGTGATTTGTACTTTCAGGAGCAGTACGGGATATCAGAAAAATTTTATGATACAATCATGTAGGTAATGTCCCAAATCACAAATTTGGATGTCTGGAACATTATCTCATGATAATTCTTCCTGTTTGCTGAGAGGGAAGCACAGCTGTATAGATGTCATTTCAGAGCTAATGTGGTTCAGCACCATGCAGGATTTATGATTTAAGGGCCAACATTTCAAATAAGGAAGTAGAATCTCTTTGATGTCTTCCTTGGGAAACAAGGGTGCACAAGAACTCAAGTGTGGCCATCTTGCTGTCATTCCTCTTTATCCATACAGGACTGCAAAACTTTTAGACTGAGCTTTTTTGGGGTAGCAGGATCCCCCCAGAAAATGATTAAGCAGAACTATTTTAATTTCAAAGCTGTATTTCAGTGGCAAACATTATTTGCTGAGGAAACATAAAGCTGTTCTTATTTGCCACATAAAGGCTTTGCTTTATTTATTAAAGGAAATTTGATTTTCAATAGTTCAAGAACCAGCAATCTGAGTTTCAGACTTAGGTATTTAATTTTTTTCCCCCGTTTTGTGTGGAAAACCAGATGTGTGGCCTTACCAGAATTCATTCTGTTTCACTTCGCACTCCACCTTGCCAGGAGCTCTTATATTTCTACAATAATAGCCAATGTTTTGTGCATAGCAGCAGCAGCTGCTTGTAACATCTGTCAGATAATTACAGAGCTGAATTCACCTGCCTAAAGTGTGGGGATGAATTCCTGATCAAGAGATAAAAGATAGATTGCAGTTCCATTTTCCATACTTGTTAATAATCACTGCTATAGACAGTAATAAAGAGCAGATGCTTTCTGGGGGAGGTGTAGGTGAAGCAGAGGTGGAATGGGGAAAAAAAAAGAAAATAAAATATAAAAGAGAAAAAAAAAGCAGCTCACACTTTTACATACATAAGTATGCCTTTCGCATTCAGCATGAGACATTAACATTTGTTAACACCATTGTAAAAAGATGCTGCATCCTATGCTTCACATTCTAGATCTTCTCCAGCACCTGCTGATGATCAGGCCCTCTGTTATGTGTGAGTATTGGCGATTCAGAAACTCATTATGGCTCTATGTTGCAACTTGTCTGTAAAATCATTCCATGCTTTTATGACATCCATAGTAATGTCAGGGATATATCCAGATACAGGTACATATTCTCTGTGTGTGTGTGTGTGTGTGCATGCCCATGTGGCTGCACATGTGGATGTGCATATATATGTTTTTTAAAAAAAGTATGAGTGTGTGTGTATGTGTATATATATATGTATATTTTTAAACTCAAAGATTGGAGCCTGCTTCCTAAGACTAGAATGACAACACCTGTTTTCTAAAAAATTATTCCTTATATTTTTAAATTTTATCTATGACAGCCACCCCAGACGTGTTCAGAGCATGTGTGTGTGTTTGTACAGGCTTCACTGCTAGAATTGGCATGAGTGTGATGTACTGATATCTGGATTAATCTCAGTGTCATATTTTCTGTGGCACTTACACTTTACTTTCTTCATGTATAAAAAGGTTCAAATTAGACCTTAAGTGTTAATGACAGTAATTCGTCCTGAACATTTTCCAGACTTTGTTATTTGGTTTGTTGGTGTTTCAAGGTTTTGTGTGGCTGTTCAGTCAAGCATGTGATAAATGTTCTTCTGTACTGCATGCGGTACTGTGTTTACAAGATACTTTCATATGTACACCCTTTGTTGTTTCCATTGCCACTGCTTTCATTGCTAGTGCATATCTCTGGGGGGAGGAGGCTGGTGGTAGCTCTCAAGAAAGGAAACCAGAACACTTTCTCCTTCAGGTTGCACAGCTATGAGAGAGAGGAAGTGATTAAACCCTGCATATACTTTCACTTGCAATTGTTGAACTTTAACTTCTCTTGCAGATAAGAAATGCAACACAATAGTAGAGCAGTCATTTACTTTTTTCCTGTTTTCTGTGTCTTCGTCCCTATTTCCTGGCACTTGTTTCTCTTACTCTTTTCCCTGTGACAACATTAAGGCAATTACCAGTCCTTTTTGCAGATGGACCATTCAGGTGCGTGGGTGGATTTTTATTTCCACTTCACAGCACAAGGGTTAACAGAGTTGACCAGAGGAGCCGAACATCCTCCTTGTTCTGGGTCCCTCATCATCCCAGTCACATGCAGAGCCGTTCAGGATGATGCTGGATGTCTTCAGACCCCACTGTGACCTCCAGGAAGTGAGCTACAGTAGCAATCCAGCAAATTATGGGTTTGATAACTGTGGGGTATCTGCCCATGAAGTACTAAACAGGGGAAAAATTATTGGCAGATATAAATCTAAGGGCTTTAGTACAATCTGACCTTGCTGTGTGTCACAGAAAGCAGGAGCAGGACAGACAGCCACTAGGTCAAGATGACTTTCTGGTATACATATTTCCTAAAACGCTAGATTTTCAGCAGAGCTAGTATTTTTGTATAACTTTTCACTGATAACACGCAAAGGAGAGAGGGGAGGAAGACAGTCACATAAGTAATACAGCTTAGCTAGAATAAGAGCAGCTACGGAAGCTTTTGTAGTTAACTGAACTTTGGAAATCATGAGCAAGGATCAAAGGTAAACTGCTACACAGAATAGCCTTTTCATGCATTTGATCCATGTAATTTAGTTTTCTGTGCTATTTTTTGTAAAATGCAAGTAAGTGTTCTGGTTTATATTTGTGAAGTAGCTGAAGCATTATTGAAGTTTAGTTGTCGATAAGAATGAACAGTTGAAAACATACTTAATGTTCCTTTGAGTGCTTAAAATTAGGCAATTAGAACTGTAGTTAAGAACTAGCATAGAAACAGCGTGATTTTCTGAAGAGCCAAAATGTAACAGCTCCCAGTGATACTGTCTAAATTTGATGCCATCTGTGGAGATCAATTAGGTAATTCAGTTGCTCAATTTTAGATGCGTTTTTAAAAATGGTGGAGCGAACCTCTTTTTTTCTCAGTTCCTGTGCTGTACACAGAAAGGGAAGCTTACGTACCTTAGAGCTTTTGGGAGATGTTTGTAAGTAGCATATACAGCTGTTTGAGACCATCCTTTGAGCTGTACCTTTTGAATGTTCCAGTACAATGTTAGTTATTCATTCATATAATGAAAAACGACAAGGTATCCTGGAAGATGGAGTGCATATCATTTGCCTCCTTCTTAGCTGATCGCTAACGCTGATGTTGCACAGAAATGTGAGGTAAGGACTACTACTAGCCTTGGACCTTGGGACTCTGCATAATTGTTTGCCATGTGCTGCTTGCACAAAAGGACTAGACAAGAGTTGAAAGATGTTGGACACTCTACTGTCAGTGATCACATTCTGCTGTCTGCATCCAGGATGGTTCTGCGCATGCCTGGTTCCTTTTTTAGGAGCCTACCTTTCTCCCTTCCATACTTTGGACAATATCTTCCAGCTGCAGTTCAGCATAAAGGAGATTGGCCAAGCCCTCTAGCTAGCAGAAAAGTTGCTTGCAATTTTTGTTTCTTTACTGCAGCCGTCTTTCAAGGGAAAATAAGTTATTTCCTACATATAGGGTGAAAATTGATGAATTTGATTGGGATGAAACTGATAAATGTAACTGGATGAATGGTACATTTTCTTTCATTGACATGCAGCTTGCACATCTCACAGCTTTTGTAGAGGAAAGGTATTCTTATGGGCTTACTGGGGGGTGCTTCAGCAGCATTTGCCTTGTGAGAGCTGCGTGAGCATAGTACTAGCACTTTGCTGTAGTTCAATGCATTTGGAGTTGGAGATGTCTGAGAAGTAGTAGTGATTATTTTCAAAAAGTCTTTTCCCTCTTGCTTCTCTCTGTTTCACTGCTAGGACTTCACAGAATAACTGCTGCATGTCTTGCCTGTTTCCCAGTGCTGGAATGACCTCAGGAAAGACAGATGAGGGTCGGTGACCTTCTGCTGACTGTTTGTTCCCTAGTGTGTATTAAATCCCCAACACTTCAAAGTGGAAACAGGTTGTGTCAAGCATACAACACTTGTGTGTTTGAAAAAAGGCCAGAGCAGAAGAAAGACATTTGAGGAAAAGCTGGTGATAACATGGATGATTTAGAAAATTGCGTTAAGAGAAGTGGGCCATTCCTCCTGTTCAGCACCCTAGGCACCTCCTTAATGACCATCTTTTGCACTTTTCTAGATATGGTAGATGTGAGAGGGGATAGGGAACATGCTTGGGTACAGGTGAAGATGACAAATAAAGATGGTCCTTATGATAATTTTGGTAGAGTGTCTTGGACAGACGGCGTTAGTCACTTAAAAGTTTTATTTGCTCTGCCTTCTTCTGCTTACTGTATTCAGCAGAAAACCAGTGAGAGAGGGAATCAGTGGCAGTCAGGGAGTGACAGACAGAATAGGACTCCAGTCAGGGGCTGATGGACAGAAGAGGGCTCGAAGTAAGTGAGAGACTCAGAGCTGAAGGAGTCTCTCCTCAGCAGCTTACACATCGTCGTAAAGTGGTCAAGAATTTTTTTTTCATCCTGTCTGTTCTGTGGGGAAATATGTTCCTAATTTTTAATCATGTGAGAGGTGAGAAGACAGCCATTTTTTTGTGTTCTTTTTCCATCAGCCTTACTTCATGGCAGATTTGGATCTGATAGTTAAGCTGCTTATCAAACAACTAAAGGTTTTTAGGAAGACAAAGAGTCATTAACGGAGTGCCATCTAACTAGCCCTGTTTAGATTATGGTGTTTGTTTGCCTGTAGAGCAAAGTCTTTCAAGAAATATTCTTCATGCCTTAATCTTTGTTCCTACTCTTTGTCTCACTCTGCCCGGTCTGTTGGGCTATTTCTGTTTCTAGCATTCAAACATGATTGGGTTACACCCAGACTTCAGGAGTCTGCGTGTCATTTGGTTGGTGAAACATGACTGTATGACTGTCCCAAGCTGGCTGGAAGTGCATGAAGGGGTGGAGGAAGGAGCTGAGCAGCGGATTGCTCCCTGTGGTATAGGTGGTGTGCTGTAACTCATTTGTGTGTCCAAATCCACACAGTATTTTTCACCAAAAACACAGAAACCTAAAATAGATAGAAAGCCTCCTGCAAGCCAACTTCCAGAAGCATTTTCAGCCAGCATTTAGGATGGTAATGGTACTTCAGACCTCACAGATCGTTCAGTGTTTGTCTTTGCACGAGGAATCTCTGTTTTGACTGAAGCTGGACTGTCACTATTAGACTGTTGTTGCTGCTCAAGCACCATTTACTTAAAATGGAGTTGCCAGCCCTCAGCAAATTGTGTACAGCTGCATAATTGGACCATAAATTCATATTTGTTGCAGAGTCACAAAGGATTCGTCTAACTCCTTATTCCCAAAATAAGAGCGTTGTGGCTTTGAAGTCAATGACTGTATGAAGGAGTCTTGAGTAGCTTCCGCATATTCATTCCTCGCACCCACCAAAGGCAGGACCAGCAGTCCTCATGCTACTTTAATCATGTCCTGTTTTATTGCAGTATTACATATGTGCCAGCAGAAAATTTAGATGAGTACAAGGCCAGTTTGGGACAACAGACAGAGGGAGCTGTGCCACTTTTTCCTTCACATACTGTCAGGTGAGTCAAAAAACTTACTGTTTTCTCCCATGGGGCTCTCAGATGTAACTCCTTTCATACACTTTGCACAGTTCAGGAAGAGAAGTTTTATTTTAGAAGAGATGAAAGATGGATTATTTTCTTCAGACTGGCAGCCATTACAATAAAAAGCTGTTCAGAATACAATTTTTGGTTTGGCTAGCAAATTTTTCTGACGTATTTACAAGGCTTTCTGTAAGTGTTTGACCCAAAAAGGAGATTGAATACTGCCTTATCCTAAACTTCTCTTAAATACCATGCAATTTGATTTGTGTATCACCACAAATATGCTTTGTGCTTCCAACACGAGAATTTGGCAGCAATGGTCTTTGCAGAACATATACTGGCAAGAATTAATTATGCTGTGCTTTTTGTAGAGTTTCAAAAATTTGTTACGGGTGTAGGCCAAAATATTCAGAGTTACTAATGATTTTTGTTTTCTTGAAATTAATCTCCAAAACCAGTAACTGTTTCTGAATGCTGCTGTTGTAGTTTCTTCCATTTTGGAAACAACGGAGAATTACCTTCAGCTTTGATTTGGTTTTAGCTCCAAAATGCAGAGTCTTTTATTCTGTGGTTGTCAGTTGACAGCAGCTTAATTGTGGAGACAGGTGGGCAGGGAATCTCCAAACACAGTGTGTATTCTAACAGACATCTGCAAAATACATTCTTTACACGAACCCTGTGTACAAATTCTGAAGCTGGCACAGTGATCCAGTACATGAAATTTTGCAGTGAAATCTAGTGATTATGTGGGTTCTTTAACAATGAATTGCATATTCCTGTTCATCAGCAGGGAACTCCCAGAGCTTCCAGAACGTGAAGAGGGGGAGGGAGAAGAAAGTGAACTTGCAGCGTTCAGTAACTGGAACCAGCCCAGAAAGTAAGTACAGTTCTAGTTGCACAGTATAAAATCTCATCTGAAATTCAAAAATTTTGAAACCTGTAATATATTTTAAGAGGGGTAAGAAAGCAACAGAATTGCTGCACTTATGTGTACTGTGCATTCAAGGATTAATTCACTGTTGATTTTTACTACCATTGGGCTAAATCCCTGCAGTGTAGTAGTTTCTTAGTTGCTTTAGTAGTTTATTCAAGAAGGGCTTTCTGAGCAGTTCAGTAGATAACTCCCACTGAAAGTCAAAACTTTCCAGGGAGTTATTTCTGAATGTTTTTAAACCACTGTGCAAATCCATGTATCCTCAGTGTGCAGCACTGTCATAATCCCAACAGATTTTCATTTCTTTTGGTTCTTGTTTTGTCACAACAGGGTTGAACTCTGGAGAGAGCCTAGCAAGTCACTGGGGATCAGCATTGTTGGAGGACGAGGGATGGGGAGCCGCCTGAGTAATGGAGAAATGATGAGAGGAATCTTTATCAAGCATATCCTGGAAGACAGCCCAGCTGGCAAAAATGGAACGCTGAAAACCGGAGATCGGATCGTGGAGGTACCAGCCAACTGTCTTTTGCTTGCCATACTCCCAGCATCTCAGGGGCCGCTGAGATCGATGTGTGGTCCTGGGCCAGCAGATGTGTAATAGTGCCAGCTGGCATTGCTTGAGCCGTACAGCATGTAGTACCATCTGCTGATGTTTGTGTGCAGACACCTTTAAGTTGAGTATACAACCTAAAGCATAGATGGCTGACTGTGTGAGCAGGGGTCTACAAAGCCAGCAGCTCTACCTGCCTGTTTTAAAGGCAGCATGTGTAGAAACAAGCCTCAGTTTGGTGAAACTAAAAGGTTTTACCTTTGCATTTTGGATAGCAACAGAAATGGCCAGTGAATAGCAAATAATGCAAATAAATGCCAAACTTACTTCCCTCTTAAATCTTAATCAGAACACATCACTCTTGTGTATCTTGTGCAGGAATTCAGGAAGATGCAGTTTTTTCCTGGTGACATGAAGAAAGCTGGATTTGATACAGAGGAATTTAAGAGCATTGTGTCTGTGACTGAGGATGGGGTAGCCAGTGTTGTTGCAGTGAGGAATTTATCTAGATTTCTCTTCTGCTTATCCAGTCCTGTGCTCATGCAGCCATTTCTGCTTTCTCACTTAAAGATATTGAAGAATGAATGCACTGAAAGGAAAGCATCTTTCCTATGATGATTATCAGTAAGACATTACTCTGTCTCCAGTGTCAGGCCATTAAGAACTGCAGTCCCTCTTCACCCTGCTGGATGTTGTTAGCTGCCTGTCCATCAGAAAGGACATAACAAGCAGGGCGATGGAGATGGTGCTTCTTCCCCTGGTTCAGTCTGGGCTTCCTTTACGTGGTGATACTTAAACTGCAGTTTGCTGTCTGCTACAAGATCCATATAAAGAATCTTGAAATAATACCCTAATATAGGTAGCACTTCCTAGAAGAGGATAGAAGAGTTTCCAGTGTGTAAACAAGTTGGGAGGTTGAATTTTGCTTGATGGCCACAAAATTAAAAAGCATTCATTATACCTGAATACCTGGATTTTTATGAATGCAGTGACTGTCTTTGACAATGATGCTTGCAGAAGTTGGAGTGGGTGAGTGAAATCAAGTAACTGATGTGGTGTTAGTGTGACTGTTACTGAATGGATTATTTCAGTTTCTCAAGTTGTGGTGTATCTAGGCTTTTCTCTCTGCTAGTGCATACAGTGTTTGAGACATGGGAAGTCAGAGAGCCTTAATGTTGTTTTTCAGTTTGTCATAGGTTTAGAATTTTCTCTCTCAGATTGTTTTTGTTCTGTCTTTATTTACATTGGATGGTTAGGTTTAAGGTAGAGTTAGACAACTAAAAAAGTGGGGTGATCATCACTATATAATGTGTGTGCAAGAATTGCCACTAACAAGTAACCCTTCTATGTTAACTTCCAGCTTTTATTATGGTCATTGTGAGAATGCTTTACTGGCGCTAACCTCACCATAACATTGTTCTTACCTGAATCACAAGACAAACTGTTTTACGCACCGATACATAAGAAGGCATGAAGAAAAGTAACCGGGCAAAAATGTGTGCTTAGCCATCCTTTGTAAATGCTTTCTTCTAGAAGAGAGAAAGCTTTTCAGCTTTGACCTAAGAATTTAACTTCCAGGAAGAGTGTCTAGTAGCTAAAATTGGGCTGATTTTTTTTTTTTTTTTTTTTTTTTTTTTTTTTTTTTTTTTTTTTTTTTTTTTTTTTTTTTTTTGAAAGGGAGGGGGAAGCAAAAACAAAATACACCATACTGACATAATACCCCATAATGAAAGACCCTCCAGCACCTAACAAGTTTCAGTTTATATATCTCATAAAGTCTGGGAGGTAGGTTATTCAGAGATAGGATTTATAGGAAGTGGTATTTGGCAAACACTACCACTCTCTTCAGATTATTTCTACTTACTATAATCTCTCTTCTGTTACATTGCCTGTGGGAAAATGTATGGAACCTGAACCAAGGGTGTTGAAAAACTTGTTTTCAAAACCCTGGAAAAAATTTTTGTTTAATGTCCTTTCAGTGCTTTTGGAAATCTCAAACCTCTGGGTGAGGGACCTCAGGCCAAGTCAGTAGAAACCTTTCCAGTAGCAACAGAGGTTTGGGCTTATGTTTTGGTCAAAGTTGCCTAACCAAAACCCGACACTGACTCATTATTCTTGTAGTTTCTTGCGATGTTAAGATGAGGCCTTCCAATTACAGGTGGATGGAATTGACCTCAGAGATGCCAGCCACGAACAAGCTGTGGAAGCCATACGGAAGGCAGGCAATCCTGTAGTCTTTATGGTACAGAGCATTATAAGCAGACCAAGGGTAAGCATAAAGAATACAAAAAGAGATGTAATGCATAGTAATAGATGAAACAAGTGTTCAAGGTGGTGGTGTTTGGGAATGGGATATTTGATCCTAAACATTCCATCTCAGCTATTTTAGGAACAAAAATTTGATTTAAGTATTATTTCCATTTAGAGTGAAATCGATTTGGATTTGGAATTACCTTCCAGCACGCCGTCCTCAAACTATTTTGAAAAGCCTCAAGAAAGATAATTTGTTGGGGGGCAGAGTAGGATTCTAACTAAAACCAGCTCTTAGAGATTGACAGCATGTCTGAGAAGCGCATGCAGAAATACAGCACCTGTTAAAAAATTCATTGGACATTAATGAAAGGACCTAGAAGTACACGGAAGTTTTCCGTCACTGAGCTGCATGGACATTGCAGACTAATGCTGCTGAGTTTTAATAGAAGTTGCTTGCATCACTAGAAACTAAACTTCCTCATTGTAGAGTCTGTGTAAGCTGCGTGTTTATTTACTAGTTGTCTCATAACTCTTGTTCCCCAGCCAGAGTCTCTTTATAGCCCTTCTTCAGCTTCTGCTCCCTGTGGGCAGAAAACTACTAACCCATTTTATCGTCAGTCATCTAAGGTAAAGTTGCATGAAAAAGCTCTGTTGAATGTTGATTATTGATCCTCAAGCTACTAAAGTAAAACTTTTGCATTTGCTGTGATGTGAACAAAATTGCCACTGCTGAATGTTTAGGCCAGTTCGGGGTGGGAGTGATGCTATTACTTTATCACAGCTTACTTTTAGGGAATGCTTCTTTGCTATTTTTAATTGTAGTTATTTGTTCTCTTTATTGTCCAATTATTAAACTTGTTGGTTACTTCTTGACTGTTTATTAACAAACCCTTGTTTCTCTGTAAGCAGAAACAGTGCAAATGCTCTTACTGTACATGTGTTGCATTGTGATCTTTGTAAATGGCATTATATTTATTGTCCTCATCTTCTGAAACTTGCATCTGTACTTTTATAATAAGATCTTACGAGAGAATTTCCTGCCTTCATTCATGTGCAGTCACACAGTTAGCTAGCTGCCTACACAGAGCAGCTATATTTAACATGGCACCGCTGTGTATTTAGCAAGGCAGTCAGTTTCAAGTGACGTGTTGCTAATGAGTTAGTTTCTTCCCCTGATTTTTTTTCGTTCAGGCTGCTGTGGTAAAGAGATCTGAAGCGTACTCCAGCATAGCCCAAATAATGCAAATGGGCTGTGAAAAACTTGTTGATAGTTTTGCTACCAAGCAGTTACTTGTCAAATCCTTCTTTCATACCGGTACTGCTCTGGGTATTTTGGAGTAGGAGTTAATCTATCACCATGGTTATGGTCCCAGAGAATTTGTAGGATTACAGCATTGTGCTGCACGAAGTGCTAGCTAGTTTCTGATACCTTAGCATCCTGGACTCCTTAGTAAAATACTGAACACAAGTTAGTTGAAAAATAAAAAAAAAAAGAAGGTAAAATAAGTCCTGTTATTTTACGTTTGGTTAAAAAACAAAAGTAAATGGAAAAACACCCTTTATTTTAGCATTTGCTTTTCTTGTCCTAGACTTTGCAAGTAAGCCTGCTAAACCTAACTGTTTAGACAAACTCAGATGCTCTGCATTTTATCATGGTAGTCAGTCCATATGAATATAGTGCTGTTGCATGGATGAGAATTTGAGCTAGCAGTAGTATTTTAGGTGCTGTGCCATCATGACGAAAGGCAAGATTTTGAAGTGCTGTGGCTGATCTTTTGGTTTCTCTTTTACTAGGATTTCACTGTTTATGCATACGATGTTTGTGGTGCTTATTTTAGTTACTTAAAATTTCATCGACAGAGTTTAAAATTTTATGCAGATGACAAATGGAATGGTTAAAGTGTAATAGGATCATTACACTGATAAATTACTTTTCCCAAACTTCTCTTAGTAAAGACGAAATCAAATGTGAATTGCATGTGTAAAGAGAAATTCTTGTTGTACTGTAGGGAAGCTGCCTGTTGACTTCATGTGACTCGCCAGTGAGGAAATCGTGTTCATGCATAGCTCTACTTTCTCATTGCTGAAGTCACTGTAGAACCAAGACTTCTGTTGTTTTTCTGAATTACATTACCTTTTGTTTTGCAAAATGATATTTGAGAATAAATGTTTAGGGATGCATTTTCTATTTTCAGCAGCATTGGAAAAAACAAGATGCTTAAAGGAAATTTTTAAACAGCAACATATATCTGGATTAAATTACCAGGATGTAAATGTATTAGCTGATGCTACAAGCCTTTCACATTCCTTTCCACTTAGTGCTTCATATTTTCCAGCAGTGTTAAACTTACAGTGCTAAGACATTTAGGCAATTGCCAGATGAATGCACCTAGTGTAGAAATTACTTTTAAGTATACATTGAACAGTATTGCCAACATACTATGTAAAATCAGAGCTGTTCCATCTTTATTAATCAGGTTCTGGTCTCAACATAGAGTACAGTACAAAAACGGCATAAGGAATATAAATGTTCAAACTGCATCCTTTAATTTTGTCTAAGTATAAAAGCTCCTTTTGTATTAAATAATAATAATAAGGAAGTACCTTGTGTTGTTTAAGGAGAAGACCAGAGAATTTAGTTTCATTAAACCATAAATTCAGAAAATTATAATGCATGCATATTTGTGTGCACACATACAAAGTGACCTGTAAGAGTTATTATTAGATATGAAGTCTTGTTTATATTACTAAACCTTCCCTTTTGCAAAATGCACAGTGAGTGTGTTACTACAAGAAGTAAATTAAATGATAAGAGTTCATCTGTGTTTTTTAAAATAAAACTAAACGTACTGCATTATTGCAAAGAATTGTGTTTATTCAAATCCACAAATCCACAATTTTACAATTAACTGATGTGTAAGAATATCCCATTTTCTGACATGCTTGGACAGCATTGTACAAATGTAACAACACGTACATTTTCTGTTGTCCATGCTGCTGAATTCTGCACTTTATGCACTTTGTGGGCTACAACAGGTATGAGGATCAGTGCTTTTCCTCTACAGTCTGCTAAACATAGCTGATACAAATACAGGGCAAATGCACTTTTGCTTACCTTCATGTGTCTGTAGTATAGTGCAGGAAGTGAACCTTGTTTGGTTAGTATTAACTGCTAAATAAGTATATTTTGTTTCATGAGTCACAAAGGGTTTGTTTAAAAATGTTTTTGCTTAGTTCCTGTTACGTTTTCCTTTTAGAACCCTTCCCTGCCTTTCCTGCAGAACAGTCTTTTCTGTAGGCCAGCTGTCTTCAGCAGCACTAACCCGTTTGCTGATTCTTCTCCGTTCAACGCTAACAAGGTTGGATGATGACACAGGGTCTGCTTTTGATTCACCAAACATCACATGTGTGCTTCTTTGCCTTTAGTGTCTCTCTGCATTTAATTTCTTTTATACCAATTTGGGTAAAATATTGTGGTGATGAGAGTGGAAATTCTGTGTAGTGAATTAAAAACACACAGACACGCATGCACATACATAAGTTTTGAAGAACTTAAAAAATGCCAGTTCCGTTAATCATAACCACTAAATCTGATCTAATCAGAGCTAGAATAGGTTCTCAATTACAAAATCGGTCTCTGTGGTATATGTTAAAATATCCACCTGAGTGTAACTCTCATCAACGTGAGGTATTTTGCCACTGTGTACTTCATTTTATTTTTCTGTGGTTAGGACTTTCCAGCTTTGATATCTCTTTTTTTCTTTTTTGCATGAAAAAAAAATCATTGGCAGCTTTCATTTTATGATGCTGAAAATATTTTCCCTCTGCTTCTTGAAAAGTCTTTTAAGGCACCATATACAGTATGCTGACATCTTTGGAAATATGAAAAATGTTAGATTCTTTTTTTTTGTGGTTAGTGCTTACTGCATGTTACTGATGTTTGGAACAGAGTTAACCTCTTAACACAATAATAACTAAAGGCTTAATTCTTATGTGCATGCATTTCTAATTTAATAAAACATTTTCTAGTTGCTTATACATCTTGGGAATGATTGTGCCCTTTGTCTGTTTTCCGGTGTTGTCAACTATATTGAATGTACGATGAACATATATGATATGATATGTGGTGTATAATTGCATGTGTGTTTTTGAAATCTGTCTTTGTTGCAGTTCTGAGGAAAGGGAATAGAAATGTAACATAAATGATGACTTGTATTTTCTATATTTTCAAAAAGTATTTCTGAAAAAAAGCACATTTTTAAAGAAAACCTAATGTTTTTGCATTTTCTGAATTATTCCTTTTTTAGCATTGAGATGAGAGTGGCCTCTAGTCACCTCTGTCTACTTCTGCTGAGCTAAGGTTCATGTACAGTAAGAAACTTTGCTGAATCAGGGTCCTTAATAACCCATTAAATACTTTTGTCCCTTTATAAATGGAGTTAATAAAGTTGCTGCAGTTAGTAAAATCAATCTGTAATTGAATATGAGTTATTCGTTAATAATGCTGTGCATTGCCAAAGGTGCTGTAACATGTGGATCGCTGTCTTCTGTTACTGTAGGAGGTATCGAATCCAATTAGGGTTACCTTCCGTTGTTCCCCAACTAACCCTTTTGCTCCCACACCATTCAAGGTTTGTCTTGATTCCAGTGAGCGGGTCCTACTGTATGTGTGCTGTATGTTTGTACATGTCCTGTGATACCTTCTGGCGTGCTGCTTCTTCCTCCATGTGTGCCTCCTTTTTTGAAAGTGATACTGCTCCAAACCTGCTGCCGTTTTTAATATTTGCTTGGCTGTGATCGGAGTGACCCTGGTAGCCAAAGGGGTTCATGCACTGTCCGATGCTTTGCCTTTTAAATGAAATACTGTGCCATGGCACTCTGAAAGTATTTCATGAGTTAAAGCATTCTAGGTTTTTTTGTGTGTGGCCCGATTCAGGGAGCAAAAGTCTTATGTGTGTGTATACTGTGGGGGCCAGCTTCTGCTGCTTGGCGGTGTGTGCATGTCAGGCTGAGTTCTGGAGGCAGGACATGGTCCCCTCTGCCCAAATAGTGTTGTAACACCGTTTTTACCCTTCTGACAAAGGAGACTTGCCTTTACTTTCGTTTCAGCATTTCTTTTAACATCAGATATGTTCAGATTTATGTACATGTGTACAGAGGTACAGAAAAAAGCATGTTTTTGTCAATCAAATTATGGTGGCTGCAGTTCATAAGTGCTAATCTGTCAGGATGTATGTAGCTATGCTGCCACACTTTATAGATCTTCCAGAGATCCTTCACAGCAAATTTTTACTCTTTTTTTTTTTGTCCATGTTTTCTTTGATTTTGTAAAGTTCTTAGACACTGTCATTTACCAAGACTAGCACTAAAGTGGTATGTTAGTTTTGGTTCTAAAACACAAGAGACTACTGTGAGGTCTGCTGATCTGGTCTGCTCTCATGCTGTATTTCCTGATTTTTTCGGTATACTGTGTAGCTTTCTATTTAGAACGCTAGGAACCACTCTGAAAAATCAATGTTTCTAGAACTACTTTCCACCTGTCCTTGAGGTAGAGATCTGTCACCAAATTATCTCCATGGTGGATACATGATTTTTTTGATTATGAAAAATCACTTTGGATGTTATTGAGTAGTGTTTCCACCCTTCTCAGATTCTGATGGGTAGCAATGTCTTTGCTAGAATTTTGCTGCTTCGGTTGAGGTTTATGTCTGCCCTGTAACTATTAGTGTGTTTTAGTGTATAATTGGCATAAATAATTTCTACATGAAGTTTAGTGACACAAGATATCATCCCAGAAGGATGGCATTATCTTAGATTTGAAGGACAGATCAATGTGTCTGATATGATAATATGAAAAATTATATAGCATTCATACACATTTTTTTATAAAAAGGAGTGGCTTAGGTACCATATTAAAACTTGCCACACTTTAGACATTTAATGACTTCTTAGTTAAGCTCCTAGAACAAGCTCCTGAATGAAGGAAAATCTTCTTCAAGGAGAATCAGAATGAGGGAACTGAAATAGGGCATTTGTGTTTTCCTTAGATCTTTGGAGTATACAGAGAATGAAGGTAACTAATTTTCCCTAAGAGATGGGACCTTCCTTAAATCTCAGTATGACAGTATTGGTAACTTCCTGCTTTTTGCAACACCTTCAATTTAAAGTGTATTGAAGTCTTCCAAGTTGTATATTGTTATCTATTTCACTGTTGCCTCTTGATGAAGAAATTGTCTTAGTGTTTTTGACACCCAGAGACACCATCTGAGACAGAGTTCAAAGTTGTGCTAATGGAGGTAATAAAAGCTGAGATGATGAGAACAGGGCTATGAAGATAGAACACCACCTAAAAATCCTAGTGTTGGAAATATACTTGGTTTTCATGTAAAGTTTTTGTTGCTTACATCAACACCTGATCTGCCAAATATCAAAGCCTCTTGGGCATGCACGAGCTTCAGAAATATGATATTCAGACATGAGTTTCTTGCCTGTATGTTTACTCTGAGCAAGCCAAAATGATATAAATTACAAGCACTTAGCCAAATCCCTGATCAGAGTCCATAGTCGTCAGGGAAACTGACTTGAATGGAGGCTTGCCAGATGGTGGATTTGAGCGTTTAACCATTCTATTGCAGTAGTCATGTGTTTGTACTTCTTAACTTTTTTTGAATATGAATAGACCACATAGATCAAGACCAAAAGTATTCTTCTCCTTTGTGATTTTAATCTGTATCCTCCTTTGTTTGATCTCTCCTGTGCAGTTTATAGGAAACTAGTAAATGAGACTAGAAAAGTCCATTTACTGTGGATTTCTTCAGTTACCATCTGTTTCATTTTGTTTTTAAATTGTCCTTCCAGTTAATATGCCAGTTACTTTTTTGTTTTTCTGGGGGCATTTTTGAAAGCACCAGGTTCTTTGTTCCCTTTCCCTTTCCTCCTGTTTGGCTTCCAGAGCAAGTGATAGGAAGAAATTATATGCGCTGACTTTTAAAAATAATTTCAAGTAGAAGTCTTTTACAAATATGGCATTAAAAAAAAAATCACTTGTGTCTTCATAAGAGACTTTTTCTGAAATGTAAAGTGGCACATAAAACTTTACTGAATTGGGCTCTTATTGTGAGTTCTGTTTGCTTCCCAGTACATTTTGGAGTGATGTTATCTCTTACCCTGCCTGGTGTTTGTTTCTATCTTTGATCTCTTGCAGCCTTTCTGTGCCGTGTTACTCATTTAGAATTCCAACTGCTTGGTATTTAAACTTCAAAGCCATAGTCATTGCCATTTTGACTTTTTTCTATACGAGTTTGCCCTACACAGGGTCTGCATGTTCTTAGCCACTGCATTTTTCTTCTTCTCCACAGGCATTTGATCAGTCCAATTTAGAGCCAGAAAAGACTTCGCTTTGTAACTTGCCTCTGCCCCCTCCTTCAGCATTTTCAGGAAAGAGCTGTGATGTTGCACAGTCATCTTCTAGCAGAGTCCCAGAGGATGTGGAGAAGGAGGATGAGTTTGGTTACAGCTGGAGTAAGTTTATCCTTTGTGATAATGTTTGAAATATTTGGTGTTGAGATAGTACTGTAACAGAACATATGGGGGATCCAGTTTGAACTACTTCGATCTCGTGTGCTTCATGGTTTGGGTGTTAAGTGTTAACTGTCAGCTTTCAGTTGTGCTTGGTCAGATGCACATGGTGAAGTATAAAAGTAGTTTGTTCGTCATTGCACTCCAATCTCTATTTTTCTCTGTGGTCCAAATTCACTGTTTCGTATGTAGGACTGCTTGAAGAATATCAGTGTACTCTAGGTAACTGGTGGCAGTGATTGACCTTAAAAGTCTTTTTTTAAGAGAAGTTTTAATGTTTTCCGAAGTTAAAAGGAAGGCAAGGAACTAGAAATACTGTTATAAATCATGTAAGGCTTAGCTTAAAAGAAACTGGTGTACGCTTGATACTGTCTTATCCAGTTTGGGATTCTCCTGTCAGATACTGCCCACTGGATGCTGATCTTGACTCTCTAGATGACTTGTGAAGCTTTCTAATGTAAATCCAACATCTGCTGCCCACACTTTTACATTTAGAAAATATTGTGCAGCGCTATGGAAATCTACCAGGGGAACTACACATGATTGAGCTGGAAAAAGGAAGGACAGGTCTGGGACTTAGTCTTGCTGGTAACAAAGACCGATCCAGGATGAGTGTCTTTATAGTGGGAATTGATCCAAATGGAGCGGCTGGCAAAGATGGCAGGTTACAAATTGCAGATGAGTTACTAGAGGTAAGTTTTTGCAATTTATACTAAAACCTAAACATACTGACTTAAAACACACTAAAATATTAGACTTTTGCTGCAATATAGATGTTCTTTAGTGGACTTTGAAATCCCCAAGTTACCCAAGTTGACATCACTATGCTACAATTTCTGGTGTATGCCAAATTGTTGCAGCTGGGATTTTTTTTCCTAGTTATTGTAGTGCTAAGTAAAGGTGTGTGTATATTTAAAATGGATAAAAATGGGGGATGACAGCAGTTTCTAGGTTATGGAGATATAAGGAGGGACAGTGCATTGCATACTGTGGAAAATCTGGAAGTCCTGTAGTCCATCCATCTGTGGAGTGATCCAGAATTTCTAGTTATTTCTCTGTCTACTGAAAGTGTGATAATACCAGAATATTTTCATGTTGTATGACATATAAAATGGAAACTAAATTGGGGAAACAGGAATAGATCCATCTGTATTATGGACTTTTATCTCATGACTCATTCCAGCTGTTTCGTAGTGACTTTGTGGAGGAAACTAACCTCTGAATGTGCAGCTAACATTCCCAATATGTATATAAGCATAGGGTACATTTTTGTTACCACGGTTCAGTTGATGATACTTGCAGATGTATTCTCTACTAAAGCTTTTGCCATTCTTTCTGATAGCAGTAGGTAACATTACCCTCACAGAAATGCTTTGTGTAACTTCAAAACCCTGTATGGAGGTGTCTGAGATGCACTGTGGAGATGGTGTGGGGACAGAATGGTGAGACTAAACAAAGCTTGAGGGAGACACTGAGAGAGTAGACGATGAAGGTTGGCAGTTGCAGACTTAGAGAGAAACCGAGGGGTTTGTGGCACTGTGGATCTAGTCTCGTGGAGGGACATGTTAGTTGCAGAGCCCAATGTTAACTGCTAGACAGTCTATGGAATCAGTTAAAACGTCTGTTTTTAAAACCTTGATGTTGCAGATACAGAGTGTCCTCGGAACACATTGAAGCGCATCTGTCTGAGTCTGCTGTCATGTCAAACTGATGCCAAGAGATTGTCTCCACCTCTTCCGAGAGGAGACATTTGAGCTTGCTTCTTAGGTTCCCAAGTAGCTGTCCATCACCTGTGGCAGACCATGCCCCATCCCCCACCTGGCGGTCTGGCTGTGGTTCTTCCCAAGCCCACGGCAAACACTGGAAGCAGTGCTGCACCTGGATTGTCACCTCCAGTGTAAATGTCAGGGCTCAGCATCCCTGTGACCGTGCCTGGTGAACACAGCCTATGTGGGAGCTGAGGGCTTGCTGTTATACTCAAGCCTCAGTTCAGTGTCTTGAATCTGTTGCTCACGGTTTGCTTCTCTGCTTCTGTTAGCACTCCCTTGGGGTGTGTTGCATTATTTTCCCTCTGTGTAGGTCCAAGCTGTCCTTTTCCAATCGTTTCCCCTTTCTTAGAGTGGACTTCTGCATTGTAATTTTTGATTTCCAAGAACAAATGCAACTAGTCAAATATGAGCGAATAATGGCCTTATTCTGCAAATTCACACTGATATCATATCTGAATCATGGGAGCTTCAAGGGGTTTCAGTGAGTCTGTGTTGCTAAATGAAGACAGTGATTTCCGTATCGAACCTTCAGATTGTAAATGCACCGGTGTTCAGACTTCCGTGTATAAAATGACTGGCTCAGAGCTGAGATTCTATAAATAACAGCAATCTTGTTGCTGGATATAAGCGATTCAGTTATTTGTTATGGTTAGAATTTCCCATGGCCCTGCTTTATTACCACATCAGTCATGAGGTGATCAATGGCAGGTGGAAACAGATGATGTGCCAAGTCAACCCAGTATACCTCAGATAATGACATTTTTAGTCCTGTGACAGTGTTAGTCTACAGTCACTGAATCATAGAACGATTTGAGTTGGAAGGGGGATTATAGGTCATCTGATTCCAAGCCCCCTGCCATGAGCAGGGACACCTCCCACTAGACCAGGCTGCTCAAAGCCCCATCCAACCTGGGCTTGAACACTTCCAGGGAGGGGGCATCCACAGCTTCTTTGGGCAACCTGTGCAGAGCCTCACCACCCTCACATTAAAGAATTTCTTTCCTATAGCTAGTCTAAATCTACTCTTTTTTAGTTTAAAACCATTACCCCTTGTCCTATCACAACAGGCCTTGCTAAAAAGCCTGTCCCCGTCTTTCTTATAAGCCCCCTTCAGGTACTGGAAGGCTGCAGTAAGGTCTCCCCAGAGTCTTCTCTTCTCCAGCCTGAACAACCCCAACTCTCTCAGCCTTTGCTCATAGGAGAGGTGCTCCACACCTCTGATTATTTTTGTGGTCCTCCTCTGCCCTGCTTCCAAGAGCTCCATGTCTTTCCTGTGCTGAGGGCTCCAGAGCTGGACGCAGAACTCTGGGTGGGGTCTCACCAGAGCAGAGGGGCAGAATCACCTCCCTCGACTTGCTGGCCATGCTGCTTTTGATACAGCCCAGGGTATGATCGGCCTTCTGGGTTGCAAGTGCACACTGCTGGGTCAGGTTGAGCTTCTTGTCAACCAACAGCCCCAAGTGTTTCTTCTTAGGGCTCAAACTACAAGGATTTTTTACTGGAAAAAGGGAGTGAAAGCAGGGCACAACATACTTTGTTATTTAAGTACAATTGCTGCTTTAGCCAGTGCTGTGGGATAATGGATTTTTTTTTAAGGCTTAAATATTTGTTTAACTATAAAGTAATTAAAAAATTTTGAGAGTAATTGCTACCTTCCTTTATACAGATAAATGGGCAAATACTCTATGGACGGACTCATCAGAATGCTTCCTCAATAATCAAATGTGCACCATCTAAAGTAAAAATTATCTTTATCAGGTAAATTCTGGTTAAAGGTTTGGCTTAGAAGGTTTATTTTTAATATGCTTAAGTTTGCACAGAGTGGTTTTGGTTTATTTTTAATTTTGGTAAGGTAGATGTGCTTCTCAACCCAGTTCTTAGTAATGGTTAAATATGTTACGAGTTTTCTGTTTGGATATTGCGTTGTGAGTGCCGGAAGCAAACTAAAAGAAAGCACTAGACTTAAAGTCACTGTAAGAAATACAGTGTTGTATTACTACATACTTACTATATTCTTTAACTGAATCTTCTGTAGAAATAAAGATGCAGTAAATCAGATGGCTGTTTGCCCTGCAAAGTCAGTAGAGGGTTCGCAGTGTACTTCAGGGACACTTCAACATCAAGAGGTAAATTTTTTGTTTTTCTCATTTGAATGAGATACTAACATTGTTCTGAATGAAGAAGTGCCCTGTTAGCTTAGCAAACACTAGAAAAGGAGAAGAAATCCAACGGAAAAACAAATGAGGTTTTAGTACAGCTGCTAAATTTAGTACAGCTGTGCTTAGTTCTGTTTTATGTTCATCTAAACTATGAAGTAAATTGAACATTCCCGTGAATAGGGTTCTAGCAGTTTAAGTGGATCCAGAAAGTAATCAGACCCACTTCAAATGTTTGTGTGCTGCTTTATTGTGATGCAAAATGTTGAGTATAGTTGCTCACAGTTATGTTTTCATTTTCTATTAGATTGATACCAGTGCTGCAAACTCCAGTGCTTGTTCTGACTTCAGTTCATGTAGAAATATTCAATATGTGGAACTCCCTAAGGTATGTGCTGAAAATTAAATTTACATCAGCCACTTTTGTATTCTCTAGCTTGCTTTTTTGTTATGGAGTCCCTCTTAAGGCAAACAAAGTTTGTCTCTTTCTTACTGGAAGTGAGAATAGAGATTTCTGGAGGTATTCTTTCCTATTTGTGAATGGACCTCAAAGTTTGCCTGATGTATTGACTGTCTTTGGCAGCCTCATGAGTCTCTTCACATAAATGTGCCAGTTGCTCTGTGTCTCTGGAAGAAGTTGCCTCTTGTCTTATTTGCAAAACTTTTGGTAACCAGCTGCTAGTGGTGCCTCAGGTAAAATTATTGCCTTAGTTGTTCAAAGTAAATGAATTAGCAGGTTATAAGCACCAAATCCCCCCAAACAACATACATATTTAGTGGAAATTGTGCACCTGGGAGAAAATGGCCAGGTGTTCTGTAACTATGAAGCTGCCAAATAAGGGTAGAAAAATTGCTGCTTCTGCTTATTGATGTGGAGAAAACAGTTATATTCAGTGGTCATAAGGATAGAGACTTGCGGACTGTTGGTAAGCTTTTCTCTTTGGAAGGCATCTAGCTTTCTGTTATTAACCAGGAGAATATCTTACAGATTATGATATCCAGATGATTTAATTCTAGATGAAAGCGTTAGGAAGATTTCCCTCTGCCACAAAGATTTACTAATTTCACAAGAGGAGCATAGGTTTTTCCATCCTCTGTATTTTCCACTCCTGTGTGTATTTTTCCTGTGGTTTCAAATAATGAATTTAAGCTGTATAATGGACTTCTATCTACCTCAGTTTGTAGTTTCCAAACATTTTGTGTTTCTTACTCCTGTTTATGAATTTATCAACTGAATCACAATTGACCTGGCAAGTTTCAAAGGAGTGGATTTGAATTTAGAAGTGTTTCAGATTTATCTTGGTAGCCAATACTGTTTGTAGTCTGGCAGAATCTGTTTCAAAAATAGATTAGTTTAAAACAAAAATATTGATACATTGTGAAAATCCAAAATTCTGTTATGTCTGCAAGCTTCACTAGTCTTTAGAGAATGTATTCTAACATTTTGATGAACACAGTACCTAATGGTTTGCATTTTTCTGTTTGCCCCAGGATCAGGGAGGCTTTGGAATTGCCATTAGTGAAGAAGACACAATTAATGGAGTAGTTATTAAGAGCTTAACAGATCATGGTGCAGCAGCAAAGGTGTGAGAACATTTAAAATCCAAATAGGGAATGAAAATGTTTTTTGGAGTACCATCTAGAGCTCATATTTTTCGTTCTGTGTTGTCTCCAGGATGGACGAATCAAAGTTGGAGATCAAATCCTGGCAGTGGATGACGAAATTGTTGTGGGATATCCAGTAGAAAAGGTGCCTCTGAAGTGTCAGGAATGTTGCAAAAATCACACTTCTTGATGTAGGAGGTGTTTGTGTCTTAAACAAACCAGTGAGGTTTTCCTGACTGTACTGTGATGTCATTTTAAAGGCTGACTAAAGGACCAAAGATCCGCAGGCATTGTCTGGATAAGAAAACTGCTGCAGAATAAGCTAAAGCCTGAATTTAAAGCTTCGCTGCTTTTTTACATTAATGCACTACATGAAACGTCTATCTCTGTGCTACAAATGTGATTCTCCCCCCCCACCCCACCCCGTGGTTCAGATCTGATGACTGAGAGGCACTTTATTATGGGATAAAAGCCATGAACTGTTGTTCAGTAATGAATGTTCATAGCTACTCCAATTCAGAAGTATTAGAACCAGTAAAATTAATATGTGTAAATTTACATGGGTGAGTTGCATCAGTAGTAAATCAGATCATGAACTGTTCATGTATGGAGAGTGTCTGTGATAACGGCCTCATTATATTCCAAGTCTGATATTTCAACCCTTTGGAAAAAAGTAACTTCATTCCTAAATAACAAGATTTATTTCTAACTTCTAGCTCTGCAAATTCAGTTTGTATTCTGTGATGAATCAAGGAGGGCTCTTTTCTGGCACCTGCCTTGCTACCAAGAAAAGTGAATCTTTAGAGATGACAAGATTACTTTCTGATTGTTAAAGGGCAATTAGGAGAGCATCCATCTTACTCTTTGATGCACTTCTATCTTTGAAACAGTAAATGAGTAAGAGAGAGAGTGAAGTAATCTGAGGGAAGTAGGCAGGCTTTTGAAGATAAGACAGAGATTGAAGAAATAATTTCTGAAAATACTTCTACTGAAATGTAAATTCTCACACGGTTTTGGTGTCTTTCCTGTGAGATGGCAATTAATTTTGAAGGTTTTTCAGTATCCATTTAAACTAGATTTTGCATTACACCCTAGGATCCTGCTCTCCCTTTCGTAGTTCAGGTAATACTTGCAGATTTTTCTTCCAGTTGTGCATCCGATTAAGGAGCTGGATGGCAGTAGCACATATATTTAAATCAATAGATGTTTTGACATTGAGTTCTGTGGGATCAGACTTGGGCTCCACCCAAGCATTAAAAGACAGTAATAGTTTTCTGATTTTTCTGATGATTGCTATAAACATAGTATTTTGTTTAGAGAAGCCATTGAAAGACTGACACATTCTTATCTGGTATAGGTTGGCAAAGTTTCATGGAAGCTGCTTGATTAACATCCATCAGGTCTGGCCCACAGTTAACTCTATCGCTGTTTCTCATAAAAAACATCAATATTTGTGCTTGTTCATTACCAAGAAAACCTGCAGGATTGTGACTTGCAGCTCCAGTTTGCAGAACAGTTCTGCTGCTTTATTTTTGTCTTACAAGTGAACAGTCTGGTTGCACTCTTCTCTTTATCATTCAGTTTATTAGTCTCTTGAAGACATCCAAAACTATGGTGAGGCTTACAATCAACTCAGCAGAGATGGATAGCCTGACTGCAGCACCAGGCCCTTCCAGCACCACCCCAGCAGAGAGGAGGAATATGCAGCCACCAGCAAGTCTCCCCTCTTCCAGCTCACCAGAACCTGAAGCAGTCAAAAGTAAGGTTCTCCTTGTGTGTCTGTCTTCACTAGAGTTGTGAGATAAAAATGAAGACCCAGCTTGTAAATGAGTTTTCTCTATTTGTATGCACTCAGATGTCTTCTGAGTTGCATTTTGTAGTGCTTTTGGATTACAGATCTATCTAAATTGAGACTTCACGTCTAAGAACATCAGGTGTTCAAAAAACATGTAGAAGGTGTTAAAAAAAATGTGTAGATACAGCATTTCAGGACATGGTTTAGCAGGCATGGTGGTGATAGGTTGGCAGTTGGACTTGGTGATCTTAGAGGTCTTTTCCAACTTTAATGATTCTGTGATGCTATGATTCTATGACCTACCCCTTGCCTTCCCACTGGCCTGTTGTAGAGGTGGGAAGATAGAGTGATTTCCTCCTTGCTCCCAAATGCTGTGCAGCAAGTGCCTCTGTCATGGTTACCTAAGTGGGAGGCATTCCTTTAAGTGAGAAGTCATGTCACCTTACCTAGAACAGGGGAATGAATGGTAGAGACTGTCATGCCATTTATGACTAGCCACGTTTGACTTCCTCCCTTTAGAGTGGAAAGTTGAGATGTGACTGACTGAGGATGGTTATTGGTTAAGCAACACACTACTGAGAAGCTAATAATAACTAAATTGAGTAATGCACACATCGCAGTTAATTTATATGTACATCACTGCAGTAGTACTGAGTCACGTTTCTATTTCTTATTACTAGAAGTAGTATTGATTCACAATTATACTACTGTAAAGAAATCTTAAGAAACACATGGGAGACCTACTAGGCAATAATTCTGTTGTCTTCCCTTCTGCATTTAGTTTTAGGGTAAAACCTATTGGTTTGTCCAAGTGTGTCCCTTCCATCTCCATCCTACTACAGCAAGTCTTAGGGATAAAGACCTGATGGAGATTTCAGCAGTGCTCTCTCCAGCATCCTGGAGATTTGTGATTGCAACTTGGCTTCGCTACCATTTACAGAGATCCACAACCCAGCTGTTGGAATATCTCCATCTGCTTGGTCCTCCACCTGATTTTATAATCTATTGCCCCACTTTCTTTTACCAAGCCCAATTTTTTTGCTGCTCTTGCACCTTGTTTTCTCTGCATAGACGCCTTCCAAATAAGCAGCTCATCCCTAACTACTTTCTCCCTATTGGTCTGAATTCTACCACATCTCTGCCCAACTTTCGTGATTCCAGCGGTGCTGTATAGGCAGTTTTTTGCCCAGTAGTGATGCAGCTGTCTAGATGAGGTCAACCTTGCATACCAAGACTCCCTTCCAATTTTCAGTTCGTGTATTTCATGTACATGTTATGCCTTCTGGACAGAATTATTGTACTGAAGCCTTGACTCCCCTACTTGGCTTGAACTAAGCATGAACAGTTGCTCGTCATGCACACAAAGAACTGGCATAAGCGAGCAGTAGAGGAGGCTGTTCTGTACTCACACAGAAGCTTTACCCTTTAAAAGTCTTAATTGCCCTTCTGGTTTCCTTCAGAGGCCAAGACTCTTAGTTTTGAGGCCTGCTGTTCCTGCAGGACCTATTGCTCACACTATACCTAAGTATTTGTCTAACATAAATGCCAAGTCATTAGTTTCAGTGGATCTTCTTTTAATCGGTGCCTTTTTTAAAATGCCTCAAAAGGATTTACATGCCTGTTTTCACCTTTTGGAAAAAGTGTAATTTTGGTGTTTCTTGAAAGCACAGGACATCAGTTACAGAGATAATCTGTACGTCCCAGACCTTTTTGATTGGTGGTTCTCTCCTTCAGTTGCTACACAATATTCCATTCCATCCATTCCATTCTTAGCTTTTTTTTTTTCTGTGAAGAATACAGATCTGACTAAAATGCTGAAGCGAAGATACATTTGTGACATACCAGAGATACTGAATTTACAGATAATTTGCAACATAAGGATGCCATATATGTTTGCGCTATGAGGATATATATTGACACCATGAAACTTACTGCATCCAAAAGCTGTGTCAGTGGCCAGTTAGTAGTTGGACTGGTGCAAAAAAGTTCTTTTTGAGGACCATGACATATGGTGATGTGTTTAAAACCTTTGACTTGACCATGGATTGCTGAACTTGTGAAATACCACTATATTTGATTTATACTTAACATTCTTTCTCATGGTACAGATCTGAATCTGAGATGCAATATTTAGTTAGATGGACCTTAACTTGACCCATTAAAAAAGTGCAGGGTGGACATCTTTGAATACATGTATTTAATATATACGATGTACTTCATATATCTCTGATCTACATTGCATGGTTGCTGGTAGAGATGTTTAAAGTAAATTCTACCCTAAATAGAATCTGTTGTGTAAAATATTTTCTTTGACTGTCCAGACTGTGATCCAGGTATTTGATGGTATAGACACCGGATACCTGTGATTAAAACTACAGGACAGTACTTGTCTGAGTACTCTCTGTAGGTCAGCTGTTGCTGTAGAGCTGTCAATGGACTCTCAAAATGCTGTTTTAAAGACACTTTTCTAATATTGAGGCCTCTTACTGTAACGAGGACATTTAATTGTTGTTTCAGACACAAGCAGATCTTCAACTCCAGCCACGTTAGCCTCTGACCCAGCTACTTGTCCCATCATTCCTGGATGTGAAACAACCATTGATATCTCCAAAGGGCGAACTGGTCTTGGTCTGAGCATTGTTGGAGGAGCAGACACTTTGCTGGTTGGTTGGAAAAAGAAGTGTGTCACTCAAGTGAAAGAACAATAATGAAATTAAAATGTATTACAGAAGAGATTTGTTCTTCATCCGTTTCTGTAGCATTTATAGAAAGTTACCAAAGATGGGGGGGGGGGGGGGAAAAAAAAAGAACACTTTTAAAATCTCACTTTTGTTTATCACTCATGAATTATAGTAGGAATTTTCAGTTTTTTCATTCGAAGTAGGGGCATGTTCTTTCAACATGCAGTTAATTTTTTTTTTGTTGTGTTTCCACAGGGAGCAATTATTATCCATGAAGTATATGAAGAAGGAGCAGCCTCTAAAGATGGCAGACTGTGGGCTGGGGATCAGATATTAGAGGTGTGGTGGTTTCTTTGGTCACTTCTGTTGTCATTTGCTAACTAGGCATCTTCTGTTTGTCTGCTGGAAGGTCCTGCACACTTTATCATTGTATGCTTTCATTGCAGGTGAATGGGATTAAAAAAATGCCACGCATGATGAAGCGATAAATGTCCTCCGACAGACTCCCCAAAAAGTTCGTCTGACTGTGTACAGAGATGAGGCCCAGTATAAGGAGGAAGACATGTATGATGTACTCAATATAGAGCTCCAGAAGAAGCCTGGCAAAGGCCTTGGGCTGAGTATTGTTGGGAAGAGGTATGAGTGTACCTGGAGATTCAATGACTGGGACTTACTGGGCGTGCTCATGTTGGAGTCTGGTGCTCAGATCCTGTGGTCTTGAAGGCTGTACATACCACTTTTGTGCCTAAGCTAGCAGACCGTTCATAGAGGAATGAGCCTAGTGTTACTCAACAGAAAAATGAGACAATGTTTATTGTGTTCCCAAGAGCAAGCCGTAAAAATGACCGTCAAACAAGACTGTAATGCAAAATTCATATGTGTATTTGCAGAAGTGATACAGGGGTGTTTGTGTCAGACATCGTCAAAGGAGGAATAGCAGATACAGATGGGAGATTGATGCAAGGAGACCAGATATTGACAGTGAATGGAGAAGATGTCCGAAATGCTAACCAAGAGGCTGTTGCAGCTTTGCTGAAGGTATTGGGAAAAGTTAACATGGATAAAAGTGAAGAATTGAGATCCAGTTTTTTTGGGTGCTTTAGTTTTATTCAGACTGAATTGAGACTGTTACTGAGATGTCAGTGAGAATCAGCTGTGGATCCAAATTTAAGCTTCCTGAAGACCAGAGCATTCAGATTTTTAGAACTCCCTGATGAAAATGGGAGTAGTGGTGGTGCAGACTGCCATATGTTTACAGGGCAATAGAAGACCATTACCTAGAACTATCTAAAACTTAAAACTGTATTTTCTCCAACAAACTGATACATGGTTAACTACCTCACATTTTTAGAATGATGCAGAACTGACTTAAAATGACGGAGAATTCATCAGAGTGGTTGTACCAAAAAGTGATTACTTTCATAGCGATAATGTTAATCTTTTTTTTTTTCCTGGGTGTGTCTAGTGTCACCTTACATCCATTAAATACTATAACACATTTTCCGGTGACCAAGGCATCTGGTATAAAAAATTGCTTTATCACAAAGACAACAGAAGTAAACTCGTATCTGCAGCTCTTGGAACCAGAAGTTCTGTTCTCATTAAATTTTGTGCTTCTGATGTACTCCCCCTATTTCCAAATCAGAATGAAGTCAGATATACAGCATATCCTGTGGCCTGGCAGGAAGTCCAGCTGGTCAGCCAGCTTGTCTGTTTTCCATACGCACAATAATGCTTCTTTGCACTCACATTCAAAGGTATATTATTCCAGATCTTGAACAGTTCCTTGAGCTTTTTTTTTTGTTTGTTTCTTTGTTTTTATAGAGGAGGGGGGAAGCGGGGGCTAGAAAGGGGTTGTAGGAGCACTTTTTCTGTATTTTCAGCGTGTACCACTAAGTGAGAATTCCAGAACGGGGTCTGTGTTCTGACAGTGAACTTGTTAATAAACTTTTCTGGAGTAGTAGTACTTTTCCATTGTTACCCGATACTTTATTTTACCTAAGGACAGTGTGTTTCTTCTTCATGTGCTGCACTTTTACATCTCTTCTAAATTAAAATGCCATTTTATATGGAAAGTTTCTTTCATTTTGGCAGGCACTTTGGAGTATCTAATTGAAGATTCTTAGTTCCCACTTACCATTCGTATATTCATGTTTTAAATGCTTCATCCCACTCAGTAGTACTTGCAATTAATTGTTGTAGCCATGAGAAATTACTTTTAAAATACCTCAGATATGTTTCTGTTAAGGATTTTGTTTTGTTCACACAGTATAAATGCAGTAAAGCATGATCACTCACATGTAGGCAATCACCATTTTTAGTTTAGGTATCAGTTCTGTTTTCAGTCATGAGAGTAAGATCTAAGAGCAAATTGTTTTGAACTGCCTGAAATGCATTTTGCTATAAAATTATTTATAATCTTTGTAAAATCCCAATGTATTTTAAGTAGCATGAGACCCCTAGAATGTGTCGTCAGTCTGAGAATTCCACCGGTTCTTGCAGTGTTTCTTTTTAAGTATCCCTAAAAGATGTGAAAACCAGATCATTTTTTCTCCTCATTTGACTTACAGATTTATCAAATAGAAGATTTCAGGAAGAGAGAGAAAGCTGTAATAAAAGTAAATGTGAACTGATTTAATTCAAAAGCTCGGTTGGAAAGTATTACCTCCCACTTTCACACGTTATAACTTTTAGATCTCATTTGTGGGTTTGCATTTTATGTGAGGATGTAGTAATTTTAGGTACATAGATTACTTCCTCAATTTTCCATTTTGGGTAAGAGTCGTCCATATGGTTTGATACAAGTCAGTTTGTACAAGCAGGAAAGAATGGTTTTGCCTGAGCTTTGATGAAGTCCTTCCCAGGCATAGAGAAGCCAACGTTATTTAAAAAAGAAAAAGCAAATTAGTATTAAATCTCTTTTAGTGTCACCCCTAAGACAATAGCAGCAGGGTATGAGGTATGGCAACCTTATTTGAATGGATATGTTCTATTGTTGGTTTTGATACGTTGGTGTGTATCTTACTGTGAATTTTCTGACGAATATGTGAACCCCTCTTAGGGTAATACAGCTAAAGCATGATAAATAAAGGCAAACTTACGTAATATTAAGGTCTTTGGATACAGGAGTTCATACTAACAACTTCCTACTGGAAGAAAGAAAGAAAAGCAAAATAGCAGCAAAACGTTGAAATTTCTGTATTTAAATATGTTGCAGATAGGTGGTCTTCTTTTGGCACTACTTGTGTTATTTTGGAAGGCCTGTTTTCTAAATGTTTTTTGTGATAAGAACTTACCTGCCTGTTGCCAAAATCAGCCTAATGTCTGGATTTCTAAATATTTGATTTCAGGGCGAATTTTATTCTGAGACATGCAGATTATGCAGATGTGTAAATAGTTAGTAGTATAATTCAAAGCTTAAAGAGTAGTGGAAGCATATTCCATTGCGTAAATAGTCCATATCACCCAGCTTCCTGTTGGAAGTCAGGTGCAGAAAAGTCACTTAAAATGGAGATAGGTATTTGGAAAACCTCCTGTCCAAAATTTCTTCAGTTATGTTGGTATGGATCCAGAGTACCAGATAATTTCAAGAGCGGGAGAGAGATGGCTAATTACCAGTTTAAATATCTTGTTCTCAGCCATATCAACAGAAATAATCGTTAATACTTTGAGGTGTTACACTGTTTTTAGTGCTTGTGAAAATAGTCAATTTCGCTATTCCTTGAAAAATGCTATCTTGAAAATACATGTTGACAGTGCAGTTGAGAAGTCAAAACTACTCCCTGTTAAGTGAAAGGTCACTGTTCCCTTTGTAATTTTCACATCTGTATTGTAATACTGGTTGATACAAAAAGGACCCTTCTCAGTATTGAATATTATTGTATACTTAGTTTGTGTGGCTCTGACCCTGCCATGAGCTCTGTCTGCTCAGTACTTATCACAGGGTTGTTAGCCCCTTATTTTCCCCTCTGCCCATATTTTTTCCTTCTTCCGCCATCTAATAAGTGACTTAAATATTGTCATAGGCTTTAATGTTGTAGACAGAAGAGATATGTTGTAAGTGACTGGTTCTTTAGTGTTCATTAGGTACGGTAAGACTAGAGGTCGGAAGGATAAAAGCTGGTCCATTCCACTCTGAGAGGAGAACATCCCAGAGCAGCCAGGTGTGTAACTGTAAAACTGTTTAGTTTGGAAGAAATAATGGTTAAATAATGAAAGCAAATAAAAAGAATTGTTTTTATCATGACAATGATTTTCCACATACCTGATCCAAGATGAAGAAGAGTACTTTTTATCTACTTTACAGCTTTTTGGTGGTCATTTTAGATGTTCACTTTAGCATATTGTATCTGTTAAAGACATTTTCCAGCCGAAAAATGTATTCCCGAAATGGCTTTGCGTGTTGCCTAGTCTGGTTTATATGGCTCCAGCCTGAGAAGCAGAGAGTGATCTGATTCTCATCAATACCAGGAGAAGTTGGAGTGGACTTTAAATCTCTCTGTTACTTCAGGAGTGCTTGGCATGCAATGGAGTATTGCTTCAGTAAACTTAGTGAATTTCTCCACTCCTTGCATATTCTTACTGTAATCTTGGTCATCAGAAGCAGGAAATCTGCACCCTTTCCATCAGGCTTCGCTCAAGTGCATTTAATTTATTGTTGGTCTAATGATGGAGTGTTACAAACTCGCATCAGTTTTCTGCATTGGAATGCATCTGTCATGTGGTAGCAGCTCACATCATGATTCTCTCCAATAGGAGCTGTATTTCTGAGAGCTCACAACTTGCTTTAGAACTTTCTCTGGCTATAAACTGGATATGCAGATCATCAAGTACTGAAGATAAATTGTTTTAAGACAATACATATTTAAACAGTTTCAAGTGAGCAGGTTAAGACTCGATAGGACTGAAATGTTAGGCTCTCTTCAAAACAGGTAATGCCAAACAAGATGAAAACATGCAGGCTTTGGGTGGTCTTGATCTAAGTTGTTAAGTAAGAAGAATCTCACAATGTTGAATGTTTTGAAAAGTCTGTAACAGTCAGCGAACTAGTCTTACTGGCAGCTGTGTTGTTCCTTTACATTGCCCTGTGGGTATAGTGGAAATCTTTCTGGAAATCTTGCAGGTGAAGCTGAGTGGAGAGCCTAATCTTAGTTTTAGCTGATGCAGTAGGTGAACATGAGAGTACTCAGGAGAAATGTGTGAAGACCTGTCTTTTGTATCCTGTCCCTGCCTTGATAATCAAGCGTAACTTTTGCACCAGAAGGTCTCTTTGAGATGACAGAAGGTGCACATAAAAGGCCACAGTCTAGCCCTGAGAAGCAGCGCTTCAAAGCGTTGCATGGGGTTGTAGATGTGCCATCTCTGTTGGTTTAATGATGCTTCAAACAAGGATCCCTCTAGAGTGACCAAGAAATATGTGGAGGTTCACTGTGTCAGCTTTAACTGGACACAGAGAAAGTAAAATACAGCAAAATCTGCTGAATACAGTGGGTTACAGTTCTGCTTTTAACAATTGGGTGTCTGAAGCCGCTCTCTAATCCCAGTCTAACACTGTGTTTAGGTCAGTGAAGGAAGTGGCAGTCTCTCATCATTCAGTCTCCCGGTCTCTGGGTCCAGTGCACCTGAGGTCTTTGAAAGTGGTCTGAAGAAGAATACGGGTAAGGTTTCTTTGGTACTTTCAGTATTTTACACACGTGAACTGGTAGCTGAGATCTTTCGCTTTGTCTAAAATGTTGTCATTATGTGCTGTAGGCCTGAAAGTGATTTCTTAGTCATTAAAATGCTGCAGGGGTGGTTATTGTACAGTACATCATATATGTCTTTGAGCAGCTTTTTATAAAGGAAATGAGCAGCTTGTTATACAAGCAGTTTCGATACTGAGAATCTGTTGAGCGGTAATTTTCTGTTTAATATAAATACATCTTTAGTCAATCTGTGTCATTCATAGAAATCCAGATACTGTTTAGTATCCACAGTATAGCTGTGGAATAGCTGTCTCGTGCTCAAATTTAGAACAAAGTTACTTCTGACCAAAGTATTGCTAGCAAATAATAGTTTTTTCTGTTCTATTTGGGCATGCTTAGCAGTCTTATTCCAAAAGTTATTTAAATGGAGAGAATGAATGACTTTTTGACCGATTCTAGAAGTATTTAAATACCATTAATTTAATGGCAGCCACTGTCAAAGTCTGCTTAAAACGTATGTCTGTAACCAGCAGAAAGTTAGAATCATCATAGTGGTTTGGATAATTTTGATAAAAAAGTTTCCTGAAAATGCTATTTTAACTTTTCTTTATTTTTAAATTCGTTTGACAGCAGCTTCTGAAATACAAGGACTAAGAACAGTTGAAATAAAAAAGGTAAGTTACAGAATGAAGTTATATATATCAGGGACAGGTTTTGTGTATGTTGTCAATAGGTGTGTTTACGGAAGGGAAGAAGTCTGGCCCTGTTAATAATTTTGAGAGAGGGGTGGATGTGGCAATAGCTAATTAATTTGCAGGTGAAGACTGTATGATCTCCACTGCCTATATTTTTTTGTAAAATCAGTGCAATTTATACTGTCACATTTTGTGACCTGTTTTGAAAGCAAAAGGAGGAAGAATTAGTGAGACCTAGTTTTACTGTTATCAGACTGAGTTAAATCCAGACTCTCTTTTAGTGAAGTCAAGGGTACTGCAAGCCCATTGTTTGTTATTTTGTATCGTATTTCACACACATTTTTTATAGGTAGGCCCTTACATGACAGCTGCCATGTTTTCAAATGTGAGATTCAGTCGTCTTCCTTATTTACAGGAGCGTGAGATCTGAGTTACAGACTGCTTCTGGTTGTCCAAAATATTTATTTTTATTTGACTTTGCCTGACATCTAGTTTGCTTGATTACATGAATTGTATTTAACCATTCTGTTTTTATACTAGAGTCTGCAAATTCCAGTTTACAATAGCAGTTTTTGCAGTTAGATAGTAGGGTGTTGTACGGTAGTGAACAGCAAGTTTTGTTCTTCAATAATACGACACTAGGGGGAGCATAAAGATTAATTCTGGTCTTTGGGACGTTCATAATAGGAGATTGATATAGATATTAAGGACAAAAATTTCAGTTCCAAGCACAAATACAGGCTAGATGGAGAACAGATTGAGAGCAGCCCTGAGGAGAAGGACTTGGGGGTGTTAGTTGATGAAAAGCTGGACATGAGCCAGCAGCGTGCTGGCCCAGAAGGCCAACCATACCCTGGGCTGCATCAAAAGCAGTGTGGCCAGGAGAGCAAGGGAGGTGATTCTGCCCCTCTGCTCCACGCTGGGGAGACCTCCCCTGGAGTCCTGCGTCCAGCTCTGGAGCCCTCAGCACAGGAAAGACGTGGACCTGTTGGAGCAGGTCCATAGGAGGCCACAAAAATGATGAGAGGGCTGAAACACCTCTCCTGTGAGGAAAGGCTGTAAGAGTTGTTCAGCCTGGAGAAGAGAAGGCTTCAGGGAGACCTTATAGCAGCCTTCCAATACCTGAAGGAGGCCTACAAGAAAGCTGGAGAGGGACGCTTTACGGCGTCCTGTTGTGATAGGACAAGAGATAATGGCTTCAAGCTGAAAGAGAGTAGGTTTAGATTAGCTGTAAAGAAGAAATTCTTTACTGTGAGGGTGGTGAGGCCCTGGCACAGGTTGCACAGAAAAAGCTGTGGATGCCTCATCCCTGGAAGTGTTCAAGGCCAGGTTGGATGGGGCTTTGAGCAACCTGATCTAGTGGAAAGTGTCCCTGCCCATGGCAGGGGGGTTGGAACTAGATGACCTTCTAACCTTGGGTCCCTTCTAACCCAAACCATTCTATGATTCTATAACAAGCAATAACAAGCAATCCCATCTGTCCAGGTTTCCTTGCCCAGACTTCCTATTGCTGACATTAGGGGTCTGACACTAAAGTCTGTAAGTATGTATTTTTTTTTAAGAGAAAACAGAACTAAGTCAGCAAATTATCACCTACCACTGATAGGAAGAACCACATGTTGAGCTTTTTGCACTTTCTCGAAATGAGGCGATGTGTATTAGCTTAAAAAATGGCTCAAGACACAGGAATTCTGATTTTTATAAAATAGGGACTTCAGTAAGTTTTCAGATAGGCCTAGAATTCTCTGTATGTGTATTTTGTTCCATAAAAATCTAATCTTTTTTCATGACAATAACAGGGCCCTGCAGACTCACTAGGAGTGAGCATTGCTGGAGGTGTAGGAAGTCCGCTTGGAGATGTTCCTATATTTATTGCTATGATGCATCCGAATGGAGTTGCAGCTCAGACTCAGAAACTCAGAGTAAGTTAATTGTTCAGAAGGTTGTAATGATTGCATGGGTAATGCACAGTAATTATGCAATAAGTTAGCAGTTTAATGATACAGTCATAAGTACTTCTGGCTACGACAAGAATTTTTGCTGTTTGGATTGACGAAACAGTAACTCAGATTGGTAGCACGGTAAAAGGTTCTGAGTTGAAGTGGGAGGCCTTATCTGATATAGCACTTCCGTGTTGACTATATCCACTCTGTACCAGAGGTGGCTGAATTTGACTCATGCTCCTTGGAAAATGGGCAGTGTTATTTCAGGATGAATTCAAACATGTTACCTCTGATGATAATTTACTACTTCAATCTGCCAGTCTTCAGGTGATGTCAAATGCATCTGTTTTTTTACATGCTATGTATATCTAGAGTATTAGGATCAATTCTCTAAAGCATCGTTACTTTTTACACTGAGTCCACTAAACCAGTGTAATTTGCTAATTGTGATGTTGAATTTTCTACCTTTATATTAGGTCATTATATAGTTCAAAGATGATTTGTCTTCAAGAGAAAATGTACTGTGAAGAGCTGCTGATTTCTTTCTTCCTGCCCTGTATCACTGATAAAATCTGGCTAAATGCAAATACACAGATCTGCTGTCTTTGATAGAAAGTGACAAATAAATCTGTGTAACTAAACTTAGTTAGATTTTCTACTTTTTCTTCTGCAGGTTGGAGACAGGATTGTTAGCATCTGTGGAACATCTACTGAGGGCATGACTCACTCCCAAGGTGTTAGTCTGTTAAAAAATGCGTCAGGCACTATTGAGTTGCAGGTAAAAAAATCTTCAGTGACATTTGGAATATTTTCTGAATACTATTTTTCCAGCTGCTGTAGTGAATTATTTAGTGTCAGCAGTCTCATCTTACTGGTTTATGAACTCTGTTCCTAGGTTGTAGCTGGAGAAGTGAGTGTCATAACTGGTCAGCAGCAGGATCCACCTACGTCCAGTCTTTCATTTGCGGGATTAACTTCAACCAGCATTTTTCAGGATGATTTAGGGTCGGTAACCATAGAGTATGCATCCTCCATAACCTGTTATGTTAAGTGGAACTCCACCTAGAAAACTTACAAAATTCTAGCAAGTAATGGATGAATTCTTTGGCTTAATGGTGACTTACAGATTTGGTATACATGGGACATGTAGGCCATAGGTCCTCTTCTGCATTTTTAGGATGTGGTTTGTTGTGCTGCTGTATTTTGCCCTGCTGCAGAGTTGCAATGTGATTTGATTTTTTTTCTCTGTAAATACAGCCTCCTTCGTTTCACTGAGCCTTGGTAGCTGGGATTGATACACACAAAATGTTTTTCCTTAGACTTAAATAGCAACGCCCTTTCTACAGTGGTACCTGTGCTTCCATGATGTGCTTTCTAGCACTGAACTATCAGGAGCATCGAACTTTTCTGGTATACAGGGTATACTGTTTCTGATATACTACAAGGTACAGCTATGTCAATAAGTTTTGCCTCAGACTCTGTCATAAATCTGAGGCATTTTTCTTCTAGGAACAGAGAGAAAGAGAGTGGGGTTCTTTAGCCACACGGACCTGCTTCGAAAGAGAGAACTTCAAAATTTCTTAGAGTGTATGCAGGGAAATATGCCTATAAATGGTCTGTATAAATGCACACATACAAATACGTGTTCATATATTAAAGGAGGAGACAAGCAATTAAACCTTACACCATAAACTACTGGGGCTAATTTTAGATGTTTTTTAGGACATGTAATGTGTTACAGGATTTTTAAAGTAGATGTTTGTTCTGGACATGAAGTACTGGTATTGCCTCTCTGCTTTGCTAGCCAGCAGTTAGTGGGACATTGCACCATAAGTATGCCCTGAGCTGGGTGGAAGAGGTCTTTGAAAGCGCTACCTTTAAGTAATAATGAGGGCATTAGATAGTTACAGTGTTTTACATGAACTAGAACAGCCATTTCTTTGTAATAAAAGCATTTGTAGTTACAGAGGAAGGGGAAGTGTATTGCTTAGCTTGAAAGGAACAATGTTTTTTGATAAATGTTCTACATGTTATAGCCTAAGTACAGACAGCATTGCAGTACTCATTTTCCTTTTCTTAGACCTCCTCAGTACAAGACCATTACTTTGGATAGAGGACCAGACGGCCTAGGCTTTAGTATTGTGGGCGGTTATGGCAGTCCTCACGGAGACTTACCAATTTATGTGAAGACAGTATTTGCAAAGGTAAGTGTAACTTTGTTCAGTCAATCCATTTATTAGTTAGTTCACAGCAGCTGCTATCTTAGATCATGGCTTGAGTCAGCAGCCAAAAGATTCTTACAGTTTCTCAGAGCTTTTCTTCCTTAGTGCAAGTGCTGGTCAAAACGTGCTTGCCGCATTTGAAGGGTGTAGTCTGAGGAAGATTCAGAATTTCCAAATGTATGTGCCTCTGCATATGGCAGAGTCTTCTTCAAATATCAAAATGGATTTGTGCACATAGTTAGAATAACAGCCCCCTTGCCTTATGTTCAGAGTTTATTTTCTTCATGTAGTAGAAGGGGCTGTTTTACTTTTTTTCGACCGAGAGTCTGTAAGGTAGAGCAACATAAAACAACTGAACTCAGTCTGGACCTTTGGAGAAGCTCAGGGGCTGACCTGGATTTGATAGTTTGGGCTTTCCTAGGAAACAGCCCTGAGTCAGAGAAGGGTGCAATCAAGAATCCCGAACTTTTATTGCAAATCAAAGTAGAGAGAGCTGGGTTTTGACTAGTGACATTCTTATACCAGTTGCTGAAAACTTCTTCAGGTCTTGAAAATCTTGCTTCTATGATAATAGAGTTTGAATGTTATACTAGGTGGACGAACAGGGTTAAGGGAATAGAAAAATCCTGTAGATCCCATTTCTAGATGATGTGAAACTCAGCCAGGGCATGGCATAGTGCAGCACTAGCAGGCTGTACTACAATTGACAGTATTTGAATCACTGAAAATCAGAAAAGTTTTAATGGGTTTTGTGCACTGAATCCATCTTATTCAGACCCTAAGGACAGCGTGGCAGGAAGGATAAGACTGAGTCTGCAGTTACATGTTGTATCGTTTCAGGGTGCAGCAGCAGAAGATGGACGCCTGAAGAGGGGGGATCAAATCATTGCTGTGAATGGGCAGAGCTTAGAAGGTGTGACCCATGAGGAAGCGGTTGCGATTCTCAAAAGGACAAAAGGAACAGTCACTTTGACTGTTTTGTCGTGAACCAGCTGCCCAAAGGGGTAGGGTCAATAAACCTATATTATTCACATTCCACATAGCAAAGAGAATGGAAATGTTTTTATAGCCTTCGTGCTCTTCCAGTTTCACAGAACTGTGTTATAACACTGAAGAAAGATAACATTTAACCATATTTTTGTATACAATAGAAGTATGTCTCTTACTGTCAAACCACTGGGATGCAGTTATGTCAGCTATTGAAAGACATGGATATTTTTCCTATTAGTATTGTAATGGATGCTCGTAATCGCCCTTCCCCCCCCAAAAAATGAATGTTTGCATTAATAATCACAGAACAAAACTGGAATGTTTTGCTAAGAGGATTTGGATATTTGAAATGTGTTGGAAAATGATAAAGTCACCAAGTCAACAAGGGGGCAGCATGGGCAGCAGTAGTCAGAAACCAGGAATGAGGTTATTGAAGAAAGAACCTGTTAACAATATATGGAATTTGGGGAAAAGAGGGGAAAGTGTGTAGTCTGATGGCACATTATTAATGGACTCAGATGGTTATTTGTATTATTTCACAGTGCCCAAGTAGAAGGAGCTAGGTGAGTGACCTGGGTGGGTTTCTTTTGCTTGTGTATTTGTGTGATTAGATTTCACAAGTCACGATGTATCAAAAAAAGAAAACTGTGCTTTAGTTTGGCTTAGGTTTGAGGGGTTGGGGGTGGGGGTGTTGAGACATGGGAGTGTGTATTTGTTTTGAAAGGAGACAACTTGTGCTCAGGGCTGAAAATTCTGCTTATTAGTGGAAACTACTCCTGGTGAATGAGAGTGCCCAGCAACTGCAATATTAGAAGAACTAGACTTTTATAATAGTAGTGTCTCCTAGCCTATATGGGTGTGAAAGCAACCTTCCCAGTATGAAATGTGTGTAAGTGAAGGTTGTCGTCTTCCAACATGCAAAATTAACTGCAGGATCAGTGCAGACCTATCTGCGAGCTGCTTGAATCAGAGCCACAAACAAGCCACTCAGGGCAGGTTTACATAGCTGCAGACAAAGGCTTGTGGATATTAGTTAAGCCAAGGTGTAAGTTGATGTTATGGTGTTGCTGCTGTTATCAGTAGCAGCAAAGGTAGTGTCCTCCTTGGACTAAGAGCCTTAAAATCAGGAGTTGAGGGTGGTTAAAAGGCTGAAAATCCCTCCCGGTGGAGGTGAGCAGTAAGAAAGCAGTGCAGGTCTTTCTGCGTCAGCATTAAGCAGAAGAGGAGAGGTGAGAGGCACAAATACTATTTTGGGGATATTAATTTTAGAGGCATAAATACAAGACAGTGTCTAGTAAGTGTGATGCAACCATGGAGCTGTTCATTGGGCAGCAATGTGGTCAATAAATTTATCAACTTCCTGAGTTTCCTAAGTTGGGATCCTCACTAAAACTTTATCCAAAAAGCTGCACTCACTGAAAGCCGTAGCTGATTGTAGCCTGCCTTCGCATCTGGTCCTTCAGTCTGGCTCCTAGGAATCTGCCAGATAAAGCACACTTTGCCCATCATTTACCTTCTTGCAGAAAAATTTTGCCAAGTCTTTGGAGAGAGAAAGATACCTGGCTAACTAGCATGCTAATTAGCAGCAAGACCCTTTGTGTTAATTAGCAAAAAACACTGTAGCAAGAAGGCCACCATGTCAGTTGTCTTTTAGGAGAAATGTGAACTGAAAGTGCAGGCAGTGGTCAGGCCATTATTAGGGAATACAAAAGACTAGCATTTGTTTCAGTGGGACCCAGAAACACTGTTAAGAATGTCTGTGAAATAGTATTAGCAAATTGATAACTATGTCTAAGTGAATTAACTAAAAACCCCACCCTCTTCGTCTCTTTAACTGTTCTAGAATTTACACTGTGGTAGGCTAAGATCAAAGAAAATAGATGGTAACATTTTACTGGCTGCTGTTGTTACTGAATTGCTCTTCTGTACTTCTTGGTTAGAGTGAGAAATGCCCATGTTAGAGTATGTAAAGTCACTTTAAATAGTATCTATATTTGTAACAGAAGTAGTGTACAGATATTTTGTTACTGCTGTTGTGTCTAAGTGGAGGATTTAAATGAATAAATTCCAAACTGTCATGATGAAGAAATAAAGTTGCAGGTGTGTTTCTGGTTGCTTTACGATGGCATACTTGCATTGTTCATTCTGTTGTGAAAGATTAATTAAAAACAATTAAAAAAAAAAGCATTACTCTTTATGTGAACCTTAAAGCATCTACTAAAAATTGCTTTATTTGGATGTTAAGATTTTATCTTTGCTTGCAAACTCTTAGCAAATGCATGAGACCAGATACTGAAACTGTCTAGGAATTAGTATGAAACTGCCTTGTTCATTAGAAACAGCATTAATCATTGTTTGGTCTCTTTAAAAAGTGTTCCTTCAGGTATGGGACTTGCCATGATGGATCAAAACAGTGAGCCATGAAGCCCAGAACTTTGCTTTTAGTTGTGACCCACACTGTGGCTTCAGAGCCCTGGATCTCCCCCGAGCCCCATGCTGGGAAAGCTGTTTCGTGACCACAGCTTAGTGGCTGCTATGCACTGGACCATGAGGTGTAATTAACTTTGCAGGCTTAGGATGTTTTGTTTTGTTTATCATTTGGTATTCAGCACAACTTTCATATCACAGACTTTAGTCCTCTAAGGTGCAGTGTACTGTGGTCCCAGTTCTACCAAATCTTCCTGCTTGACCAGCCTGATCTCCTTCTATGACCAGGTGACCCACCTAGTGGATGAAGGAAAGGCTGTGGATGTTGTGTATCTGGACTTCAGTAAGGCCTTTGACACTGTTCCCCACAGCATCCTCCTGGAGAAAGTAGCTGCCCGTGGTTTGGGTGGGTGTACTCTTCGCTGGATGAAGAACTGGCTGAATGGCTGAGCGCAGAGAGTGGTGGTGAATGGAGTTAAATCCAGCTGGTGGGCAGTCATGAGTGGTGTTCCCCAGGGCTCATTTCTGGGTCCGGTCTTGTTTAACATCTTTATCAATGATCTGGATGAGGGGATTGAATGCTCCCTCAGTAAATTTGCAGATGACACTAAGCTGGGTGGGAGTGTCAGTCTGCTGGAGGGTAGGAAGGCTCTGCAGAGGGATCTGGACAGACTGGATTGATGGGCTGAGGCCAACTGTATGAGTTTCAACAAGGCCAAGTGCTGGGTCCTGCACTTCAGTCACAACAACCCCATGCAACACTACAGGCTTGGGGCGAGTGACTGGAAAGCTGCTCGGCAGAAAAGGATCTTGAGATGTTGGTTGACAGCCAGCTGGACATGAGCCAGCAGTGTGCCCAGGTGGCCAAGAAGGCCAACAGCATCCTGGCTTGTATCAGGAATAGTGTGGTCAGCAGGATTAGGGGAATGATTATCCCCCTGCCCTCGCCACTGGTGAGGCCCCATCTTGAGTACTGTGTTCAGTTTAGGGCCCCTCACTACAAGAAAGACATTAAGTTGCTGGAGCGTGTCCAGAGAAGGGCAACGAGCCTGGTGAGGGTTCTAGAGAGCAAGTCTTACAAGTTGTGGCTGAGGGAGCTGGGGCTGTTTAGTCTGGAGAAGAGGAGGCTGAGAGGGGACCCTGTTGCTCTCTACAACTGCCTGAAAGGAGGTTGTAGTAAGGCAGGTGTTGGTCTCTTCTCCCAGGTAACTAGTGATACCACAAGAGGCAATGGCCTCAAGTTGCATCAGGGAAGGTTTAGATTGAATATTAGGAAAAATTCTTTACTGAAAGAGTGGTCAGGCATTGGAACAGGCTGCCCAAGGGGTTGGTGCAGTCCCCATCCCTGGACATGTTCAAATAACGTGTAGATGTGGTACTTCAGGAAGTGGTTTAGTAGGCATGGTGGTGTTGGCTGGATGGTTGGACTTGATGATCTTAGAGGTCTTTTCCAACCTATGATTCTATTATTTTTGGTTATCTTTTTTCCATGTGACACTGTTAACTATGGAACTTGACAAGGTTGGAGCTGGAGGGCCTGGCGTCTTAAAAGCTCCAACTCATTGTCTGTTCGGATGCCAAATCCATTTTTTTAACTCTGCCTACTTCTCAGCTATTCAATGGTAGTACTCTTAGAGGGCTATTAATGAAAGAGACTGTCACATATTGTAAGCGTAAGTCTAGACAAAAGACAGCTGGCTCATGGGAATGCACATACTTGATTTCTTGGCAGTGAGCAAGTGTCCTGGGTTTGGCCAGAACAGGGTTAATTTTCACCGGAATCCAGGAAGGGGCACAGCCGGGGGGTGGGGGCTGACCCCACCTGGCCAAACAGAGCCCGGTATTCCATACCATGTGACGTCACGCTGGGTTCCGGTGGGGGGAGCGGCGCGGCGGGAAGGCACTCGCAGCTTAGGGTGCAGCGTTGGTCCTGTTTCGGGAGAGCGGCTGTCTGTATGGTTCGTGGTTGTGTTTTCTCCCTATTTGTATCGTTGTTGTTCCTGTTTTCCCTCTGTTTGCTGTTCTGTTAAACTGCCCTTATCCCGACCCACCAGTTTCTGCCTCTTTCTTT